GATGGTGTCAGTGATCTTCAGGTCGTAGCTCTAGAAAGAGGCCAGAGTTCCGGATTTTCCCAGTCGGAGCTCGTTTTTTCACCCGAGTTCCCGGTTGTCTTGAACTCACTGAAGTCAAGTTTTCGCAGTTCCGAGTTAACAGTTGTTTTGAGCGCGGCACAAATCATGCTTCATTGACAGCATGGCCAATGTTGAATGTTTATCATTTTAAATTTGGAAAAGAGACCCTTAATCCCAGACCACACAGCCACTCCACTGAATAGCAGGCTAGTGATTGCTTTGCAATGCTTGCAGTTAGCCACTGATTCCTTACAAACCACTCATTGTTGAATTTGCGATTTCCAACCTGTTGTGTAATGTTTATGTCCAATGGCCGATGAGTACCGATACGTTTTATCTATAGTTTCTCTTCATTATTTCTCTTCATATGACAAGGATTAAAAAGGATTTGCCTGTAGATTGTCGACTTGATTCATGATGATGACTGCTAGCTAAGATTTAGAAAGTATGATGTTGACATGATCAGTCCAATCAAATCTACTGTAGATATAACGTGATTTGACGTAATTTTATCTGTGGCCAATGACCTTGAGCCTTCTTGGATGGTCACATCTAATGTAACTCTGTGGCAGCACCCAAGGGGCTTGAATTATCGAGCTTTACCCTTAGAGTTGGCGGTGATGTAGTGTCCCAACTGAGCCAATTACGGCGCAACTAGAGAACATTACCAACACCTACGCTCTGTATTTTCCACTGGCTGCCCCACCACAGAAAGCACTGAGATAGGCGGAACACCTGCATTTTGGAGCTACCTTACTCAAGAAAGCAAAAAAGAGACCATGTTTGTATGCAGCTTTATTAACTCAATATATTTTGATTTTTTTTACATTGTTTGCAAACTGATATGTGACACGTATTAATGCCATAATAACATGCAAAACAGACAAGCCCCACCTGCCCTGAATGACGGGTCGCCACTGGGCCTATTAGTTTCCCCTGCACAGTTCCAGTACAAATCACCAAATTAGGCAGTTTTAGAAAAACATGCAGTGTACATTACAGCTTTAAATGTTTTCACAAGTTGTTTCGGATATTTAAAATGCTCCTGTCTAGCCGACCACCAGCCACAGTATCCGCCCTGCGTCCCCGGGGAGCTGGAGCCATCCACCAACGTGCCGTCCCCGCCCCCACCACGGTCACCTGCAGGGGAGATGTGGAAAAAGAGAGAAAGGAAAAGCGCAGAATACCAAAAAAGGAAGGGGTATGAAAATTATTAAAATAACCACTACAAGCCAGCAATACATGAGTGTGCACAACATCTTATCACTACAAAAACACCTTGTGAGAAAATCCCCCCCAAATGTTTAGTGATGTAGGTCGTACATAGGCCTGGACTGGTTCACTATTTATCCTATCGAATTCAGGTATACGAAGGGTTAAGGCCCAGCTGAGTCTGGCAGTGTCAGACCCTTCTCTGGCAAGCCCTTGAACTGCAGCGTGTTCTCTCTATCCCAACGCACAAATTACTTTTTATTACTCCACCCAATCCATTCACTCACTCATTCATACCTGTAGGTAATTGGGACTGATTGGTCCTGAGAACGGCAACTATGAACTGTAGGTGTCGTCAGCCAGGTGAACACTGCAGCAGGCCTGGGTACCACATACTATAGGCAGGCTGTCATTATTGGACAACAGCAATGTGTAGACCAACTACTGTATGCTCTCAGAACATACCATAGTAATATTACTTTAGTTTAGTTTAGAGTTGAGAGAACAAGCTACCTCCGGTCTGGAATAGTGAGTATAGGCTACCAAACTTCTGCCATTATTGGACAACAATGGCAATGTGTAGCCCAGGCTCTCATGACATGGGCTACTGAAGTAATATCACTTATGTATGGTCAGAGAAGTGAGAACAGGAACCTTTTGGTATGGAGGAAAATGTGTGACTGATGTGTGACTGATCAATAACGACATCAACATAATGACCTCGGTGATTGTTCCCTTCAAAATGACATTGTCATAACCAAACCCTGCTCTCTGATTGGTGCCTTCCTAATGATGTTGTCATAACCCTGCTCTCTGATTGGTCCCTTCCTAATGACATCATCATAACCTTGCTCACTGATTGGTACCTTCATAATGTCATTGTCATAACCCTGCTCTCTGATTCATATATGCTTACTGACAACAGATATGAAATGTGAGAAAATAACAGACTACCTCATGAAGAGAAGTGACTCACTACTCAGCTGCTTTAACATCTTGCCATAGTTGGCACAGGTTTGTTCCTTAGGCATTTTAACTAAAAGAGCCAAAGGTCTATTCATGTTCAAGATAAACAATGCATCGGATAGAAACGTATATTCATATTAATATTTCATATTATATTATATACCGGTAACATACATTGAAAGGGTTGTCAGCTCAGTCTTTCTCTCCTGTCAGTGCAAAGAAGGTTTGGGAGTAGAGTTTGCCAAGCCATTATTCAGTGCAACATTCTTGAGTGTCAGTTCTCCTCTGATTACTTGCCGCCTGCAGGTCCGGAATAAAACGGCCCGTCACACAGCACAGCTGGCGTAGAGCTGTATGATTCCCCAACCAGTCTGCACAGGACCAGCTACCACTCTCGCACCATACCTGTAGAAAGGTCAGGGCCAGCCAGCAGCAGAGTGCAGTCAGACGGTAATCTCTTAAAAGGATTCCGGAAGATCAAGCAGCACTTCATCAGGTTAACACCTGCTTATCTACTGTGATGATACCCTAGTTTAAAAAGTTGTGATCTAAATTGACAGTTTGACCCTTTGTGTTACTACCGCTCACATTGTCACACAGAACTTAAAGCACACGCAGACACACTATAAATAGTTAAATTCATGTAATATGCAACAGATATAAATGTATTGTGTTTGTCATTGAGGGATATGGTGGCTCCAAGGTACATACTTTTACAGCAGAATAGGAACCTTGTTTTGAGTGTACAAAATATTAAGGACACCTGCTCTTTCCATGACATAGACTGACCGTCTGAATCCAGGTGAAAGCTATGATCCCTTATTGATGTCACTTGTTAAATTCACTTCAATCAGTGTAGATGAAGGAGAGGGGACAGGTTAAAGAAGGATTTTTGAATGAATGGTCCACCACCCAAAGGACATCCAGCCAACTTGACAAAACTGTGGATAGCATTGGAGTCAACATGGGCCAGCATCCCTGTGGAACGCTTTCGACACCTTGTAGAGTCCATGGGCGACAAATTGAGGCTGTTCTGAGGGCAAAAGCGGGGAGGGGGTTTGGGGGTTGTGCAACTCAATATTAGTAAGGTGTTCCTAATCTATGGTATACTCAGTGTATATATCCATGCCTCCCAACCTCAAAATGTGCAATATGTTCACTACAGCCTGAGTGTGCTATTAACCATTGTTCACATATCCCTAGTTCCCTACGGCTCATTACACAAAGCTTAGCTGCACTGAAATGAAGAAAGAAGACATCTCAGTGTGGAAGCTTGAGGATTCTGACCAACAGCAAAATCAGCAAGAACTGACACAACCCCAAAGTTTTTTTTTTTAAGACACACAGGTATGTCTGGCACTCCTCACTTATGTGTAAGCAAGGAACTATGATAAGCTGTTCCATGTATGGAAACAACTTGCAAACCTCTTGCTGACAAATTTAAGACTGATTGAGACAGAGTCATTAACCCATTGATTACCACAGGACAAAGGCATTCTCCACACACAATGAGGAAGACCAGATGAGCCCAATGCACTAAACTCTGATCGCATGACAACCACGGTAGGATCCTGTGGTATGTAAGAGGGAATGTTTATTGGTCTTTAAGACAACAACACTTCCTCCCTTATCCCTTCACCTCTTATTTAGTCAAATACAGATAGGAGGGATGGAGTTACATTTCAGGGATGAAAATGAAATTGAAAATAGTAGATTTATTCAGATTAGTAACCCATATACACCACTCATAAAAATAATGACTTTATACAACCATATCAAGAGATATTAGATGCTTGGAGGCATCTTTATAATCTCTACACAACCGTTAAGTGCTGAAACCCAACCCCATTCTGCCCTTGCCCTGAGGGCCGAGCCAGAGCCTTGGCGGGGTCTTGCTGGATCTGGTGTTCCCTCCTCTTTTATGAAGGAGGAGGGAGAGGCTCAGGGGCTCACAGACACACTGTGCCTCAGGATGGCTATCATTGTTGCTATTGCTGCTACACACTCAGGGAACTAACTGGAACCTTCCATCACTGCTGTTCTTCTCTCGCTACCTGCACAAACCCAGCATTTTGGAACATTGCAGTTATTGGGGCACAAGGATACCTGGATCTGCAGCACGCAAAAGCTTTGGATTGTGAGTCTACATGTTTTGCTCAGTAAAAGGACATTCTGCCTATATGCATGTTAAAAATAAAATAGAGGGAGGGTGTGTGATTTAAAAAAGTATAAAAAAAATGGGGGGAGGGGGGAAATTGACAAATCTTATAATTTCAGATTAAAGACTAGTGCTATATTTAAGCAATAAGGCCCGAGGAGGTGTGGAATATGGTGAATATACCACGGCTAAGGGCTGTTCTTATGCACGACACAATGCGGAGTGCCTGGACACAGCCCTTAGCGGTGGTATATTGACCATATATCACAAACCCCAGAGGATCCTTATTGCTATTATAAACTGGTTACCAACGTAGTTAGAGCAGTAAAACTAAATGTTTTGTCATACCCGTGGTATACGGTCTGATATACCATGGCTTTCAGCCAATCAGAATTCAGGGCTCAAACCACCAAGTTTATAATTAAGATTAATCTGAGGACTCATTGTGTGCTAATCTTGTGCACAAATATCAATATTCAAATGCTCTATGTTGTTGACCAATCATGACATCATCATTGAACATGAAGTCATCATGTAGATTGTTATTTAAATAAATAAAAATTCCAAACATTATTATTGGTTGTCTCTCTCTGCAGGAGGGACAATGATGTTCCCTGCAGTGACCTGGCTCCTGTTGGTAGCAGGCCTGTTGGGTGTCTGGTCTCAGGACTACTATGAGGAGAGAACAATGAACAAGAGACCCAGAGGCAGGGGGGCCCAACTGCAAGCTGCAGCCACTGCACTTAACGGGCAAAAACACAATGGACAAGGTATGAATAAATACATCCTATTTTTAATAGTATAGTTGCTCATTGCAAAAGTTGCTCATTTCAAACTGTGCTTAAACAGTGAGATCACAGATGTCTTATTATGCCTCATTTATGTGACCATAATTAATCAATCCAATAGAAATCAGATTCCAGCTAAACAAGAGGTTGAGCATGCATCATAAAATCAAATGTAAAAGTTTTTACATTTGGTTAACACAGGTACAGACAGTAGATATATATCTATCTTATCAGTGGATGTCCTGTGGCATACTGTACCTGCTATGTTCCCAAGGTGTTGATATCCTACGGCATTTTTGGTGTATGTCATATTAACATGATTTAGCTTGGTCTTTCTGCCTATGTGAGAGATGTGATATAAAGATAAAGAGTTGAGTTCAGATAGGGTTTTTGGCTTCATAGACATTTTCACTTGACTGTCATAACTTTGAATGATTGCATTTCCAAGTCATTTAAAAATGAGGCAAGCTAGAAAACACAGGAACTCTTTAGTTGAAGGGCACCTACAGGTAACTGCAAAAATAAAGGAAACACCAACATAAAGTGTCCTAATAGGGCATTGGGCCACCACAAGCCGCCAGAACAGCTTCAATGCGCCTTCACATTGATTCTACAAATGTCTGGAACTCTATTGGAAGGATGTGACACCATTTGTCCATGATAAATTCCATAATTTGATGTTTTCTTGATGGTGGTGGAAAACAATGTCTCAGGCACCACTCCAGAATCTCCCATAAGTGTTCAAATGGGTTGAGATTTGTTGACTGAGACACACACACACACACACTTTAAACCCCCTATGCTCCTTTGAGACCCGTCTTTCAAAGTCACTGAGATCTCCTCTTCTAGTCATGGTAGCCAGAATAATGGGCAAATGGGCATTTTTATACAGTACCAGTCAAAGTTTGGACACACCTACTCATTCAAGGGTTTTTCTTTATTTTTAGTATTTTCTACATTGTAGAATAATAGTGAAGACATCAAAACTATGAAATAACACATATGGAATCATGTAGTAACCAAAAAAGTGTTGAACAAATCAAAATATATTTTATATTTGAGATTCTTCAAATAGCCACCCTTTGCCTTGATGACAGCTTTACACACTCTTGGCATTCTCTCAACCAGCTTCACCTGGAATACTTTTCCAACAGTCTTGAAGGAGTTCCCACATATGCTGAGCACTTGGTGGCTGCTTTTCCTTCACTCTGCCGTCCGACTCATCCCAAACCATCTCAATTGGGTTGAGGTCGGGGGATTGTGGAGGCCAGGTCATCTGATGCAGCACTCCATCACTCTCCTTCTTGGTAAAATAGCCCTTACACAGCCTGGAGGTGTGTTGGGTCATTGTCCTGTTGAAAAACAAATGATAGTCCCACTAAGCCCAAACCAGATGGGATGGCGTATCGCTGCAGAATGCTGTGGTAGCCATGCTGGTTAAGTGTGCCTTGAATTCTAAATAAATCACAGACAGTGTCACCAGCAAAGCACCCCCACTCATGTTTCATGGCCCAAGCAAGTCTCTTCTTCTTATTGGTGTCCTTTAGTAGTGGTTTCTTTGCAGCAATTTGACCATGAAGGCCTGATTCACACAGTCCCCTCTGAACAGTTGAAGTTGAGATGTGTCTGTGACTTGAACTCTGAAGCATTTATTTGGGCTGCAAATTCTGAGGCTGGTAACTCTAACTCTGGGTCTTCCATTCCTGTGGTGGTCCTCATGAGAGCCAGTTTCATCATAGCGCTTGATGGTTTTTGCGACTGCCCTTGAAGAAACTTTAAAAGTTCTTGAAATTGTCCGTATTGACTGACCTTCATGTCTTAAAGTAATGATGGACTGTTGTTTCTCTTTGCTTATTTGAGCTGTTCTTGCCATAATATGGACTTGGTCTTTTACCAAATAGGGCTATCTTCTGTATACCCCCCTACCTTGTCACAACACAACTGATTGGCTCAAACGCATTAAGAAGGAAAGAAATTCCACAAATTAACTTTTAAGAAGGCACACCTGTTAATTGAAATGCATTCCAGGTGACTACCTCATGAAGCTGGTTGAGAGAATGCCAAGAGTGTGCAAAGCTGTCATCAAAAGAAAGGGTGGCTATTTGAAGAATCTCAAATATAAAATATATTTTGATTTGTTTAACACTTTTTGATTCCATATGTGTTATTTCATAGTTTTGATGTCTTCACTATTATTCTACAATGTAGAAAAGAGTACAGATAAAGAAAAACCCTTGAATGAGTAGGTGTGTCCAAACTTTTGACTGGTAGTGTACATGACCCTAAGTATAATGGGATGTTGATTGCTTAATTAACTCAGGAACCACACCTGTGTGGAAGCACATGCTTTCAATATATTTTGTATTCCTCATTTACTCAAGTCTTTCCTTTATTTTGCCAGTTACCTGTACATAAGTACTTCATAACACATTCATAACCAACAATGACATCTTTCAATAGAATAGCCTCTTGTTGCAATTGTGTGTCTCTGACAGCTCTGCACATGAACACAGCCATTTTAGATGAGGACTGCGGTCTGGAGCTTTCCTTTCTGCTTGACAGCTCTGAAAGTGCCAAGGAGAACCATGAGCAGGAGAAGCGCTTTGCCATGGATGTGGTGGACAGGCTCCAGGCTGTCCGTCTGCAGACGGGTCGCAGTCTGAGCTGGAAGGTGGCCCTGCTGCAGTACAGCAGTCACGTCATAATCGAGCAGTCCTTTAAGCAGTGGAGGGGCACTGACAACTTCAAGTCCCACATCACCCCCATTTTCTACATCGGTCACGGCACCTACACCACCTACGCGATCACCAACATGACTAAGATGTACCTGGAGGAGTCCAGCCTGGGCAGCATCAAGGTGGCCGTGCTGCTCACTGACGGCATCTCCCACCCCAGGAACCCAGACATCTTCTCAGCTGCCGCCGACGCCAAGAACCAGGGGGTGAAGTTCTTCACGGTGGGCATCACCCGTGCAGCCAATGAGCCAGCCAACGTGGCCCAGCTCCGTCTGTTGGCCAGCTCTCCTGCCTCCCGATACCTCCACAATCTACAGGATACTGACATTGTGGAGAAAGTCCTCACGGAAATTGTGAGTATGATCCGCCTTGCATTGCTTCTAAAGAATCACAATATTGGGTGTAACAATGATGCAATGATACAGTTGTGATTTAGATGTAATCAAAGTTGAATTAGGGATATCTTGGATGTTGTAACCAAAATCATCTCAGGAATGTTTTTTTAAGTATGATAAAGGCTGGAGCCTGAATGACTGACCTTCCACAATTTGTAGCTATACAAATGCAAGACACTGTAGCAAGATAATGAATGGCTATCAATGACAGCCATGGATTTAGTATTTTTTGTTCAATGAGCAGACAGTTGTCTTACATTTTTCAATAGACTTGGCTCCTTACCATCTGCATGTTATGAGTGCATATCCCATGGGCTTTACTTTGACTCTGGTATGCCACAAGGTTTTTTGTCCCAATAAGGTAAACAGAGCCTCTTGTGGTCACACCTTACATACCTATGAGTGGAAGCAGACAGGTTCTTTCAGTGATATTCTTAGCCTTCTTTTTATCATAACATGTGGTTTACATTTGGCTCATAGGTATTACAATGGAATGTCTACTCATTGATTTCTTTCAAGTGGCAACATAACAAAACAGCGCTTGGCACGAAACCATAATTCCGATCCCCCCCCCCACAGTCACTTGAACTCACACAGCAGGCTGAGGGGAGGCAGAAATATGATACAATATGTTAGAGTCCTGTCTTTGTAATCTATACTGAACAAAAATATAAACGCAACATGTAAAGTGTTGGTCTCATGTTTCATGAGCTGAAATAAAAGATCCCAGAAATGTTCCATATGCACAAATGGCGTTTTCTCTTAAATTTGGTGAACAAACCTGTTTACATCCCTGTTAGTGAGCATTTCTCCTTTGCCAAGATAATCCATCCACCTGACAGGTGTGGCATATCAAGAAGCTGATTAAACAGCATGATCATTACACAGGTGCACCTTGTGCTGGAGACAATAAAAGGCCACTCTAAAATGTGCAGCTTTGTCACACAACACAATGCCACAGTTTTGAGGGAGGGTGCAATTGGCATGCTGACTGCAGGAATGTCCACCAGAGCTGTTGTCAGAGAATGTAATGTTAATTTCTCTATCATAAGCCGCATCCAACGTCGTTTTAGAGAATTTGGCAGTACGTCCAACCGGCCTCACAACCGCAGATCGTGTATAAACATGCCAGCCCAGGACCTCCACATCCGGCTTCTTCACCTGTGGGATCGTCTGAGACCAGCCACCTGGACAGCTGATGAAACTGTGGAGTATTTCTGTCTGTAATAAAGCCCTTTTGTGGGGAAAAACTCATTCTAATTGACTAGGCCTGGCTTCCCAGTGGGTGTGCCTGGCTCTCAAGTGGGTGGGCCTATGCCCTCCCAGGCCCACCCATGGCTGCACCCCTGCCCAGTCATATGAAATCCATAGATTAGGGCCTAATGAATTTAATTCAATTGACTGATTTCCTTATATGAACTGTAACTCAGTAAAATCGTTGAAATTATTGCATGTTGCATTTATATTTTTGTTCAGTATAGTTGTAAATGTACATGATTTATGTATGTATGTTTTGGATGGTGTATGATTGTCTCTAATGGTTGTCACTGTTTTATTTCTCTCTACCCAGACTGACCTGGCTGACAAGGGGGTAGGTACTATTACATTTTGATGCAATTGAAATACTATCCTCATTCAACAAATACATAATTAAGTTCAGGGACTGCATGGTCATACAGTGGGGAAAAAAAGTATTTAGTCAGCCACCAATTGTGCAAGTTCTCCCACTTAAAAAGATGAGAGAGGCCTGTAATTTTCATCATAGGTACACGTCAACTATGACAGACAAAATGAGAAAAAAAAATCCAGAAAATCACATTGTAGGATTTTTAATGAATTTATTTGCAAATGATGGTGGAAAATAAGTATTTGGTCAATAACAAAAGTTTCTCAATACTTTGTTATATACCCTTTGTTGGCAATGACACAGGTCAAACGTTTTCTGTAAGTCTTCACAAGGTTTTCACACACTGTTGCTGGTATTTTGGCCCATTCCTCCATGCAGATCTCCTCTAGAGCAGTGATGTTTTGGGGCTGTCGCTGGGCAACACAGACTTTCAACTCCCTCCAAAGATTTTCTATGGGGTTGAGATCTGGAGACTGGCTAGGCCACTCCAGGACCTTGAAATGCTTCTTACGAAGCCACTCCTTTCTTGCCCGGGCGGTGTGTTTGGGATCATTGTCATGCTGAAAGACCCAGCCACGTTTCATCTTCAATGCCCTTGCTGATGGAAGGAGGTTTTCCCTCAAAATCTCACGATACATGGCCCCATTCATTCTCTCCTTTACACGGATCAGTCGTCCTGGTCCCTTTGCAGAAAACAGCCCCAAAGCATAATGTTTCCACCCCCATGCTTCACAGTAGGTATGGTGTTCTTTGGATGCAACTCAGCATTCTTTGTCCTCCAAACACGACGAGTTGAGTTTTTACCAAAAAGTTATATTTTGGTTTCATCTGACCATATGACATTCTCCCAATCCTCTTCTGGATCATCCAAATGCACTCTAGCAAACTTCAGACGGGCCTGGACATGTACTGGCTTAAGCAGGGGGACACGTCTGGCACTGCAGGATTTGAGTCCCTGGCGGCGTAGTGTGTTACTGATGGTAGGCTTTGTTACTTTGGTCCCAGCTCTCTGCAGGTCATTCACTAGGTCCCCCCCTGTGGTTCTGGGATTTTTGCTCACCGTTCTTGTGATCATTTTGACCCCACGGGGTGAGATCTTGCGTGGAGCCCCAGATCGAGGGAGATTATCAGTGGTCTTGTATGTCTTCTATTTCCTAATAATTGCTCCCACAGTTGATTTCTTCAAACCAAGCTGCTTACCTATTGCAGATTCAGTCTTCCCAGCCTGGTGCAGGTCTACAATTTTGTTTCTGGTGTCCTTTGACAGCTCTTTGATCTTGGCCATAGTGGAGTTTGGAGTGTGACTGTTTGAGGTTGTGGACAGGTGTCTTTTATACTGATAACAAGTTCAAACAGGTGCCATTAATACAGGTAACGAGTGGAGGACAGAGGAGCCTCTTAAAGAAGAAGTTACAGGTCTGTGAGAGCCAGAAATCTTGCTTGTTTGTAGGTGACCAAATACTTATTTTCCACCATAATTTGCAAATAAATTCATTAAAAATCCTACAATGTGATTTTCTGGAAAAGAAATTCTCAATTTGTCTGTCATAGTTGACGTGTACCTATGATGAAAATTACAGGCCTCTCTCATCTTTTTAAGTGGGAGAACTTGCACAATTGGTGGCTGACTAAATACTTTTTTTCCCCACTGTATACTGTACAGTTACATGTTGATTCTGAAACCTTTTCCTGCCTTTTTGAAGTGTCCCCTGGCCCAACGATGTGCCTGTGAGAAGGGCGAGAGAGGGCTCAGTGGTCCAACCGTAAGTACTTTCACTGTCCTTTCCAAACACTCCCCAATCACAGAACACTTCTCTTTTGAAATCAAAGAAAGTAGTTTGTTCCTGAAGTGCTGAATTCCATGAAATGTTCTAAAGAGGAAGCTAACATAGTTCTGATATCAGAGGTAATTGCTTGGTTATGTCGAAGAACCCCCTATGGGCAGAGCAAGCTGTCTTTCTTACATCTTCATTACCAGCATTCTGAAAATACTTCAAATGCTACAGGACAAGATAGATAGTTTTTCTCAATGAATGCTTCTTATAAACCTCAGTTGCTAATTTGCATTGCTTGTCCCGGCAAGTTATTGGACATTTCCTTTCCCACATAAGATGTCCCCCATGGAAACCAGGGGCAGCCTATGAAGGCCTTTACTCCCAATAAAAACAGGACCTTTGCCATCGTAAATAACACTTACTACCTCCATTATCAGCTAGTCAGAGATGGAGAATGTTGGAAGAGGCTTAAACTGTGACACTAGGTGTGTGATCTTCTACATCATCGGACCAGACTAGAGGCCCCTCTCTGGATGGATGACAGCCTTATTAATGTCAGGGTCCTCCGCGTCTGACAGTCTTGTGCTGAAAGACAGTTGCATGATCATTAACCAGGTGCTTTCTCTACAGAGAGATTCCTTACATTTTTACACTGAGACTTAAAGGCTCTCATAATTGCTCTCTTTAGTTTAATGGCCACAAACCGACGATAAGCTGCGAATGGCAACCACCACACGCTGTCCAGGTGCCACACGGCAACCTGACCTCTCACCTTTTGGTCAAGCAGCAACATGTCCATCCTTGACACACACACACACACACACACACACACAAAGTCACCCCCCTTGTGACCTCAGGTCATTTTACCACCTGCAATGACCAAACAATGCTGACGCCCTCAGGGAAACTATGCTTCACTTTCCCTTTTCCCTACTTCTGTAGCCAGTGATGGTTTATCTCTCACTGACTCGCTGCAGATCATTTGCAAAGGATAGTGGCCTTCCGTCAAACATGTTTTGTTTTAAAGTGAGTTAAATGAATCTCATGTTGTTCCTTCATTCCACAGGGGAAGAAGGGTCGCCCAGGAGAAGATGGAGTCCCTGGTCTTAAAGGATCGAAGGTCTTTGATTTGTTATGATTCTATTCAATTATTTAATTGATTCACATACCTGCTGTGTTCCTGATGTCTCTCTAAGATGCAAGATACAGCACATTTCCATTTACTTTTCTTGTATAGACATATATTCCTAATATGAGAAATCTAAATGAAATAGCTCCAGTGTGTACTGTGTAAATAATATAGATGCCCTGTTTTCCTTTCCTTATAGGGAGAGGGAGGACTAAGTGGACTTCCAGGTCGGGACGGCGGAGAGGTGAGTGATACACTTAAATACATAGTATGTTCATATGCAGATATCCAGACATCTATAGATACAGATGTAGGATCTTAATTTGATCACCCTGTTGGAGGAGAACTTTCCTGCAATGCAGGAAATGTCAAATGTGTAGTGTATACGAGGTTTAAAAAGGCTTCTGAAGTTTGTAATTTCCACTTAGAATTTTCCCTTACGAAAAATGGATCAACCCCTACAAAAATGTCCATTAATTATAATCCACATAATAATTCACATTTCCTGTTTCTGCAGCAAACTGGCTCAAATTAAGATCATACAGCTGTATGTTGATTAAGCATTTATCAATGTACAGAGTATACAAACATTAAGAACACCTGCTCTTTCCATGACATAGACTGACCAGGTGAATCCAGGTGAAAGCTATGATCCCTTATTGATGTCACTTGATGTTAAATCCACTTCAATCAGTGTAGATGAAGGGGAGGAGACAGGTTAAAGAAGGATTTTTAAGCCTTGAGACAATTGAGACATGGATTGTGTATGTGTGCCATTCAGAGGGTGAATGGGCAAGACAAAAGATTTAAGTGCCTTTGAACGGGCTATGGTAGTAGGTGCCAGGCGCACCGGTTTGTGTCAAGAACTGCAACGCTGCTGGGTTTTTCACGTTTAACAGTTTCCCGTGTGTATCAAGAATGGTCCACCACCCAAAGGACATCCAGCCAACTTGACACAACTGTGGGAAGCATTGGAGTCAACATGGGCCAGCATCCCTGTGGAACGCTTTCGACACCTTGTAGAGTCCACGCCCCGACTAATTGAAGCTGTTCTGAGGGCAAAATGGTGGGGTGCAACTCAATATTAGTAAGGTGTTCCTAATGTTTGGTATACTCAGTGTATGTATCACTATTGCTCACGATCTAACCTATTATACTGTGTTTATTTGCAGGGAAAACCTGGTTACAAAGGAGAGATGGTATGTCATTCAAGTTGCCATACATATTTATGTTATTTTGTAGCTACAGTACATTCATTTCATATGACGTATTGCTTTCCATTTCCATTCCACAGGGTGAGAGGGGCGAGTGTGGTATTCCAGGAATTAAAGGAGACAGGGTATGTATGAATAATCAAATTTGTCTGCTCTCTGTGTCCTGCTTTTGTTCTATTGGTCATATTACAGGCTGATTTATACAGTACCTTTCTTTACTGTTTCATTGAATGTCCACTCCCAGGGTCCTGAGGGTCCAATGGGCACCAGAGGTGTCAGAGGTCTCCAGGTGGGTAGAAAACAGCAACATGTACCTAGAAAATGCACATATTCAGATCAAAGTGTTAACCTTTTGTGAAACTCCTGTATAAATGCATACATACTCACTCCGTGTTCCCTTCCCCTCCCACGCACACACAATGTAGTTGATCATGTCTGTAATCAACTTGGATTGGATTCAGGAGTAGACAGAACATAGTAAATGTAAATCCGGGACACTCCATTTAGTATGATATGTTACGTTTTGTATGGTATGTATTAGTTTGTGGATGTCCATCATCCATTTCGTATGCTATGTTACGAATTACAATTTACATGATTTGCAATGCCAGGGTTGTGGGTTCGATTCCCACGGGGGGCCAGTATGAAAATGTATGCACTCACTAACTGTAAGTCGCTCTGGATAAGAGCGTCTGCTAAATGACTAAAATGTCAAATGTTACAAATTGCAATTCCTACAATATGCTACGAACTGCAATTCGTAAAATATGTTACAAATTTGCTAAATGTATGATATGTTATGAATTCCAATTTGTTGTCACTAATGTTAGCTAAGTGGCTAGGTTTCTAACGCTAACATTAGCTAGGCTAAGGGTTAGGGTTAGGGGTTAGGGTTAAGATTAGGGTTAAGGTTAGGATTAGGAGTTAGGTTAAAGGGTTAAGGTTAGGGGAAGTGTTAGCTAACATGCTAAGTAGTTGAAAAGTAGCTAAAAAGTAGTAAGTAGTTGCAAAGTTGCTAATTAGCTAAAATACTAAAGTTGTTCCGTGATGAGATTCAAACACGCAACCTTTGGTTTGATAGACGTTTGCGTTATACACCTACCCATCCACCTGACCAACCACCCTACTTTTGTTTGCCTTAAGTAACCTTCTGTCTTAGGTAACCATACCAAACGTAACATACAGTATCATACTAATTTGAGTGTCCCGGATTTACCCTTACTATGTTACGTCTAGTTGATGAGACCAGGCTGCTGTAATCTCTTTAGATTTTCCCAGTAATTTAGCAATAGTATCTGGGTAAACTTCACTTTATATCTAGATGTGAATTGTGTCCTCCAGCACAGTATCAGACATGTACACTTGTTAAGGAGTGTTCTTTGTTCCTCCCCAGGGTTTACCCGGACCACAGGGTGACATGGGACCTGAGGGCCCTCAAGGAAAGAAGGTTAGTAAGAAGACACTTCATACTTACTTCATCACACACATCTGCTGTCACCTGTACACTTCCTTTTAATAGAACTTTAAAAGAGAGGTTCCTGACACCCGTTCTACTACCTGGGAGTCGAGGGGCATGTGTCTCCCCTAAAAGGCACATATGGAAGATATCGGCCCAGTGCCATTGTGCCGTCACCTTCATTTGTTCAGCAGCGTGGGGATTCATGCTAGTTTTCACAATCATATACAGGTTCAGTTAATGGCAGGGGTCCTGTTTCTAAATATACACTAGGAACTGCCTAGAGCATTGTCAACCTCCTTACCAGTCCTCTATAGGGATTGTCAAGGCACTTAATAACAGCTATGAAAAGTAAAAGGTTCTCTCTCCATGTAAGAACATGCAGGTGTCTGTTGGAAAGAGATAAAATGAACAAAAGGGTAAACACTTAGAATGTCAAAGATAGATTTTGCTCCCATAATATGAGTAAGTTATACTGTACGTGTTGAGGTTTCTGGCAGATGAAATTTTAGCAGCAGAGTGGATAGGTCACATCATTTGCTAGTGCTGACAAGAAGTGACTTATCTCTTACTAATTGAATCAGCACCACCATCAAATACTATTTTTCAAAGGTGGATGGATTATGGAAAGAGCAATGTTTAAAGTCTACCCTGTTATTAGGAATATGTTTTAATAATGTAAGGTGTTAAGCATTTAAAAGAGCAGGTTGACGTTTATTGTCATGAGTCTTGTCTTGGAGGCAGAACTGATCGATTTTCACTAAATGGGCCAGCTGCAAAGTCAATATTGGCTATATTGTAAAGATTCATGAAAACAAAAATGTGCTGTTTGGTCCTCATTTAAGGTTAGGGTTAGGCATTAGCATTAGCAGTGTGTTTAGGGTTAAGGTTAGGGTTAGGTTTAAAATCCGATTGTATGACTTCTGTGCCAGCTAGTGACCATTCTGCAGAGCTGCCAGAAAGATTCATGACGGAAAAAGCTAACCTGCTTTAAGAGGTAAAATGTGATTGTTCCATTGGTATGGAGGTATGCAAAGAAAATTGTGAGAGATCTGCCTTGCTTTGGGAAAACGTTTTAAGTGGTTATCTCAGCTTTCTTCTTGACAGGCTCCACTTCTTTGCTGTTTCTCATTTAGGATGAAATATCTCCTAAGCCGTGAGTGAAGCTCATAATTACTGCAAACTCTGCAGCGAACCATTGCCTCCAGTAAAATAGCTCTTCATTGTTTTGAGACTGGTTGTTTTTGACTACTTTGAGTCGGAAACTCAACTGAGAAAGTGCCTGGCTGCAGGATGTGTCCTGACTTGTTTTATTTTATAGGGGCCAAATAGTTGCCCACTTTTCCATGTACAGTGCAGTTCAGATAATAGCTCATAACCACTAGTACTGTTTTCACCTCATTTCAACCAGCGTTGTAAACATTGAAGTTAGGGTCAAACTTCAACTTCAATAAATGGACTTAACCTTAATAACAGGTTGTTACATCAATCAAATTTCAACATAGTCATCAGAACAATGTATACGTTGAAATTGTGTTGAAAATTCCACATAGAACCGTAAAAAGTATTTTTCATCCTATATTCAATATACTGTACTGTATATTGATTGTGTGGTTTAAATTGTTGAATTTTAGATTTGATTAGACATATTTGATTTGATATTATTTCAATGTTGATCGTAAAATGGCATGTTCAAATCAATGTCGTTGTTTCAACGTCATGCTATCAACCTAAATAAAGAGTTATATTGAAATAAAATGTGAAACCATAGTCCAACGATTTCTGCCTGCAGTGACTCCTACTGGTATATGAGGGGTAATGCACTTTAATGAGAATAAGTCTACCATCCAGATGTACCCTGCTTAGCAATCAAGCTGTGTTCGTTTCAGCTGAGCTATCATTTCAACACATTTAGACATTGATTCCATACTCATTTGCGTAGACTACCTAAATAACATTGAATAGTTGAAAGTAACTCCTCTAACTTTTCTTACACAAGCTGTATGTGAAAGTAAATTCGGAGTGAGGTTGCATTTATGTAGGCTACATTGACATTGATTTGCCTAACTAAGTACACCATAATTTCAACTTGTAGCTAGGCATACTATCATTCATCCATGGTTGATTGGATCTTTGGAAGTTTAGAAGTAGTAACCATTAGCCCTATAAATAGGATGCCAAATTCATGATATTAATAATACCGTTTTTTGGATATTGTCTTTTATATATGTTATTATATGTAGTTTTTTCAACACAATTTCAAAGTATATATAGTTCTGATGATTATGCTGAAATGAGATTGGTGTAACAACCTGTTAGGTTAAGTCAATGTATTTAAGTTGAAGTTTTACCCTCATTTCAATATTTACAAAGCTGGATGAAATGAGATGAAAACAGTACTGATTGATTACTTTTTTCAAATCCAATGTATTTTCCACGTTGATTCCACGTCACAATACTTCGACAAATTACATTAAATCAATATTGATTCAACCAGTGTGTGCCCAGTGGGTCTGCTTGATTTAGAACACGTTTGAGTAATTACCTTTGAGATCAGAAGTTTTGATATGAGCTTTTTCCCATCAACTTCAAAAATAGCCTCTGTGCAAGTATTTTCTGAGCAATACTAGGCGTTGTTTATAATTCAAATGTAGGAAGAATATAATTGATATAATATCAATATATATCTGAGTAATATAGATCAAAGGGCAATGTTTCTGTGTGATTTCAATTAACATTAATCTGAATCTAAATGTAAAACAACTGGATGTAAAAGTTTGATCTGCGTAAACAGAATTAGAACTTTGGACTGCCCTTTAGCTGTAACCAATGAGGGAAAAAAGTATTTGATCCCCTGCTGATTTTGTACGTTTGCCCACTGACAAAGAAATTATCAGTCTATAATTTTAATGGTAGGTTTATTTGAACAGTGAGATACAGAATAACAACAAAAAAATCCAGAAAAACGCATGTCAAAAATGTTATAAATTGATTTGCATTTTAATGAGGGAAATAAGTATTTGACCCCTCTGCAAAACATGACTTAGTACTTGGTGGCAAAACCCTTGTTGGCAATCACAGAGGTCAGACGTTTCTTGTAGTTGGCCACCAGGTTTGCACACATCTCAGGAGGGATTTTGTCCCACTCCTCTTTGCAGATCTTCTCCAAGTCATTAAGGTTTCGAGGCTGACGTTTGGCAACTCGAACCTTCAGCTCCCTCCACAGATTTTCTATGGGATTAAGGTCTGGAGACTGGCTAGGCCACTCCAGGACCTTGATGTGCTTCTTCTTGAGCCACTCCTTTGTTGCCTTGGCCGTGTGTTTTGGGTCATTGTCATGCTGGAATACCCATCCACGACCCATTTTCAATGCCCTGGTTGAGGGAAGGAGGTTCTCACCCAAGATTTGACGGGACATGGCCCCGTCCATCGTCCCTTTGATGCGGTGAAGTTGTCCTGTCCCCTTAGCAGAAAAACACCTCCAAAGCATAATGTTTCCACCACTATGTTTGAGGTGGGGATGGTGTTCTTGGGGTCATAGGCAGCATTCCTCCTCCTCCAAACATGGCAAGTTGAGTTGATGCCAAAGAGCTCAATTTTGGTCTCATCTGACCACAACACTTTCACCCAGTTCTTCTCTGAATCATTCAGATGTTCATTGGCAAACTTCAGACGGGCATGTATATGTGCTTTATTGAGCAGGGGGACCTTGCGGGCGCTGCAGGATTTCAGTCCTTCACGGCATGGTGTGTTACCAATTGTTTTCTTGGTGAGTATGGTCCCAGCTGCCTTGAGATCATTGACAAGATCCTCCCGTGTAGTTCTGGGCTGATTCCTCACCGTTCTCATGATCATTGCAACTCCACGAGGTGAGATCTTGCATGGAGCCCCAGGCCGAGGGAGATTGACAGTTATTTTGTGTTTCTTCCATTTGCGAATAATTGCACCAACTGTTGTCACCTTCTCACCAAGCTGCTTGGCGATGGTCTTGTAGCCCATTCAAGCCTTGTGTAGGTCAACAATCTTGTCCCTGACATCCTTGGAGAGCTCTTTGGTCTTGGCCATGATGGAGAGTTTGGAATCTGATTAATTGATTGCTTCTGTGGACAGGTGTCTTTTATACAGGTAACAAACTGAGATTAGGAGCACTCCCTTTAAGAGTGTGCTCCTAATTTCAGCTCGTTACCTGTATAAAAGACACCTGGGAGCCAGAAATCTTTCTGATTGAGAGGGGGTCAAATACTTATTTCCCTCATTAAAATGCAAATAAATGTATAACATTTTTGACATGCGTTGTTCTGGATTTTTTTTTTGTTATTCTGTCTCTCACTGTTCAAATAAACCTACCATTAAAATTATAGACTGATCATTTCTTTGTCAGTGGGAAAACGTACAAAATCAGCAGGGGATCAAATACTTTTTCCCCTCACTGTATATATGAATGGTCAAAGCCATCAATCATGTGACACCATTTATATCTATGTGAAGATAAAATAGCGCATTGAAGCCAAATTAAGTCGGTTAAAATGTTGTCTCATGGCGACATACAGTAACATGCACAGTTTGAGCTACTCCAGGAAGTAACTTTGCAGGCTAGCTCAGTGCTACCCCCTCTAATTGAGTAATTCAAGGTGAAGGCCGACCTGGGTACTGCAGGCTGCCATTAGCAACTAAATTATCCTTAAAACTTATTCTGTGTGCGATTTTCAAATAATCGGTTCAAGGACATCCATCTGGTGTATTAGAAGCAATTATTGGTGCCATGCTTGTCTTCGATAACCCACTCCCTTGTTCTTTACAGTGGATCTGTGTTATGCTGCTGACTTTGTTTGCTGCTAACTTTTCTGTGTCTCTCGTGTTGGTTATCATAGGGTGACCGGGGTCCAGCTGGCCCAGCAGGAATTCAGGGAGAAACTGGTATTGGACTTCCTGGACCAAAGGTACGTTTTTTCTATTATTGCTTTTGTATAACTAATGAATTGTCTTACGTTACCTCTTCCATCTCGCCATATCTTGTTTGCAGGGTGATCTGGGATTCCAGGGAAGACCCGGCCCCCCTGGTCCGCCAGGGTTGGGTGAACATGGCCAGCCAGTGAGTGGACAGAAACTGCTGACTAGCATTTTACTGTAGCATACTACATTACGTAGTTTGGTTTCATTGACAACCTGACTGATTTTTTAAAACTTTGAGTGATACTGTATATCACAGTAGGAAACATGAGCTGGGATGACAACTACAAAGGCAGTGTCATCTGACCCAATGTTGGAAAAAGGATTATGCTGGTTTATTTTACAGGGGCCTCAAGGGCCACAAGGTGTTCAAGGGGAGAAAGGACCCTACGGCGAGGGGCTCCCTGGGCCAAAGGTATGATTACGATTTTGTCATGAGAAAAAGGACAAATACAATAGAGAAATTATCTGGGTACAGATAAAATTGTATTTGTCACATGCGCCGAATACAACAGGTGTAGACATTACCGTGAAATGCTTACTTACAAGCCCTTAACCAACAATGCAGTTGAAAGAAAATAAAGTTAAGAAAATATTTACCATATAAACGAAAGTAAAAAATAAAAATAACACAATAAAATATCAATGCAAATAGTCCGGGTGGCCATTTTATTAATTACTCAGGAGTCTTATGGCTTGGGGGTAGAAGCTGTTAAGGAGCCTTTTGGACCTAGACTTGGCGCTCCGGTAACGCTTGCCATGCGGTAGCAGAGAGAACAGTCTATGACTTGGGTGACTGGAGTCTTTGAATGTTTTTTGGGCCTTCCTCTGACACCGCCTAGTTTATAGGTCCTGGATGGCAGGAAGCTTGGCCCCAGTGATGTACTGGGCTTTACACACTACCCTCTGTAGCGCTTTACGGTTGGATGTCGAGCAGTTGCCATACCAGGCGGTGATGCAACCGGATGCAACAGGATGCTCTCGATGGTGCAGCTGTATAACGTTTTGAGGATTTGGGGACCCATGCCAAATCTTTTCAGTCTCCTGAGGGGGAAAAGGCGTTGTCGTGCCCTCTTCACGACTTTCTTGGTGTGTTTGGACCATGATACTTTGTTGGTGATGTCGACACCAAGGAACTTGAAACTCTCGACCCGCTCCACTACAGCCCCGTCGATGTGAATAGGGGCGTGTTCGGCCCTCCTTTTCCTGTAGTCCACAATCATCTCCTTTGTCTTCCTCATGTTGAGGGAGAGGTTGTTGTCCTGGCATCACAATGCTAGGTCTCTGACCTCCTCCCTATAGGCTGTCTCATCGTGGTTGGTGTTCAGGCCTACCACCGTTGTGTCGTCAGCAAACATAATGATGGTGTAAATTCAATTGATTGGACATGATTTGGAAAGGCACACACCTGTCTATATAAGGTCCCACAGTTGACAGTGCATGTCAGAGCAAAAACCCAGCCATGAGGTCGAAGGAATTGTCCGTAGAGCTCAGAGACAGGATTGTGTTGAGGCACAGATCTGGGGAAGGGTACCAACAATTTTCTGCAGCATTGAAGGTCCCCAAGAACAGTGGCCTCCATCATTCTTAAATGGAAGAAGTTTGGAACCACCAAGACTCTTCCTAGAGCTGGCCGCCCGGCCAAACTGAGCAATCGGGGGAGAAGGGCCTTGATCAGGGAGGTGACCAAGATCCCGATGGTCACTCTGACAGAGCTCTAGCGTTCCTCTGTGAAGATGGGAGAACCTTCCAGAAGGTCAACCATCAGAGAGATCCTTCATGAAAACCTGCTTCAGAGCGCTCAGGACCTCAGACTGGGGTGAAGGTTCACCTTCCAATAGGACAATGACCCTAAGCACACAGCCAAGAAAACGCAGGAGTGGCTTCGGGACAAGTCTCTGAATGTCCTTTAGTGGCCCAGCCAGAGCCCGGACTTGAACCCGATCGAACATCTTTGGAGACCTGAAAATAGATGTGCAGTGACGCTCCCCATCCAACCTGACAGAGCTTGAAAGGATCTGCAGAGAAGAATGGGAGAAACTCCCCAAATACAGGTGTGCCAAGCTTGTAGCGTCATACCCAAGACTTGAGGCTGTAATCGCTGCCAAAGGTGCTTCAACAAAGTACTGAGTAAAGGGTCTGAATACTTTCGTAAATGTGATATTTCCATTTTTAAAATAAAATTGTTTTAAAAAATCTCAAAACCTGTTTTTGCTTTTTCATTAAGGGTTATTGTGTGTAGATTGATGAGGGGGAAAAACAATTTAATCAATTTTAGAATAAGGCTGTAAAGTAACAAAATGTGTAAAAAGTCAAGGGGTCTGCATACTTTCCAAATGCACTGTATATGATATCTTATATGTAGACTGTTCTAACATTACATACACATGGAGAGGGCCTGGATTTACATGGGATTTAAGAATGGCAAGCAAGCACAAAATGGAACACATGAAAGCATATGACAGCACTTGGGGAGCTCATGACAGCACTTGGGAGTTCATCTTGGGTTTCATTTTAGATATATTGTCATCATAACATGTAGAGACATGAGCATCAACACACTATATCCGTTGCGTAAACGTAGAAACTATCCTCCTGAACATAGTATGTAGTAATGTTTTTCCTAATTCAAGTCAGAACCTGAAAGCAAATGACATAAAGGCACTGTTGAGAGTTTGAGTGGTTGATGCACATTTGGTAGTAGGCAGATCCTGAAAAGGAGCGCAACACAGAAAATATCCTGAGGCAACCAAACATCTGTCATAACTGTGCCAGACCCATTGGTCCTATGGGAAAGCCCCCCTCCCCAAAAAGGGTCAGGGCAGTTCTATAGGATGGGCCAACCCCCACAACAATTAATGTTCCTGTCTGCATTTCATTATTTTCTGCTAAATTGAGAAGGGCAAGCAACACTCATCAGAGGGATAACACAAACAGATTCCAATATGAATGAAAGATTTGGCAATAACATAACTACACTCATATAGGACCATATCATACTACTCACATGACAGAGACAGGTGCTAACTTAACACTCCCAGTCCCTACTACACTATTGACTGAGAACAATGAGGATAGTGCTGTGAATGTGTGAACAAGTGGCAGCTGGATGTGTGACGGGGAGAGAGCGGTGATGACTTGTCTTTGTTCTGCAGGGAGACCGGGGGCTGGATGGACCGAAAGGGCCTAGAGGACAGACGGGTGCAGGAATCAAAGGAGAAAAGGTGGGCTGTAAATACATCAGTAATGAATACCATCCACACAAGCATGCCATGTCTACCCAACAAAATACCTAATGTTCATAAACAAGCCTGAATGTCTTAGTCAGCAATTATATACAGGCGTCTCCTTGGAATGCTCCATTGAGAAAGAAAAGGCTAAATCTCTAGTTACTGTGGAGAAGTTGAAGGTGGGATTATTTTCGCACTATCTGTTGTAGGATTCAATAAACAACCATGTTATGTTAGAAGTAAAGGTTTTCAAGCACATTTATTGGTGGTTACAGATTTTAGCCCTCTGTAGTCAGAAACAAGATTTGAGGAAGGCACTCATGCAGATATTCAGCCTGGTGATTCTATTAGTACCAATGATCTTGATTTTAAGTCATATCCCACTGGGCACACACTGGTTGAATTAACATTGTTTCCATGTCATTTCAACAAAATTACGCTGAACCAACGTGAAATAGACGTTGAATTGACGTCTGTGCCTTGTGGGACAGGCCAATATGCTCATAAAGGGTTAAATACCAACCTAGTCCCTCAACCCGCTCTATATTTGACCTCAGGGTGAGTTCGGGCCTCCAGGTCATCCAGGACTTGTTGGACTTACAGGAGCCGGCATCCAGGGGGAGAAGGTAAACTGAGTGGCTAAAAGTAACATAATACTACACTTGCATGTACACTACCAGAATCATGTACTACATGATTCCATGTGTTATGTCATAGTTTTGATGTCTTCACTATTACTCTACAATGTAGAAAATAATACAAATAAAGAAAAACCCTTGAATGAGTAGGTGTGTCCAAACTTTTGACTGGTACTGTACATCACATACACTGACATGTGATTGTTATCCCTCAGGGAGTGGAGGGCCCCAGGGGTCCACCTGGCGGCAGAGGGCCACAAGGAGAGGGCTTACCTGGACCTAAGGTTGGTGTTACTCCTAGATAATGTCCATGCCAAGCCGTGATGGAGGCCTTGGGAGTTCTCTAAATGCTGTTGTTTGTAGCTTTCATGTTTTGGCATGGTGGATTTCTTCAAATGCTACTTTCCATTATCTTACTTCCAGGGCGATCAAGGTTTACCAGGAGAGCTTGGAGCTACAGGGGAGAGAGGTGTTGGTGAGCCAGGGCCAAAGGTAAGACAAATACTTTATCCACCCTCATCCAAATAGTAAAGAAATGCCTTCTCAAATAAGCCTGGTGAACACTCAGCGGACAGTTTATTAGGTACACCGACTGAACGTTAGAATAGGCAAAACGGGTGACCTAAGCAACTTTGGCAATTTCTAGACTTGACTGTTCATGCCGCTTTAATATTCTGATCATAGAGTTCCGATCATGGAATTCCGAACGCGTCATGTGTCTACACCTACATTTAAATGTGTCTACCATGTCCACAGTGTGTCCGGATTCCCTTTTCCCGCACTATATTCAAATGCCAGTATGCATTCTACAAATGGTGGAATAGGGAAAATCTGAAAATAACACAACAACAACTGATGGCAGTAGCTAACTACTGTAGCTAACCTCTGTATCTAGCCAGCAAGCAAGCAAACGGGTTAGCATAACTCTAGCCAAACAAAAAATAGTTTTTCTAAATATTAGCTAGCTGGCTAGCATTTATGAGTCCAGCAAACACGTTCCTCACATGCCAGGAACGTATTTCCTCGAAAGGTATAATGAAAAGGTGCCTCTCGGTCCCAAAACACAAGTTTTCTGGAGACTTGTGGTAAGAGTGCTGATGACCTCACCCACTGTATGCACTTTCTGTAGCCTGATTGCGTCAGTCTTTTCAATGCAACCTACGTATTCAGATAGCAGAAGTCGCATGTAAGTGTCAAGTGTAGACACGACATTTGAGAATGGTATGTTCATCGGTGCCAGACGCGCCGGTTCCAGTATCTCAGAAACGGAGGGCCTCCTGGGCTTTTCACACGTGACAGTTTCTAGGGTTTCCTGTCAATGGTGCGACAAACAAAAAACATCCAGTCAGCGGCAGTCCTGTGGGCGAAAACAGCTCGTTGATGAGAGGTCGAAAGAGAATGGCAAGAATCGTGCAAGCTAACAGTCGGGCCACAAACAGGCAAATAACGGTGCAGTACAACTGTGGTGTGCAGAACAGCATTTCGGAACCCACAACTCGTCGGTCCTTGTCACGGATGGTCTATTGCAGCAGACGACCACACCAGGTTCCACTCCAATCAGCTAAAAACAAGAAGAAGCGGCTCCAGTGGGCAGGCGATCACCAAAACCTGACAATTTGAGGAGTGGAAAAACATTGCCTGGTCCGACGAATCCCGGTTCCTGTTGCGTCATGCTGATGGCAGAGTCAGGATTTGGCGTAAGAAGCATGAGTCCATGGCCACATCCTGCCTGGTGTCAACGGTATAGGATGGCGGCGGTGTTGTAATGGTGTGGGGAATGTTTTCCTGGCACACGTTAGGTTCCTTGATACCAATTGAGCAACGTTTCCATGAATTCAGGCTGTTCTGGAGGCAAAGGGGGGTTAGACACCGTACTAGATGGGTGTACCTAATAAACTGGCCACTGAGTATTTTAGAAAGCAATTTGTTTCTTTTTCAGGGTGAGCCTGGTGCATCTGGCCTGGCTGGCTTACCTGGTCTTCCAGGAGAGGATGGGGCTCCAGGACAGAAGGTGTGTTATTTCACCTTTACACCACTTCTATAGATACAATATAGTTCTATAGATACAGTATACCACAACAAAAGGGAATGTGCCAATGTGAAATGGTTTGTGTCTGCCCCCTCTGCCAGGGTGAGTTTGGTATTGCTGGCCTCAGAGGTCCTGAGGGAGCAGCAGGGATCGGCACCCAGGGCGAGAAGGTAGATTTCACATCCTTACCCTTCTGTCATACTAACCTGTAAGCACCAAGAGGGGGTCATGTAAATGCTGTGTGCTCCACCCCTCCCAGGGAGACCAGGGTCAGAGGGGTATCCGTGGATTACATGGACCTCCTGGCATGACCGGACCCTCAGGGGCAAAGGTGAGAATAACACAATAACACTGTCTGAGACCGAACACGGTCTGATCACTACAGGGCAGGTGTATTGTTACTGTGACAACTCTGAATTTGAAAAATCGTCATTGATTCAACCAAAATAGTAATGTATTTTACAGATTGTATTTAGTAAACATCTTAATTTTTTGGTTTGAGTTCAACCAAAATACTATAGATCAGGGCTCTCCAACACTGTTCCTGGAGAGTTACCCTCCTGTAGGTTTGCAATCCAATCCCAGTTGTAACGCACCTGATTCAGCTTATCAACCAGCTAATTATTAGAATCAGCTGCGCTAGATAAGGGTTAGAGCGAAAACCTAGAGGTCGGTAGCTCTCCAGGAACAGGGTTGGCGAGCCCTGCTCTAGATGATTACATAAATGGCCCAAACATCTCTGCAGAAAGAGAGTGTACCCAAAAGTGCTTCAGCCCAGCTTGAACAAAAAAGGGAATCAAGTGCTCAACTGAGAGACTTGAAAGTCCAAAAAACATTCCTTACACTCGAACACTTCAACATGTGACTATCCGGGAAAATAAGGTTAAAAGGAGCACCTTGTGTCTGCATTTAATTTATTGATGATAAATGTTTGTATGTCCCGTCAATACATGCTCAGATCAATACAGACACAGAGTGCTTATTTTTTCTTTATTTTCACCAGTTGAAGTGTCCTGGGGTATAAGGAATGTCTCTGCAGGCTGTAAGGAGTGCGTGGATAAAGGGAGTGTACACTATACAGTGGCTTGCGAAAGTATTCACCCCCCTTGGCATTTTTCCTATTTAGTTGCCTTACAACCTGGAATTAAAATGGATTTTTGGGGGGTTTGTATCATTTGATTTACACAACATGCCTACCACTTTGAAGATGCAAAATATTTTTTATTGTGAAACAAACAAGAAATAAGACAAAAAAACAGAACTTGAGCGTGCATAACTAGGCCATTCCAAGACATAAGTATGTGGACACCCCTTCAAATGAGTGGGTTCGGCTATTTCAGCCACACCCATTTATGACAGGTGTATAAAATTGAGCACACCGCCATGCAATCTCCATTGACAAACATTGGCAGTAGAATGGCCCGTACTGAAGAGCTCAGTGACTTTCAACGTGGCACTGTCATAGGATGCCACCTTTCCAACAAGTCAGTTGGTCAAATTTCTGCCCTGCTAGAGCTGCCCCGGTCAACTGTAAGTGCTGTTATTGTGAAGTGGAAACGTCTAGGAGCAACAACGGCTCAGCCGCGAAGTGGTAGGCCGCACAATCTCACAGAACGGGACCGCCGAGTGCTGAAGCGCGTACAATTGTCTGTCCTTAGTTGCAACACTCACTACCGAGTTCCAAACTGCCTCTGGAAGCAACGTCAGCACAATAACTGTTCGTCGGGAGCTTCATGAAATGGATTTCCATGGCCGAGCAGCTGCACATAAACCTAAGATCACCATGCGCAAAGCCAGGCGTCGACTGGAGTGGTGTAAAGCTCGCCGCCATTGGACTCTGGAGCAGTGGAAATGCGTTCTCTGGAGTGATGAATCACGCTTCACCATCTGGCAGTCCGGCGGACAAATCTGGGTTTGGCAGATGCCAGGAGAATGCTACCTGCCCCAATGCATAGTGCCAACTGTAAAGTTTGGTGGAGGAGGAATAATGGTCCGGGGCTGTTTTTCAAGGTTCGGGCTAGGCCCCTTAGTTCCAGTGAAGGGAAATCTTAACGCTACAGCATACAATTATATTCTAGACGATTCTGTGCTTGCTGGTATGTTGAGATCGGTGGAAGAACTTGACTGGCCTGCACAGAGCCCTGACATCAACCCCATCGAACAGGCCTAATTGCCCAACATCAGTGTCCGACCTCACTAATGCTCTTGTGGCTGAATGGAAGGAAGTCCCTTCAGCAATGTTCCTACATCTAGTGGAAAGACTTCCCAGAAGAGTGGAGGCTTTTATAGCTGCAAATGGGGGACCAACTCCATATTAATGCCCATGAATTTGGAATGAGATGTTCGACTAGCAGATGTCCATCTGCTTTTGGTCATGTAGTGTATCAAGAGTTCAAGTGAAATTATTGCCCATTCTTCTTTCAGGGGGAGCCTGGCACACCGGGCCGACTGGGCATGCCAGGACTACCAGGACGGGCCATTGCAGGTCCTAAGGTAAGAAATACACATCTATTAACATCCTGTTTCTCTATGCAGGTCTTGTCAAGTAATGTACGTAAGAAACACTGTTACACACAGTTCATTGCCATGCATCATCAGATCCTGGCTGATAAACAGCATTGTGATTTCCCTATCTCGCTCTCTGTCTCAGGGTGATCTAGGCCCTCCTGGTCCGTTTGGGCCTATTGGAGAGACAGGCTATGGGCTGCCTGGGCCAAAGGTAAGTGTTGCAGTTACCAACAAATAAATCACAAAAAACTGTGGTGAAAGTTACCGTGAGGCATACAGGTGTAGGATCTTTGATCACCCTGTTGTTGCAGGAAATGTCCTACACAGCTGGAAATAATAATAGTGGGTGCTTATATTTGTCCTATTTCACACGTGTGAATTAATACGCATGTGTGAATTAGATATGTGTATTTTGCATATCCCAACTCTCCCTGAGACACCCTCTGAGAGTGGGGTCACGGTCAGGGTCTGTCGACGGCGACCCTGAAGCAATTAGGGTTAAGTGCCTTGCTCAAGGGCACATCAACAGATTTTTCACCTTGTCGGCTAGGGGATTCGAATTGGCAACCTTTTAGTTACTGGCCCAAAGCTATAACCGCTCAACTACCTGTCGCCCAAATGCAAACTTGTAGTGTATTGAAGGTTTTAAAAGCTTCTAAAGTTTGTAATTTCTACTTTAAAATGTCAGACTTGATTTGCCCTAACTAAAAATGTATCAATCCCTACAAAAATATCCATTAATTATAATCCACACAATCATTCACATTTCCTGTTGCTGCAGGATTCTTTTCCTGCTGTTAGAAAATTCTCAAATTAAGATCCTACACCTGTATGATATGCTCATTATTTGAATGATGTTTTACCAGGGCAACCGTGGTAATCCTGGTCCACTAGGTCAATTTGGGCCCAAAGGTGAAGGTTTCCCTGGACCAGTGGTGAGTAGTACCAACAACCCAACCTACAAACTCATGAATCTCCATGTCCTAATTGCAGATTGGTGCAGTTTAGTCAAACTCAGTCTCATGAAGTTTTGGTTGTCCCCTGTTCCTCCTTTAGGGTCCTCCAGGCCTTCCAGGTCTACAGGGAGAGCAGGGCCCTGAGGGCGTTGGCATCCCAGGACCTAAGGTACTTCTTATTTATCTGGCCCTAAATCCTCTTTGCATGTCAATCTGCTACAACCTAGTGCATGGGAATATGAAATGTGTATTGTTTGTGATTGTAAATATGTCTGTCCCAGGGAGACATTGGCTTCAGAGGATTGGCAGGTTTGCCAGGCCCAACGGGAGAGGGTGTGCAAGGACCACCGGTATGAAGCTAACATTAATCTCTGACAAAAACAGAGATTCCTTATGTAGACAGAGGTCACAGTCTGAGTGTAATGAGTGACATACACTATATATATAAAAGTATGTGGACACCCCTTCAAATTAGTGGATTCAGCTATTTCAGCCACACCCGTTGCTGACAGGTGTATAAAATCGAGCACACCGCCATGCAAATTCCATAGACAAACATTGGCAGTAGAATGGCCCATCCTGAACAGCTCAGTGACTTTCAACGTGGCACCTTTCCAACAAGTCAGTTTGTCACATTTCTGCCCTGCTAGAGCTGCCCCGGTCAACTGTAAGTGCTGTTATTGTGAAGTGGAAACGTCTAGGAGCAACAACGGCTCAGCCGCGAAGTGGTAGGCCACACAAGCTCACAGAATGGGACCGCTGAAGCGCGTACCGCGTAAAAATCGTCTTTCCTCCGTTGCAACACTCACTACCGAGTTCCAAACTGCCTATGGAAACAACGTCAGCACAATAACTGTTTGTCGGGAGCTTCATGAAATGGGTTTCCATGGCCGATCAGCCGCACACAAGCCTAAGATCAGCATGCGCAATGCCAAGCGTCGGCTGGAGTGGTGTAAAGCTCGCCGCCATTGGAGCAGTGAATCATGCTTCACCATCTGGCAGTCCGACGGACGAATCTGGGTTTGGCGGATGCCAGGAGAACGCTACCTGCCCCAATGCGTAGTGCCAACTGTAAAGTTTGGTGGAGGAGGAATAATGGTCTGGGGCTGTTTTTCATGGTTCGGGCTAGGCCCCTTAGTTCCAGTGAAAGGAAATCTTAACACTACAGCATACAATGACATTCTAGAAGATTCTGTGCTTCCAACTTTGTGGCAACAGTTTGGGAAGGCCCTTTCCTGTTTCAGCATGACAATGCCCCCGTGCACAAAGCGAGGTCCATACAGAAATGGTTTGTCGAGATTGGTGTGGAAGAACTTGACTGGCCTGCACAGAGCCCTGACCTCAACCCCATCGAACACCTTTGGGATGAATTGGAACGCCGACTGCGAGCCTAATCGCTCAACATCAGTGCCCGACCTCACTAATGCTCTCGTGGCTGAATGGAAGCAAGTCCCCGCAGCAATGTTCCAACATCTAGTGGAAAGCCTTCCCAGAAGAGTGGAGGCTGTTTTAGCAGCAAACGGGGGACCAACTCTATATTAATGCCCATGATTTTGGAATGAGATGTTCGATGAGCAGGTGTCCACATACTTTTGGTCATGTAGTGTACCATATCACATATCAGTAGTCCAGCAGTGATGGCAATGCCAAACTTAATTTGTTGATTAGAGTCTGTAGTCTGTCTGTCCCCTCCTATAACACTAGCATCATTGGTTTCTAGGGTAACATTGGAAGGCCAGGACCCCATGGTCCATCAGGGCCCCCAGGGGAAGGTCTGCAGGGCCCCAAGGTATGTTAATTAACATAGTACATTCCTGACCTATGACCTTCAGTGTGTTGCACTTTTCCAGGTATCTGACCTTTTTTAAATGACCACCCTATGGGTCTTGTTTTGATTTATGGTTCATCTTTTGTTTTTAGGGTGAGCAGGGGTCTCAGGGTGTGACAGGGCCAAGGGGACCCTCAGGGGAAGGATTCCCAGGAGCTAAGGTAAGATGTATGCTTAACCTCATGGCACTCGTCTACTGATGGATGCAGTGACCTTGTCTCTAACAGCAATCCTCCTGTCTCTTCACTGAAGGGTGACCGTGGCTTGCAGGGTGAGAGAGGAAATAAGGGTGGAGTGGGTGATCTGGGAGATCATGGGGTTCCTGGAGAGTCTGTGAGTCTTGAAATGTGTCTATGTCATATTTTACAACATTTCAAAGTCATGGTATATGATCAATCCATGAATTTAAATATTTTCTTGTATCTCAGGGGAGACCAGGAATAAAAGGTGAAGCCGGCCTTACAGTAAGTTCACAAACTTTGCATACTACATCATTGATGCTGTGATATAGAAAAAAAATATGATAAATGAATGTAACTCACACTCCTATCACTTCCAGAGAGAAGACATCATTAAATTGATCAAGGAAATCTGTGGTGAGACTGTTTAACCGTGATAATAACAAATCTAAGCTAAAATATGAAGCATAGATTAAATCATGTTAGTAGCTATTCAGCATCTCTCTCATGCTTTCAGGATGTGGGATCAAGTGCAAGGAGATGCCAATGGAACTTGTTTTCGTCATTGACAGCTCAGAGAGTGTTGGTCCAGAAAACTTTGAAATCATCAAGGACTTTGTCACAGCGTTGGTAGACCGTACCACTGTTGGACGTAATGCCACCAGAATTGGACTGGTAATGTACAGTCTGGATGTCCAACTTGAGTTCAACCTGGCGCGCTACATGACCAAGCAGGATGTTAAGGAGGCCATCAGGAAAATGCCCTACATGGGTGAGGGCACCTACACTGGCACTGCCATCCGGAAGGCTACCCAGGAAGCCTTCTACAGTGCCCGTACTGGGGTCAGGAAGGTGGCCATTGTCATCACAGATGGAAAGACAGACAAACGAGAACCTGTGAAGCTAGACATTGCTGTGAGGGAGGCCCATGCTGCCAACATTGAGATGTATGCCCTGGGGATTGTTAACACCTCAGATACTACCCAGGACGAGTTCATGCGTGAGCTCAATCTGATCGCCTCTGACCCTGACAGTGAACATATGTACCTCATCGACGACTTCAACACTCTACCAGGTGATTAACACGGCCATACGTCTCACCTAGCTATCTTAAGATGAATCCACTAATTGTAAGTCGCTCTGGATAAGAGTGTCTGCTAAATGACAAGAAATGTCTTATGTAAAATGTGTATAGTATCACACATTACTTAATACAAAGCTGATGTATAGTAATCACAACTGACTTAGAGATACAGTGAGGGAAAAAAGTATTTGATCCCCTGCTGATTTTGTACGTTTGCCCACTGACAAAGAAATGATCAGTCTATAATTTTAATGGTAGGTCTATTTGAACAGTGAGAGACAGAATAACAACAAAGAAATCAAGGAAAACACATGTCAAAAATGTTATAAATTGATATGCATTTTAATGAGAGAAATAAGTAGCATAACACAGATCCACTGTAAAGAACAAGGGAGTGGGTTATCGAAGACAAGCATGGCACCAATAATTGCTTCTAATACACCAGATGGATGTCCTTGAACCGATTATTTGAAAATCGCACACAGAAGAAGTTTTAAGGATAATTTAGTTGCCAATGGCAGCCTGCAGTACCCAGGTCGGCCTTCACCTTGAATTACTCAATTAGAGGGGGTAGCACTGAGCTAGCCTGCAAAGTTACTTCCTGGAGTAGCTCAAACTGTGCATGTTACTGTATGTCGCCATGAGACAACATTTTAACCGACTTAATTTGGCTTCAATGCGCTATTTTATCTTCACATAGATATAAATGGTGTCACATGATTGATGGCTTTGACCATTCATATATACAGTGAGGGAAAAAAGTATTTGATCCCCTGCTGATTTTGTACGTTTTCCCACCGACAAAGAAATGATCAGTCTATAATTTTAATGGTAGGTTTATTTGAACAGTGAGAGACAGAATAACAACAAAAAAATCCAGAACAACGCATGTCAAAAATGTTATAAATTTATTTGCATTTTAATGAGGGAAATAAGTATTTGACCCCCTCTCAATCAGAAAGATTTCTGGCTCCCAGGTGTCTTTTATACAGGTAACGAGCTGAAATTAGGAGCACACTCTTAAAGGGAGTGCTCCTAATCTCAGTTTGTTACCTGTATAAAAGACACCTGTCCACAGAAGCAATCAATCAATCAGATTCCAAACTCTCCACCATGACCAAGACCAAAGAGCTCTCCAAGGATGTCAGGGACAAGATTGTTGACCTACACAAGGCTTGAATGGGCTACAAGACCATCGCCAAGCAGCTTGGTGAGAAGGTGACAACAGTTGGTGCAATTATTCGCAAATGGAAGAAACACAAAATAACTGTCAATCTCCCTCGGCCTGGGGCTCCATGCAAGATCTCACCTCGTGGAGTTGCAATGATCATGAGAACGGTGAGGAATCAGCCCAGAACTACACGGGAGGATCTTGTCAATGATCTCAAGGCAGCTGGGACCATACTCACCAAGAAAACAATTGGTAACACACTATGCCGTGAAGGATTGAAATCCTGCAGCGCCCGCAAGGTCCCCCTGCTCAATAAAGCACATATACATGCCCGTCTGAAGTTTGCCAATGAACATCTGAATGATTCAGAGAAGAACTGGGTGAAAGTGTTGTGGTCAGATGAGACCAAAATTGAGCTCTTTGGCATCAACTCAACTTGCCATGTTTGGAGGAGGAGGAATGCTGCCTATGACCCCAAGAACACCATCCCCACCTCAAACATAGTGGTGGAAACATTATGCTAAGGGTGTGTTTTTCTGCTAAGGGGACAGGACAACTTCACCGCATCAAAGGGACGATGGACGGGGCCATGTACCGTCAAATCTTGGGTGAGAACCTCCTTCCCTCAGCCAGGGCATTGAAAATGGGTCGTGGATGGGTATTCCAGCATGACAATGACCCAAAACACACGGCCAAGGCAACAAAGGAGTGGCTCAAGAAGAAGCACATTAAGGTCCTGGAGTGGCCTAGCCAGTCTCCAGACCTTAATCCCATAGAAATTCTGTGGAGGGAGCTGAAGGTTCGAGTTGCCAAACGTCAGCCTTGAAACCTTAATGACTTGGAGAAGATCTGCAAAGAGGAGTGGAACAAAATCCCTCCTGAGATGTGTGCAAACCTAGTGGCCAACTACAAGAAACATCTGACCTCTGTGATTGCCAACAAGGGTTTTGCCACCAAGTACTAAGACATGTTTTGCAGAGGGGTCAAATACTTATTTCCCTCATTAAAATGCAAATCAATTTATAACATTTTTGACATGCGTTTTTCTGGATTTTTTTGTTGTTATTCTGTCTCTCACTGTTCAAATAAACCTACCATTAAAATTATAGACTGATCATGTCTTTGTCAGTGGGCAAACGTACAAAATCAGCAGGGGATCAAATACTTTTTTCCCTCACTGTATCATACACTTTAACTGAGGTTGTTATTTCTCTTCTTCTGTCTTTCAGCTCTGGAGTCAAAACTTGTTAGCCAGTTCTGTGAGGATGAGAATGGAGCCCTTGTGATGAATCGCATCGCTAATGGCTTTGGAACCAATGGGAACAATGGCTATGGGAACCACAGATATGGTCAGGAAGCCTATGGGAATAACGGACATGGGAATAACGGCTATGGGGACAGCGGCTATGGAAACACCTATCATGAGGATCCTATCCTAAATCCTAATAGACGCACCAGTTCCCAGAGTTACATCAGAGGCCGTGGAGATACCTTTGCTCTGCCCCTCAACGCTGGACCACTCCCAGTACAGGTCCATGTAATCCTTTACAGGACAGATTTATATCATACAAAGTAACTCTCCTTAGGTTTTTATAGAGGAGCAATTGAATGATTGCTTTGTAATAGTTGTGGTCATTGCTCTGTTAATTCAATTTTATCAGTAAAGTTGTTGAGTTACTGTCTAACTAATATATGTGTGTGTGTGTATTCATCCAGGTGGAGGATGATGAGGAGGGTGAAGATTTAGACATAAGGACCCATGTGCGAGGAGGTATTGTGGCTGTAGTTAACAAGACAGTATCCATCCTCCCTGCAAGGGAAAGCTCCCACTCCAACACAGCTGGAGTATCATCATCATCAGGATCATCATCATCATCCTCCGGAACATCGGGTTCAGCTTCATCCACCAGCTCAGGCCAATTTCGGCCGGTATCAATTCCTAATACCATTTCCCCCCAAGGTTAGGACCTCTCACTGCAACATGTTCACAACTAGATCAAAAGTCACATCATCTCTAAATACTGTATGTTTTAGATAAAGAAACTGGGTCAATTTTGTCTGACATTCAATTATGTCTTAACAACTTTTCTAATGCCCTGAATGTCATACTTCTCCTTCTATGTTGTTCTGTCAGAGTCTGTGCCGCTTGATTCCCGGTGTAACCTGAGTTTGGACCAAGGCACCTGTCGAGAGTATAAAATCCGGTGGTATTACGACAAACAGGCCAATTCATGTGCACAGTTCTGGTATGGAGGCTGTGAAGGAAATGCCAACCGCTTTGAGACTGAGGATGAATGCAAGAAGATCTGTGTTCTATCTAGAACAGGTATGTCCCACAGCTCGTGGTAATCTTAAGCCGCTGTGCTCTGTTTTCTGGCATTCTTTTTGACATGCTCTTCCCTCTATTTTCCACAGCTGGTTAAAACAGGCAGATGATCAATCAACTCATCTGTACAATATTCCATGGAAACCAACCAAAGTGGAGAAGACTATTTGAATATTTCATGTAATAGTCTACTACTGTTTGATATCTAAATATATTTTAAAACAGGCATTTATCGTTGGGAAAAAACTCCACTTTGCATCTCTCTCTCTCTCTCTCTCTCTCTCTCTCTCTCTCTCTCTCTCTCACAAAGGTGCAAAAGAATAAGGGAGGGACACACCATTTCAAGATTTCATGAAGTTGTCTTACTTTTCAGATGTATTACCATCTGAACAACACCTTCCTAAACGAACAAATCTTTATGTGGACTTTATTTGAGGAAGTCTGAATTTGAAGAAAATATAAGGGTGATATGGTATTTTACTACATTAGAAAAGTGATCCTATCTTCCTCTCATTATATTGATATTGCAGAATTAGCTAATCCATTCAATACCTCAATGTTACTCAACATTACCTTAGGGCTTAGGCTGTTCTGAACAAAGAGGATAGGTTCAAACCCAGCTTTTGTCATTTCAGGTTTACATGAGAAAAACATCACACAATGTAAATTCTCAAAACTCTGAGTCAAGCACATTATGCTGTTCCACACTGAATATTGTCTTATAGTATCAGGATAGAGACTTGTAGAATAAATCATTTTTTGTAGTATATATTTTGAATTCATTTTTGAAAGGAAACTAAATTAAGTAGGTGTGGTCATTATTTTTCTTGTTTGTTTAATGATATTAATTACTCAATTTTGGCGATATAGGCTAGGCGGCAGGTCTACAAGTGACAGTATGCAATTTACTAAGCATTTTTCTGTTTTGGAAAATGTGATGATTGGAAATTGCACATCACTGTTGATGAAAAAGCTCATTTGAAATTAATTACCACATTTTTTGTTGACTGGTTTTGATTATTTTCTTTTTAGGAATAAAACGTTGAATAAGTTGTGTGTTACTTGATTACTTCACTGTCAGATGAACAGGTAAAGTTGCCAAATTAACATACTACAAACAAATCCACCTGTATTTGCATTGCTGATGGCACACAATTACCTAGAAAAGCGTTATAAGGGGAACATGTGCTTGCTATCTACCCAGAAGAAACGCAGTTTGCTTTTCTATCTTGTCCTGTTATAGTACACTGACTATAGTAGCTACACCTGTTTCTTATTTACAGGCAAATGAAAACTCGACCTGGCGAAGTCTTGATAGACTGCCTAGATTCAATTGAAGATACCAAAGGAAACAACGGGATCGAGGTAACGACGTTAATGTAGCTAGCGATTGCCACAAAATCCATTACCTAAACTTACATTCACTTGGCTTAACACATTATACACTTCTCGTCATGTGTCAAGGCAGTACACTCATACAAGGGAGATACAGTAGTAGCCAAGTACCTCAACTTCACGATGATTATTTCATCCACGGAATTGTGCGCGGACTTAGTACAGTAGTCTAGCTAGACTGAGTTTTTTTTAATGAACCTCCAACTCCTTCGAGTCGCTAACCTTATGCAGTCAATACTTTAAAAATGCAAAGGCCTTGATACACTGGACATTTTGAGAGGCAATGTTGTCAGCAATGGTTGCTGCAACTATTTTACATTGAAAATCAACAAATGTTTATTATCTGGGGAATCTTGATCGGCAGCTCCATCTAGGGTGCGTTCGTAAATTCACTCTGTCTTGACACATGACGAGTAGTGTACATTGTGTCAAGGCTATACTTGCTTGTTTCGTCACATGAACTGAAATTAGGCGAACTATTAGAATTTTAACATCCAGTAAATGGCGGAGAGAGATTTCTGCATAGTGCATCTTTAAGACAAAACTGTAACTCGGCCACTCAGGAACATTCACTGTCTTTTTTGTTAGCTAATAAATTCCAGTACAGATGTGGCAGTCAACAGGCAACAACAAGCTATAGGAGATGAGTGAATAAATAGGTGAATTCAGTTAAGTTAATATATGCTGCATATGAAATCTATTATTCATGTCCATGTGCTCATTGCTCCAGTGTCTCAAACGCCACTCCGTTGCCAGCAATTGCTCGGCAATATTGCCTCTTCTTCTTCCTGTGAATTTCCGTCTACGCTTTTTGGCATATTGATGCCTTTCTCAGTTCGGAATGTGCATTTCACATCAGGACTGCCAACTTTTGATAAAAGCTTGGAGTGAGATTTGCTATTTGAATTTCATTGCCCCCTGGCACAATCCCTAGACAGGGGGCTGAGGGTGGTCCACCCCCAGGAAGATTTTACTTATTTAAAGCGAATTTCCTGCCATTCTACATATTTTGACATGGCTTAGACCTATGACCTGGGTGAAAAAGGTGGTGTATTCAGGATGCTTTGAAAATTAAATGAACACTCAAAATTTGAAGACTTTTTGGGGGATGAAATGTAAAGTATGCTTATATTTTTTAAACATTTTTTTAGGTTGGGTCTTGTGTGACACTTTATTCAGACAGTAATGAAATGAGATAGGGAGACAGGCAAATGCTAGAAACAGTGGGAAGGTTGGAAGCAGGGATTGATCCCTGTTCTCAGGTATGCGACACGTGCCGGGGAGTGTTACCACTACACCAAGGCTCTGGACATGAAATTGTAATGTTAATGGTTGATGGCAGTGGGTAACCAAATCATACATTGCATCCTGCTTGTCCATAAACTGCTTTCAAGGTAAGGACACAAACATTTAATATTTTGGGTGAACTCTCTCTTTAAAATAGGGCTGGAAGAAAATCCTGCTAGTTCTCCAGGAGATCTTGCATGGAGCCCCAGGCCGAGGGAGATTGACAGTTCTTTTGTGTTTCTTCCATTTGCGAATAATCGCACCAACTGTTGTCACCTTCTCACCAAGCTGCTTGCCGATGGTCTTGTAGCCCATTCCAGCCTTGTGTAGGTCTACAATCTTGTCCCTGACATCCTTGGAGAGCTCTTTGGTCTTGGCCATGGTGGAGAGTTTGGAATCTGATTGATTGATTGCTTCTGTGGACAGGTGTCTTTTATACAGGTAACAAGCTGACATTAGGAGCACTCCCTTTAAGAGTGTGCTCCTACTCTCAGCTCGTTACTTGTATAAAAGACACCTGGGAACCAGAAATCTTTCTGATTGAGAGGGGGTCAAATACTTATTTCCCTCATTAAAATGCAAATCAATTCATAACATTTTTGACATGCATTTGTCTGAATTTTTTTGTTGTTATTCTGTCTCTCACTGTTCAAATAAACCTACCATTAAAATGATAGACTGATCATTTCTTTGTCAGTGGGCAAACGTACAAAATCAGCAGGGGATCAAATACTTTTTTCCCTCACTCTTATGCCATTGAATCTCAACAAGGAAACAGTTGTATTTTATTAACGTTTTATTAAAAAGTATGGCTTTCAGCAAACAAAGAAAGGCACACTACAACAGAGGACAAACATAGGTACACGGTAATGGTTTAAGAATTTACATTTTTAAGTATCGACTACATAGAGAGTAGTCTGCACTCAACTCAATGGATAAATCATCGTTGAGTTGAGGTACTTGTCTAGGGCTACACCAGAGCCATACACTCTTTCTATGCCATTGGGTTTGGCCTTTTCCTTCTCCTCTCAAGAAGCCCTAGCTGAGAATTCTCAACTCCACGATACTCAATGGAGTTGGGTGGCGATGAGTTTTGGGGGAGTGTACCTCCGACTACACTACATCGAGTTGGTATCAGTCGATCCTAGGCCTGAGGTAAGAAAACTATGGATTGCAGCAGCCAAAGAAAAGAACGCCATTACAGAGGACAAACATATGTACAAGGAACGCATTAAATAACTTTTTTTTTAAAGGATCAACTGATAGACACCACCAAAACTCATCCCCCCTCTCAACTGCATTGAGTATCGTGGAGTTGAGAATTCTCAGCCACCCAAACCCCAATACGAACAAGTGAACACTTGCAACAAAGGCCTGAGAGATCACAGGGACTATCCAGCTACATTCCCACAAGAAAAAAATACTATAGGATACTATGGTATAAATACTATAGTATTCACTGTAGTGTTTTTGTGGACTTTACTGTAGTATTTACAGTTAACTATAGTATGAATACTGTAGTAAAATAACTAGTATATACTATAGTTATTAATGTAGTGTTTTTGCGGACTGTAGTATACTGTAGTATTTACTGTAATGTTTTTGCAGACATTACGGTAGTATTTAGTGTTTTTGTTTTATTATCTTTGACATAGTAGTGGAGGCTTTCTCCTTGAGGAAACCTATTGGAGAAATACTAAAAGAGCAAATGTTCCATAACCTGTAGGTAGGACTGGGGTCTGATCAGATAGTTCAGAGCTTCTGCTCTTTTCTATACCTTGTAGGGAACACGATACACGGTTTATGCTTGGCATGTAGGTTTCTCACTTATGTGTGGCACAAATTGGGATATGGGGGAGGGGTATATGCTAATAAAATACTGTAGTATTTACTATATTATACTAAAGAATTATATAATATGTACCACACATGATCGAGGGATACTACAGTGTATAGTATTATACAGTAAACTACAGACTTCTATAGTAAGTACTGTAGTATTTTTCTATGTGGGTTGACATCAATGTATTAATTGAGGGCGCAGAGTAAACAGCCAGACTAGGTGGGACTTGAACCAGCGAACGTGTGGTTATGTGCACTAATATACAGTACTTACTCCTTACTTTCAGGGAGGCTCCTGGTAACAAATCTGAGGATCATCTGGCATTCTTTGGCTCTGCCAAGAGTCAATTTGTATGAGTACACCTAGACCTAGCCAGCTACATATCTATTTATCTTTCCTTGACATGGCTAGAGAAGCATCCACTCTGCAAAGGGACAACATTATTATTCTCATCTCAATGAATACGGCCCTCTTTTGGATTATGATGGTACCACAGTGGGCCACAAAGATAATCATTAGTAATAGCGAGTATCGTTTCCCCAAAATTGTTTAAATCAAACAACACTGAGTGACATTGATGTTCTTTATGTTTCATAGCAGTTGGATACAATTCTTTCATTAACATCACAACAAGGACAGCTAACTCTGTACGTACAGTTGAAGTCGGAAGTTTACATACACTGAGGTTGGAGTCATTAAAACTCATTTTTCAACCACTCCACAAATGTCTTGTTAACAAACTATAGTTTTGGCAAGTCGGTTAGGACATCTACTTTGTGCATGACACAAGTCATTTTTTCAACAATTGTTTACAGACAGATTATTTCACTTATAATTCACTGTATCACAATTCCAGTGGGTCAGAAGTGTACATACAGCTTGGAAAATTCCAGGAAATTATGTCATGGCTTTTACAATCTTCTGATAGGTTAGTTGACATCATTTGAGTCAATTGGAGGTGTACCTATAGATATATTTCAAGGCCTACCTTCAAACTCAGTGCCTCTTTGCTTGACATCATGGGAAAATCAAAAGAAATCAGCCAAGACCTCAGAAAAAAAATGGTAGACCTCCAGAAGTCTGGTTCATCCTTGGGCGCAATTTCCAAACGCCTGAAGGTACAACGTTCATCTGTACAAACAATAGTACGCAAGTATAAACACCATGGGACCACGCAGCTGTCATACCGCTCAGGAAGGAGACACGTTCTGTCTCCTAGAGATGAATGTACTTTGGTGCGAAAAGTGCAAATCAATCCCAGAACAACAGCAAAGGACCTTGTGAAGATGCTGGAGGAAACAGGTACAAAAGTATCTATATCCACAGTAAAAAGTCCTATATCGGCATAACCTGAAAGGCCGCTCAGCAAGGAAGAAGCCACTGCTCCAAAACCGCCATAAAAAAGCCAGACTACGGTTTGCAACTTCACATGGGGACAAAGATCGTACTTTTTGGAGAAATTTCCTCTGGTCTGATGAAACAAAAATAGAACTGTTTGGCCATAATGACCATCGTTATGATTGGAGGAAAAAGGGGGGCGCTTGCAAGCCGAAGAACACCATCCCAACCGTGAAGCACAGGGGTGGCAGCATCATGCTGTGGGGGTGCTTTGCTGCAGGAGGGACTGGTGCACTTCACAAAATAGATGGCATCATGAGGAAGGAAAATTATGTGGCTATATTGAAGCAACATCTCAAGACATCAGTCAGGAAGTTAAAGCTTGGTCGCAAATGGGTCTTCCAAATGGACAATGACCCCAAGCATACTTCCAAAGTTGTGACAAAATGGCTTAAGGACAACAAAGTCAAGGTATTGGAGTGGCCATCACAAAGCCCTGACCTCAATCCTATAGAAAATCTGTGGGCAGAACTGAAAAAGTGTGTGCGAGCAAGGAGGCCTACAAACCTGACTCAGTTACACCAGCTCTGTCAGGAGGAATGAGCCAAAATTCACCCAACTTATTGTGTGAAGCTTGTGGAAGGCTACCCGAAACGTTTGACCCAAGTTAAACAATTTGAAGGCAATGCTACCAAATACTAATTGGGTGTATGTAAACTTCTGACCCACTGGGAATGTGATGAAAGAAATAAAAGCTGAAATAAATAATTCTCTCTACTATTATTCTGACATTTCACATTCTTAAAATAAAGTGGTGATCATAACTGACCTAAGACAGGGAATTTTTACTAGGATTAAATGTCAGGAATTGTGAAAAACTGAGTTTAAATGTATTTGGCTAAGGTGTATGTTAACTTCCGACTTCAACTGTATGTAGGTCTGTCTGTCTATCAATTTACTTTATGGGTAGACATGCCTAGATGTCACCACCACTACTACTTCTTTTTCAGAAATTGAGGCCAGACTGAAGCACTGTATATCTCGACAAAGTCTAACAATACAAGATTTGAGTCGATTTTCACCAATGTGGTTCCGGGGAGTCAAAGACTATTTACATCTGTCATTGCTGTTCACAGGTATTTATACCTAGAAAACAAGAAATTACACTTGTGGAAGTTGACATTTTCCCAGATTATGTCATGATATATGATTCAGTTAAGTCACTGCTGAGTTGAATTGAATGTCTCGTCAACTAATTGTTGTGTAAATCTGCTCTAGGGCATATGAGACCTCTAAAATGTACCGTGACCTGAAGCTGAGAGGAGCTCTCATTCAAAATAAACAACTGAGGCTTTTGCCTCGAGAGGAAGTGTACGACAAATTCAACGGGGTGTGGAATTTATTCAGTGACCAGGTACACATCAATTACTCTAGCTAGTTAATCCTTCAGGAAATATTTGAAATAGTGTTTCATGCCTTTACAATGAAACTAACTAGCCTGAATTGTATCTTGGAGGGTAATCTAGGATCCTTCTTCATCACTAATGTTCGGATGGTTTGGCATGCCAATATGAATGAGAGCTTCAACATCAGCATTCCATATCTTCAAATTATAAGTGTCGTAAACAAATGAAGTAATAGAAAAACCAGCTGACATGACCAGCCTAAAAAATGACCTTTTGAGGTATTGAAAGTGATCAACTATTTTCCTTATTGTCACCTCTCTTCCCCTGTAGCGGTCCATCAGAATAAGAGACTCAAAGTTTGGCCTAGCTTTGGTTATAGGAAACTCTCAGCAGGTAATTTTGATCCTAATTGTCACCTCTCTTTCCCAAAGAGTTCCATCAGAGTAAGAGACTAAAAGTTTAGTCTGGCTTTGGTGATAGAAAGCTTTCATCAGATAATTGTGATAATTTCAGATGCAACCGGTAGTATTTTACTTATTGTGTACCATATAATTACATAGAACTAGTAAACTCAGCAAAAAAAGAAACGTCCTCTTACTGTCAAATGCGTTTATTTTCAGCAACTTAACATGTGTAAATATTTGTATGAACATAACAAGATTCAACAACTGAGACATAAACTGAACAAGTGCCACAGACATGTGACTAACAGAAATTGAATAATGTGTCCCTGAACAAGGGGGGGGGGGGTCAAAATCAAAAGTAACAGTCAGTATCTGGTGTGGCCACCAGCTGCATTAAGTACTGCAGTGCATCTCCTCCTCATGGACTGCACCAGATTTGCCAGTACTTGCTGTGAGATGTTACCCCACTCTTCCACCAAGGCACCTGCAAGTTCCCGGACATTTCATTTCTGGGGGGAGTGGCCCTAGCCCTCACCCTCCGATCCAACAGATCCCAGACGTGCTCAATGGGATTGAGATCCGGGCTCTTCGCTGGCCGTGGCAGAACACTGACATTCCGGTCTTGCAGGAAATCACGCACAGAATGAGCAGTATGGCTGGTGACATTGTCATGCTGGAGGGTCATGTCAGGATGAGCCTGCAGGAAGGGTACCACATGAGGGAGGACATGAGGGAGGAGGATGTCTTCCCTGTAACACACAGCGTTGAGATTGCCTGCAATGACAACAAGCTCAGTCCGATGATGCTGTGACACACCGCCCCAGACCAAGACGGACCCTCCACCTCCAAATCAATCCCGTTCCAGAGTACAGGCCTCGGTGTAACGCTCATTCCTTTGACGATAAATGCGAATCCGACCATCACCCCTGGTGAGACAAAACCGCAACTCATCAGTGAAGAGCACTTTTTGCCAGTCCTGTCTGGTCCAGCGACGGTGGGTTTGTGCCCATAGACGACGTTGTTGCCGGTAATGTCTGGTGAGGACCTGCCTTACAACAGGCCTACAAGCCCTCAGTCCAGCCTCTCTCAGCCTATTGTGGACAGTCTGAGCACTGATGGAGGGATTGTGCATTCCTGGTATAACTCGGGCAGGTGTGATGTTCGGATGTACCGATCCTGTGCAGGTGTTGTTACACGTGGTCTGCCACTGCGAGGACGATCAGCTGTCCGTCCTGTCTCCCTATAGCGCGGTCTTAGGCGTCTCACAGTATGGACATTGCAATTTATTGCCCAGGCCACATCTGCAGTCCTCATGCCTCCTTGCAGCATGCCTAAGGCACGTTCACGCAGATGAGCAGGGACCCTGGGCATCTTTCTTTTGGTGTTTTTCAGAGTCAGTAGAAAGGCCTCTTTAGTGTCCTAAGTTTTCATAACTGTGACCTTAATTGCCTACCGTCTGTAAGCTGTTAGTGTCTTAACGACCGTTCCACATGTGCATGTTCATTAATTGTTTATGGTTCATTGAACAAGCATGGGAAACAGTGTTTAAACCCTTTACAATGAAGATCTGTGAAGTTATTTGGATTTTTACGAATTATCTTTGAAAGACAGGGTCCTGAAAAAGGGACGTTTCTTTTTTTGCTGAGTTCAGTTTAATAGGATATATAGTATATTTTTGTAGTATCAGCTTTAAAAGACGACAGAAAATACAGAGAAAATAACTTGGCTTTTGCATGCCATTGACTGTTGTGGCATACTCCTGACTACATATTTCTTTCCTTGTTTGTAGACTGGAGGATATGTGCTTGGATTTAAGATCGACCCAATGGATAAGCTTCAAGATGCAGTTAAAGAGATCAACTCACTGTGCAAAGTGTACTCTGCCAACCCCATCTTTGGAGTGGACTATGAGATGGAGGAAAAGAAAAGCCTATATTATACTGTACCACACATTAAATATCACAATAAAAACTGTTCAATGCATTATCGCTTTGCCATGTTTTAAAAAGACAATGAATTAGGAATTGGTGTGGCGTGATTCTCCTTAAACTCTCCTCACCCAACAATGATTCCAGCCTCAGCCAATGGAGGAGCTGACGGTGGACCAGCCCCCTGATAATGTGGAAATTGAGCCCGATGAGCAGACTGATGCTTTCACTGTGAGTGTACTTAGACTGTCATCCCTCCTCTGGGAATCCATTTGTTTTCACACTCTGAAAATAGCAGGTTGCTAAGTCATGTTACACAACATGCCGCAAACACGGCTTTATGTTGCCTAGTGCCTATCATGTTTATACAGACTGAGGTGTACTTTGTCAAATGGTTTGAACACATAACCTCCTATTAATGCCATTGTCATAACTGATTTCTATTGTTTGCTTCTAAGGCTTACTTTGCTGATGGCAATAAGCAACAATACCGGGAACCTGTGTTTTCCGAGGAGCTGGGAATTGCAGTTGAGAAGTTGGAGGGGTTCACACTTCAAGGACTGTGGGAAGTTATGGGCGGCAGCATGAATGTTGATAGGGTAGTTGTGAACATAGTTCCTCAAATCCACCCTTTCAAATGACACAATTGATACACTACAGTTGTTTATAACCATTTGTAAATCTACAAAATATTTGTCTATTTATTTATAGGTCTGATGTGTATATAGTAGCACAGCTGGTAAGGCACGGCGCTTGTAACGCCAGGGTAGTGGGTTCGATCCCCGGGACCACCCATACACAAAAATGTATGCACGCATGACTAAGTCGCTTTGGATAAAAGCGTCTGCTAAATGGCATATTAATATTAATGTATGGGCGACATAAGAAAAATTGTGCGCTAACAGTGCATTATAAATTAAAACAATTCTACATAAGCGTAGTGTTTGTGTAAATGTTTATTTGTTCAATTGAACAGAAAATGTAAAAGAAAATAGTTGAATTGTGTTGAATTATTTAAGTATAGTAGGCAATTGTCTGACCGTTCTTAGTTTTGAGAATGTCTTAAATGGGTTTTTGAAATAAGTTGAAGACATCCAGTGGCATGTGGGGAAAACTGAGTCATTTGTTCTTTGGGCAATGATCTAAAGGCTATTTACAAACGTGCCAGAGGAGGTCAAGTATTTTACAAATGGTTCATGAGGACAGACTGTTGTATCTGCAGCTGCTCATTGACCCTGCCTATGAGGAAGGTCAGTCCTTCGGAAATATACTCACATTTAATTATAAAACATGCTCAATGAGTCGCACACAAATAAATCACCAAAGATTTTCAGGACTAAAAGGGATCATAGTAATTTATATAAATCACTATCTTTTTTTGAAGTCTTATATACAATTTTACTCTAATCATGACAATCACTGGTAAAACATAAATCATTTTGTAAGCGATAATGGGGAAAATCCTAATGATTCATACAGGATGTTGCACTTGTAATTGAGTTTGGGGATGTATGCTCCTCACTACACAGAACTGCACTAGTCACTTACAAATGCAATGTGTGTGAAGTAGTCATATAACAATCATTTTAGCCAACTACCACTGACAACGGTCCACAGTTGTTTCTTTCACTCTGTGACAGCTGTGTGATGCGGCCAACCTGAATTCTTCCTCAATGGGGTGGGTGGCTATATTTAGAGGGCCATAGTTATATTGAAGGGTCTTCAGACCTGGGGCTCTATACTGCTCAGTCCAGTCGGGACAGTGTGCTGAGAGCTGCATCCTCCACGTCCTTTGTCAAGTCGCGTTTTTTTCAGCATGGATCCGAAAGCTGTAAGGGAAGATTTGCGCCTGTTTCAGAGCACCCTGCTCCAGGATGGCCTGAAAGAGCTTCTGAATGAGAACAAGTTTATTGACTGCATTCTGAAAGTGGGAGACAGAAGCTTGCCCTGCCATAGACTTATTTTGGCAGCCTGTAGTCCTTATTTCCGAGAGTTTTACTTCTCAGGCGATGCTAAAGAAATGGATAAGGAGGTTGTTCTGGAGAATTTGGACCCCACAATCATGGAGATGATTGTGAATTACATGTATTCAGCAGAGATTGACATCACAGATGACAATGTGCAGGATATCTTTGCTGTGGCAAACCGTTTCCAGATCCCCTCAGTGTTCACAGTGTGTGCGAATTTCCTACAGAAGAAGCTGTCCCCGGGTAATTGTATGGCCATATTCAGAATGGCACTGGTGCTCAACTGCCCCAGACTGGCATTGGCAAGTCGAGAATACATTGCAGATCGTTTTGAAATCCTGGCCAAGGAGGACGACTTCTTAGAGCTTGCCTCTCATGAACTTTTTGCCGTCATAGGAGCGGACTCTCTCAATGTAGAAAAGGAGGAGGTTGTGTTTGAATCCCTGATGAAATGGATTCGAAAAGACAAGGAGAACCGTGTCAAGACTCTAGGTGAGGCCTTTGACTGTGTCCGTTTCCGTTTACTCCCAGAGAAGTACTTCAATGAGAAAGTGGAAAAGGATGACATCATCAAGGCTGACCCAGAGCTCCTCAAAAAAATCAAAGTTATCAAAGATGCCTTTGCTGGGAAACTCCCTGAGAAGACAGGAGAGCCAGGGAAGGATGCAGTCAACAGTAAAGAAGGAGAGGATTACAGGTTACCTGGTTACCTGAATGATATCAAGAGAGTTGGTATGTATGCCAAGGATCTTGTCTTGATGATCAACGACACTGCTGCAGTGGCCTATGATGGCGTTGAGAATGAATGCTTCCTTGCTGCAATGACTGAGCAGATCCCACGCAACCATGTCAGCCTGACATCAAAGAAGAATGATCTCTTTATCCTGGGAGGATTGTTTGTCGACGAAGAGGATAAAGATGCTCCATTACAATGCTATTTCTATCAGGTAATAAGCTTTGCTTTTGCACTTCCTAAGGACATTCAGCACAACTGATCTAACTTTAAATCAACACATTTTGTAACACCATGACTAAGCAAGGGAGGATCTCAAACCACCAAACTTTTCTGTTATCAGAAATAGCTTGATTACTGTAACCTTCTAATATCAGGGTATTTTTTCAGCTGGACATCCTTGCTGCTGATTGGATAGCTCTGCCCCCTATGCCCTCTCCCAGATGTCTGTTCAGTATGGGAGAATTTGACAATCTCATCTTTGCTGTAGCTGGTAAAGATCTACAGTCCAACGAATCTCTTGACTCTGTAATGTGCTATGATGTTGAGTAAGTAGGATGAGTTCATATTCTTATGCTTATTTCCAGTCACTACATGAGTAAGGAGCCTGAAACACATCTTATCCTTACCATCTGTTCCCCAGGAAGATGAAGTGGGCTGAGACCAAAAAGCTACCTCTGAAAATCCATGGTCATAGTATTGTTTCCCAGAATGGGTTGGTGTACTGTATCGGAGGGAAGACGGATGACAAGTAAGCTTGCTCTTTATACAAAACACACCTTGTTATTTCTAATTGTTTGATACTTATACAGTATAAGCATGCAATAGATGCAAGATGTAAAATAAATGAGTGGCATTTAATAATCCTCACTGTGATGTTCCATTCTTGTTTTTCTCAAAGCAAAGCCATCAATAAGATGTTTGCATACAACCACAAGAAATCAGAGTGGAAGGAGGTGGCTGCTATGAAAATGGCAAGATCCATGTTTGGGGCAGTCATTCACAATGGGAAGATTGTGGTGACTGGAGGGGTCAATGAAGATGGTCTCACCGCTGCATCTGAAGCATATGACTTTGAAACCAACAAGTATGTGCCTTGATGTTGAAGTCTGTATGATTAGCAACAATGTAACAGAGCCATTCAATTACCAATGATCCCCTTTTCAGGTGGGCGCCCTTCACAGATTTCCCCCAGGAGAGGAGCTCAGTAAACCTGGTCAGCAGTGGAGGATTGCTGTATGCAGTTGGAGGCTTTACCATTGTGGCGACGGAAGACGACAAAGTTGCCCCAACGGAAATCATTGACATCTGGCAGTAAGTAAACTAGTCCCCAAATGTAATCCAATCCCATGTACCCTGCTGCCGTCTTTAGAGAATGGTCTATATTAAAAGATCCTTGATGAGTTGATCATGTCTAATGGTAAAATGGTGCCACTGCCACTATTGCTCTCTGCCAAAGGCATAACGTCAAACTTATCTTTTCTCCTGTGGCAGGTATGAAGAGGATAAGAAAGAGTGGACCGGGATGCTCAAAGCCATGCGTTATGCCGCAGGGGCCTCCTGTGTGTCTATGCGCCTCAATGCAGTCAAAATGCCCAAATTGTGAACAAGAACACAATAAGTGCTGTACTGTCTACATGTAACAAGGAGGACTGCAAATACAATGTATTTAGAGTGACTTTCATCCGGATCCTTCATAATTGGAATGCACCATAATATACTGAACAAAAATATAAAATGCAACATGTAAGGTTTTGGTCCCATGTTTCATGAGCTGAAATAAAAGATCCCAGAAATGTTCCATTTGCACAAAAAGCTTATTTCTCAAATGTTGTGCACATATTTGTTTATCTCCCTGTTAGTGAGCATTTCTCCTTTGCCATATCAAGAAGCTGATTAAACAGCATGATCATTACACAGGTGCACCTTGTGCTGGGGACCATAAAAGGCCACACTAAAATGTGGCGTTGTGTCACAACACAATACCACAGATGTCTCAAGTTGAGGGAGCATGCAATTGGCATGGTGACTGCAGGAATGTCCACCAGAGCTGTTGCCAGAGAATTGAATGTTCATTTCTCCACCACAAGCCTCCTCCAACATCATTTTAGAGAATTTGCCAGTATGTCCAACTAATCCTCACAACCGCAGACCACGTGTAACCATGAAACTGTGGGTTTGCATAACCGAAGAATTTCTGCACAAACTGTATCAGGGAAGCTCAACTGCGTGCTCGTCGTCCTCACCAGGGTCGTAACCGACTTCAGTGGGGAAATGCTCACCGGCACACTGGAGAAGTGTGCTCTTCACAAATGAATCCTGGTTTCAACTGTACCGGGCAGATGGCAGACAGCGTGTATGGTGTCGTGTTGTCGAGCGGTTTGCTGATGTGAATGTTGTGAACCGAGTGCCCCATGGTGGTGGTGGGGTTATGGTATGGGCAGGCATAACGAACACAATTGCATTTTATCGATGGCAATCTGAATGCAGAGATACCGTGACGAGATCCTGAGACCCATTGTCACGCCATTCATCCGCCACCATCACCTCATGTTTCAGCATGATAATGCACAGCCCCATGTTGCAAGGATCTGTACACAAGTTCTAGAAGTTGAAAATGTCCCAGTTCTTCCATGGCCTGCATACTCACCAGACATGTCACCCATTGAGCAGGTTTGTGATGCACTGGATCAACTTGTACGACAGCATGTTCCATCTCCCGCAAATATCCAGCAACTTCGCACAGCCATTGAAGAGGAGTGGGACAACATTCCACAGGCCACAATCAACAGCCTGATCAACTCTATGCGAAGGAGATGTCGCACTGCATGAGGCAAATGTTGGTCACACCAGATACTGACTGGTTTTCTGATCCACACCCCTACCTTTTTTTTTTTTAAGTATCTATGCATATCTGTATTCCAAGTCATGTGAAATCCATAGATTATGGCCTAATGAATTTACATGAACTGTAACTCAGTGAAATCTTTTAATCTGCCTGTCTTTGTAAAGAAAAAGTTTGCACCCTACAGTTTTCCTACGTACATTTCTTAAATAAATAAATAATATAATATGCCATTTAGCAGACGCTTTTATCCAAAGCGACTTACAGTCATGCGTGCATAAATTTTTTGTGTATGGGTGGTCCCGGGGATCGAACCCACTACCTTGGCGTTACAAGCGCCGTGCTCTACCAGCTGAGCTACAGAGGACCATATTTCTATTTCTTCCTGCTCAATGTATTTGATTTATGTGGGACAGATTAATTGGATGAATCAAAACCACAAAAACAATGCTATTTCTTATTACAAACATGTATTATTATTTGACAAACGTTACACTTCATATGATACAATCTCTCTTGGCAAGAGGTGACATAACGCCATGTCCACTCTAGGATTTGGAGAAGGCAATAAGGAGCACTTGATAAACAGCTGATGCTTAACATCAATTGTCAATGATCTGCCTGCAAATATACATTTCCAAAGGCAGACTTTTTCTCTCACATCAGTAGCAAAAGCAATATAACGCGTCATTGATTCAACATCTAGGTGCTTCAGGGAAGCTCAGTAATGATCTTCTTCCTAAGGTATTCCTTCCATGCATCCTGTGTGGAGAGCTCCATAGAGTTCCATTCAAAATGAGGGATCTGTTTAAATGACATTACCATTCATCAGTGATGTAGAATGTTATATACATTAATACCACTTTTGAGGACAGACATTTCACACACATACCTGGACAACATGATATCCCAGAATCTCCAGATGTCTCTTTCTCATCATGGCTTCCCCTTTCATGTGACGAGACTGTTTGCAGAAGGATTTGGAATCCAAGAAGTCCACAGCAACACTGAGTTAAGTGAAAAGGGGAAAAAAAAGTCCTTGTTCAGCACCTATGAAATCCCCTTCAATGTGTTTAACCATGATAACAGAACATCAGCAACACTTTTTCAACCAAAACTTCTGAAATCTACCAATCACATTTCCTACCGTTGTGCCCCTGGAGGGAACTCACTCCTCTCCTTCCCTACAGAGTCAGAACCCCAGCGGACCTTCCCATCGTCAGATATCTGTAGCTGGCTTAGCTCACTGTAGGCCACTGCCTGGTGTTGTCTGTCCAGAACACATTCAAAGTCTAGGGAGAAAAGAAGAAATACAGCTCAGAACTAGAACAACAGGTGACACATTTGATTAACTTTTGAGTGTAACACCAATCCACTTCCATAAGACATGGCCAGGAGCCTATTGCTGTCAAACATGTTGCAATCCAATCCTGTGTATTACCCACCTACTTTGTAGAAATAAGGAGTGAGCACTGCCACTCTGGCACAATTAATCTCTCCAAGAACCTCCCCAAGCATTTTGTGAATTTGTTGTTGTAAAGGACTGATAGAACCATTCCCTGAAAAAAGTAAGCATGAAATTAGACCCTCAACATTTACATTGTAGGGAGTAGGGACTTCCACAATTATGAATAAATGTATTGGCTCACTTTTCTTTTGCAACTGTTGGCAGTAACGCTCGTGGAACCAGGGTACCTGGAACTCTGGACACTCCAGACACACAGCCCGATTTAGCTCCATGAGACGCAGGCGGATCCGCATGTTTTGGGCGTCAGGCAGGGCTACCACATAACAGAGAGGTTATCTTATCCCATCAGCTTTATCTTAAAATGCAGTTTTCAGATAGTAGGGGATACAGGATGCTGGCTTTGTCTTCATTCTGATATTTCTATAACATACTTTCTAACTGGGAATCCAGCTTGGCAAGGAAATCCACGTTGAAGATTTCTCGAATCAGGTCCTCTGGGAAGCAATCAGCCACAGCCAGGGCGTATGCAAGAAGTACCAGCAGATGGGGGTCAAAGAAACCTGGAGGAAGAAGATCAATATATTTGTCTGGTCCTTTTGATGAGTTCCAAATACAAAAATGTAACATAATCCACAATCACTTACTGATATGAGGTATGAAGTGCTGAATGCAGATGTCAAACATCTTATCCACCCTTGGTGGATTATAATTCAGTATAGCAAAGGGCAGCAAGGTGGCATAAGTTGCTGAGTAGTGAATCTTCAGGAAAGAGAGAAAAAAAATAGTTCATTCTATCCTATCTACATACATACAGGCAAAATAACAGTATTCCCTGATGTGAAATAAAATGTACTGTCTCAAAGTACCTTGTTGATGTGCTCCATGGTCACGCTAGCTATGCGGTCCATTAATGGAATACAGAGGTGATTAGTCCTGGTCAGGAAAAGGGCCATCTCAGGCACATTGGCCCAGGATATCTGATTCTCCAGCCTCTGGAGCGTAACCATGGTCTCCTCCAGCAGCATCTCCTCAAACCATTCCCCTGACATGTACTTGAGCTCCTCCAACACCAAGTCCAGGCGGTCAGCCTTGAGCAGACGCTCATGCCCACAGCGGTTTCAGTGTCTGTAGCAGACGCACGTACTTGCTGGGCGTGTTGTGTCGGTAGGACGGGTCATTGCGCACCCACTTAGCGACGGCCATTGCAAAGGTGTTGAGGTCATTCAGATTACACTGGGGCAGCACTGCCTCCACCCGTGAAATGACGCCTTCGTCGAGTTGAGGTGAAGGTAGCATGGACAGAACACGAGTCAGCATGGTCACTTCATATGGGTAGACACTGTCCTGCAAGAAGCTGTGAGAAAGAATTGTATTAGCTTACTCATACTTTGTATAGTATGCAATAAGAGTAAACTGTCATAAAGGATCATAGTGGGCAGAGGTAGGTCTTTAGAATAACCACTCACTGAACTAGGATGTTCCTTAATTTAGTGAAGAGCTCTGGACTCTGGTACTGCAGCAGGATCAGGGCTTGTGTGATCCTGGCTATCTCAATGGGCTTGTAGACATGCAGGTTCTTATGGACTACTGATACAATCCTGTAAAGAGATAACTTGCCTTAGTTGTATTGTCTACAAGCAACTTTCAAACAAAGCTGTAACAGAGAATGAACTTACTTTTGGATCAGATGCAGGTTTCTACACTGAATCTCCTCCAGTGTCTCTGCCACAACCAGGGCCTGCTGTGCATTAAACTCCTCTGCCAAAAGCAGTGTTGTACTCTCCAGCCTGAAAGATAAGTACTTATCAATGAGTTGTAAAATGGTGTGTGAATTGAACTTGCATCAGGATGAAATGTTGTTTAATAGTTGTAAAACTATACAGTTATTGAAACAGGTAATGGTTTCAGCATACTAAAATGTTCACTCTACCTCTCTTTGGTGTCCTGCCCTGCCATAGGCCCAAGAGCAACAAACAGCTTAGTGAAGGAGAATGGGTCTGTGCTCGAGTCCACTAGTTCCATTAGCCTCTGTTTTGCAGCCAGGCGGAAGTCACAGTTGTTGAACTGCAGCGACTGGTAGAGCCCCATGATGATGCTAATGTTCTCTGCATCCAGGTGGGGAATATTGCGCAGGAGAATATGGTTGCACTTCTCCAGCAGGGGACGGTAACTATACTTAATGTTGCGCAGAAACTGCACCACCCTCCTGGGGTTGTTGTAGTGGGAGGGATCCATGGTGTCCAGGAGACTATCTGCCTTTACAATGAGTGCATCCCGCAGATGAGGAGACACCAAAGGTGACACGCTGACCATCAGGGTTGTCAGGATCCTGCAGATACATGTCCAGAAAAAAATAGAAATGGTAATATCAAGGATTTACAGATTACTGGTAGTGATCTTTTTTGTGTACCTTGCATCATCAATTGCGGAGAGTTTTTGATTCAAAACGTCAGTGATCTGACCCATCAGAGGACTGTGCTGCAGACGTTGATCACTTAGGCAGACAGCAAACTTGGACAGTGATGGCATCGGAAATCTGCAAAACAGTGAATTCACATCTGTACACCAGCTCAGTCCCCCATGTTAAAAGATAATGGTTCTGCTGTTAGTATGTATTATTCAATGGCAAAATAAAACAATTTTATCGATTTACCTGTATAATCTAAGCCAAGCCTCTGAGACCAAATGCTGAACAAGAGAATCATATGGTTCCACATTGAGCCTTCAAATTAGAAGATACAAGTTTGATGTGAAAACATAAACAAACATTTCAGGACTGATTATATATGCTTACCCACCTAGCCAACATCTGTACCTGAGAACATTGTAGAGTATGTCCACCAATGTGAAATCCTCCATGAGCTCAATTTTGTTCTCAGCCAGCACCCGGAGAGTCAGGAACTCTGGGTGGCTTTTGATGAACTCAACCGTTCTCAGCATCTGTGGCTTTTCTCTCTGGAACTGCCAGAGCATGCCCATGGCACAGCCAACATGGTTCACAGTCAGTTTGGCCTTGTTCTTGCCCACCACCTCCAACACTTGGTCTTCACCAGAGCAGATGCCAAGCTGCTCCAGAACCTGGTCCCAGTTCGCTGCCCCCCCATGCAGAAACCTGCGAAAGTAGAAGCTCCCAGTCACAGCTCGGAGCCGAAACATGGCCATGGAAGACCCGGCCTAGTTCAAGTGAGAATGGAATGCCACATCTTCAGAAGGTAACCACTGCCAAAATCAGGCCCATATAATTTAGAATCCACAGGGAAGGAGAGCTGCCTGCATATTCCTTTGGATCCTTTGGTGAAACATCTGTAGAAAGAGAGCATCATCAAAAATATAGCAAAGATAAATACATATCTCCACAAAACGAATAATGTGAAATTAGGTACATACCGAAACCATTCATTAATGCATGCATCCACCAACGTCACCAACACAGCTGACTGACAGCGATGGTGTCCATATTTATATCTAACCAGCATGCCTATACAGTATAATTATAATATCACAAAATAATATATTTGGCAAATTCTTATCCCTCATCATTGGAAAATCATGGACTTGACTTTCAAGCCTTAGCATAGCCGATTAAACGCAATTCCACGATTTACGATGGATTTGTGTGGGCATACTAGAGCTCCGACGTCACTTCAAATTACGTTTTTATCTAAACCTACTGATTTCAACACCCAACGAATAGCCCGAAATTAAACACGACATTGTTCTACTTGCGGGCTACTCTTTCGGTGCTGAAATCAGTAGTTATTGATTTAAAAATAACTTTATTTAATATGACGTCGGAGCTCCAATTCGCCCACACTATTCGCTCATCAACTCCATCGTATATCATATAGTTGAGTTTAGTCGGCTAGCTTTGGCAGTGACAATTATAAAGGCGTGTCCCACTATTCACGTGGGGACAGGACAATGCCAAAGTCCGTCTCGTTCCCAACACATCTTGCCGTTTAAGCGTTAACAGGTGTAAATCTATTTTCGTTTCAGTTTGATTAAATAATGAATTAGAGCTAAATCTACCTAACAAACTCGTTTTCTTTACCTGTTTCACTTCTCCAGTTTAGCTGGCTACATCAGGTTTTGACTTTTGTCTTTTGGCTGTGGTAGGCTACCGTACTTCAAAATACTGTACCAAAGATTTGCATAACTAAACCACGATAGGCCACAGCCCGTCGTTTCTTCTTCTTCTTCTTCTTCTTCTTCTTCTTCAGTGGGGTTTATCAGCGGTTGGCATCCAACGTTATGGTGCATTACCGCCACCTACCGTACTGGAGTGTGGGCCAGAGACAGGGATAAACTAAATCCTACCTGTCCAACACCGTTTCTCTTAAAAAAGATAACAAAATATTTGAGACTATATCTAATGATGCTCTACTCAATATACTCTTTAAACTAATTTCCTGTATCCCCTTCTCCCTCATACTAAATCTCATCCTCTCTCTCTCGCAATCTCTCTCTCGCAATACATGCTCCAAAGTCTCTATTTCCTGACAATAATCACACTTTCCTGATGGATGCTTTCCTATCACGTTTAATGTCTTATTCAACTGGCTGTGTCCCACCCTTAATCTTGTAAAAATAGCCTCCTCTCTTCTGTCCCTTCCTGCCGTCCTCCCCTCCCCGACTTTCCTCTGTACAGGTAGCTTAGTGGTTAAGAGCGTTGTGCCAGTAACCGAAAGGTCGCTAGTTCTAATCCCCGAGCCGACTAGGTGAAAAATCTGTCGATGTGCCCTTGTGCAAGGCACTTAACCCTAATTGCTCCTGTAAGTCGCTCTGGATAAGAGCGTCTGCTAAATGAATAAAATGTAAAAATGTAAATAAATGCCTGCCCTTAGTATCTCTATTCCACTGCTCCTGCCATCTCTGCACCATCACTGTATATATCAGTCTTTTTGCCTCTGCCTTGCTCATTGACACTTCAACATCAACATCCCCACTACTAAGTGCTTGTTTAGCCTGTTCATCTACCGCCTCGTTCCCCTCCACCCCCACATGGGCTGGATCCCAAGTAAATCTTATCTGAATACCCATCTGTTTAATCCTGCCATGGGTTTGTAGCACCTCATAAAGCAGGTCTTGTCTGCTACGTGAGCTAAAGGACTGGAGACTCATTAACACTGCACTTGAATCTGAGCAAATAACTACTCTGTCTGGTTTGACTTCCTCCACCCACTGCAAGGCCAACAGTATGGCCATCAGCTCCGCCGTATATACAGCCAGATGATCTGTAATATATTTCCTGACTTCCACCCCACATTCCTGCACTACAAATGCTGACCCAGTACGTCCTGTCCTTGGATCTTTTGAACCATCTGTGTAAATGGCCACAAAATCCTGATACAGTTTCCAGACGTCTCTTAAAGAAATCAGCTGGATCAACACCCTCCCTATCTTTCTGTAGTCTCTCCAACACTTCCAGATCAACTACTGGAGACGGGAGTAGCCATGGTGGATTTACAGGAATAACTACCGTTGGACTAAACTCCCTTCCATACAGTCCCATCTCCTTTGCCTGGGTATTACCCACCCACCCAAAGCTCATGTTCGGTCTTCGCTCATGTTCCCAGCATGCCTGTAAAATCCCTTTCACAGGATGAGACACCCCATGTCCTTGTAAATTGACCCAGTAATTCATTGCCAGCTGCTGTCTCCTAATCTGCAATGGCATATCCCCCATCTCCACCTGTAATGCAGCCACTGGGGACGTCCGAAACGCCCCACTACATATTCTGAGTCCTTGCCCCTGTATGACATCTAGCCTTTCCAGTGAGGTCCGGGCTGCCGAACCATATGCTATACTTCCATAGTCTATTACAGATCGGATCAATGCAACATACATGGTCTTCAATGAGGAATGCCCAGCCCCCCACTCCTTCCCCGTCAGACAGCGCATCACATTTAGCACCTTCTTACACTTTCCCACCACTCTCTCAATGTGTTCTGCCCAGGTCAGTCTAGTATCAAAGTATACCCCAAGGAACCTGAAGGCCCCCACCCTCTCCAAGTTTCTCCCATATAACCTCAAGCATACGTCATTTCCCACCTTCCTCCTGGTAAAGAACACTGTTTGAGTTTTCTCTACAGAGAACCTGAATCCCCACATTAATGCCCACCGCTCTACCTCATCAATTGCTTCCTGTACCTTCCTGACTATGTATGGCACATATCTTCCCCTCTTCCATAAGGCACCATCATTTGCAAATAACGACCTCCCTATATCCGGCTGTACCTGAGAGTAAACATCATTGATCATGATTGAGATCAACAGAGGACTAATCACACTCCCCTGCGGTGTACCATTATCCACCAAGTAGCTGCCTGATAAAGACTTCCCTACCCTCACCTGGATAGACCTTCCAAACAGGAAATCCTTTATCCAGTTGTACATTCTTCCTCCTACCCCCACAATATCAAGCTTGATTAACAACCCCTCCTTCCACATCATATCATACGCCTTCTCCACATCAAAAAAGACAGCTACAACAGTCTCCTTGTTCACCTGAGCCTTCCTGACCTCGGCTTCTAAGCAGAGCACTGGATCCATAGTTCCGCTACCCTTCCTGAACCCACTCTGATGTGGCGTTACTAGCCCTCTGCTCTCCAGGAAGTAAGTTAGCCTCTCCGTAATCATATGTTCCATAATCTTACATACATTTGATGTTAAAGCTATTGGCTGATAGCTTGTTGGCTTCGTTGGATTCTTCCCGGGCTTCCGGATTGGTACCACTACTGCCTCCTTCCAACTGCCTGGTAGTTTCCCCTCCTCCCACAGTCTGTTGTACAACACCAATACCTTATCCAGTGCCTCATCACTAAGATGGGCCAACATAACATAGCACACCTCATCTTTCCCAGGTGAAGTTAACCCACCCTTACCTATTGCTCTTTTCACCTCTGCCCTGGTAAATGGTGCACTCAACGCTTCATTTACATCCTCCCTCCATTCCAGCACTCCAGGATGCTCCTCTCTCGTATTCTCTCTCTCCCCATCTGCCCCTCCTCTGACAGATTATGCACTTGGACAAATGCTTTGGCCATCATCTCTGCTTTCTCCTCATCTGTTACTGCCACATCCTCCCCACTCGTCAACACTGGATAATCCCACTCCCTTCTGATCCCACTCATCCTCTTAATCATCCCCCACACTTCTCCCACAGGTGTCGCCCTTCCAATGGTTTCACAGAACCGATGCCAACATGACGTCTTTGCCTGACGGATAGTTCTCGTCACCATGGCCTGGGCCTGCTTATACTGAATCAGATTGAAAACCTATTGGTGCGTTCTAGCAACATTTGCATATTTCCGTTAGGGAACGCCTACTATGTGAAATGCGCGTGTGCAATAACTAAATTCGCCTTTGCACTCCTTCTAAACAACGCAATTTAAAAAAAGACTTTGACAAAGAGTAAAGACTGCAAAACTTAGTCCACTCCGTTCGTAACAGATTCTAGTTTTGGGAACAGAAAACTGTATTGAGATCAAAGGTTCCATCTTCTCCCACTGCCGGCTACTGGGCTTCTCACTACCATGTGGTAGTGAGTGGAAACGCCAAACGAAAGCTTCACATTTATGCATTCGGTGAAATATCCGTCTCATTGTTCTATCTGTGACCCTCATATAGTCCCTCATATAAATAACATGTAATAATTTTGTCCCCTAGTAGTCTATATTGTATGTACGCTACACAAGCAGCAGGTAAACAAAACTGTAGGAAAATATATGTTATACGTTTTTAGTGTTTGCATTATGAGCAATCATCACAACACCCAAAACCAGCCAGATGTACCAGTGGACTGTCAGCAGGTGTGAAAGGTTGTCTTCTGCGCGCTGACTGGCGCATCTTTTTACCCAAAATGCCCTGACTTTTCCCGTCGCGCCATCTTTAGAAAACATTGTGGAAGAAGCGGTAGCTAAGTGAAGCTCGATTTCACCTTGTTGAGAATAACTACCGTGAAATATTGGCCTCAGTTGGCCAACTGAGCTAATTTGTGTAGGTAAACTCTATAATGTGTACGCTATTGTAAATTATGTCAATTTTAAATAACATTGATTGAAAAGGAAGACGGAGATCTATCATTGCTATGAGTAACCAGCTAATAACGTTAGCGAGCTAGCTAGCAGGCCACAATCCGCATGAGCACAAGTCATTACCTAGCAAGCTAGCTAGTTAGCGTGGACATTTCAGTTTGCATTGTTTACTCAACTAAATATTGACGTTATTCATTCATGTTGATAAAGCTAGCTAGTTTTTAAACTCCGTTATCTAGCCAAGATTTTGTGCAGCATGGGTTTTTCGCCAATTAATTGACTAATACGATATATTAGCCTGTAGAGGTGGGTACTATGGTTGTATTTGTAAACAACTAGCGGCCTACGCTAACTAACAGCAAAAAAAAACTTGTTTCAGCTATAAAAGTTTGATCATGGGAATCAAGGTTCAGCGTCCACGCTGCTTCTTTGACATTGGCATCAGTAACGTGCTGGGTAAGAAGGCTTAGGTTTTCCATTGGTCTTACCGTCCCGTTTATCATATCTGAAATGTAACTAAAATGTGCACTAACATGAACATGGTTTCTCTTTCAGTTGGCAGAGTTGTGGTAGAATTGTTTTCTGATGTCTGTCCCAAAACATGTGAGAACTTTCGATGCCTCTGCACAGGTAATTGACTTTCTCTTGCCTTGGTCTGACATTAGTGTACCATCTTTAAATTATGCACATATTGTCATCTCTGTTTTGATTTAAACATTACTTTCTGTGTAGGCGAGAAAGGAATTGGAAAAGGTACACAAAAACCTCTGCATTACAAAGGATGCCTATTCCACAGAATTGTGAAGGACTTCATGATTCAAGGAGGAGACTTCAGTGAAGGTATATGAAATACTTCTTAGCCTTAACCAAAGACAACAGTGGAAATGTTTTTATTTTATGAAATTCTAATATCTATATTCCTTCTGTAAATCAGGCAATGGAAAGGGAGGGGAATCTATCTATGGAGGATTCTTTGAAGGTAGGACTCTTTACAGATACTTTTGTTAAATATTCTAATCAAAACCAACCTCAAGGACTAATGTCATGTCTGTATCTCAGATGAAAGCTTCTCTGTCAAACATAACAAGGAGTACCTCCTGTCAATGGCAAACAGGGGCAAAGATACCAATGGATCACAGTTTTTCATGTAAGTCTATTGATGTTTTAATTTTTAAAAGGCCTTGCTATTATCAGTTGGTCATTCATACATCTAGCATCTTGAGTGAACCTAACCTACAAAAATATGTTTTACTCTCATTCTAATCTTCTGCTCCATTTTTTTTTATCCTGGTCTACAGAACAACAAAACCCACACCACATTTGGATGGGTAAGTATAATATTTGGACAAGCATTGCAACTTAGTTTGACCATCTGTATCTGATTGAATGGTCTTTTGATAAGAGCATGTTAGATCAATAGTGATCTGTTCTTCATTGTTATCACCTGTTATAACTTGCTGATTTTATTCTAGTGTCCATGTGGTTTTTGGCCAAGTGATCTCTGGACAAGAGGTTGTTCAGACAATGGAGAGTCAAAAGACAGATGCTGGCAGTAGACCATACTCTGAAGTGAAAGTTATGAACTGTGGAGAGCTCATTCCAAAATCGAAAGGTTTGTAGGATTATCAACATTTGGCAAGTTGTTTTAAGCTTGTTATTGCTTTAGATTGTAGATCTTGGACTGTCTTATCGTCAGGATCAAAGCTTGTAAAGGTATCCTTAGCACTGGTGTTGTGTCCTCTACTATTTACAGCAAGAAAAGAAGAGAAGAAAAGACAAAAGGCCGTCTCCAGTGGCAGCGACAGCTCTAGTGACTCTGACAGTTCTGACGTCTCTTCTGAATCTGAGGGTGACTCTGATAAAGAATCCAAGAAACGGAAGAAGAGGCACAAGAAAGAGTCCAAGAAGAAGGACAAGAAACAGAAGAAGAAAGATAAGAAAGGGTTTGTACCGAAACTGTTTTAATGTGCTTCATAGCATGATAACTCCCACAACAGCCTTCATGAAAGCATAGGTTTGAAGTCTGGTCTGTAATGTCTGTAGGTCTGAGCTCGGCAGTGGTGATGAGAAAGAGGAAGAGGTTACGTCTACGGTACGACCAGAGGAAATCCCTCCTATCCCAGAAAATAAGTTCCTTATGAGGAGAAGTCCTCAGCAGCAAAAAGAAGAGTCTGGAAAGGAGAAGGAAAAAAAGAGTGAGAGGGAAAAGCCTAGGGAGAGGTGAGTACATGGACAAGACGGAACAACATTCCAGTTCATTCTGAACCTTTACAACTGGGAGCTATATTCATTTAGATACATTTTTGTTTGTTTTGTTGCAGAATGTTTAATTGTCAGTCAGCACATAAGAGGAAACTTCTGATGACAAGATCAGGCAGGACGATTAAAGGCAGAGGTCCAAGAGTAAGTGCACTGTCAAACAAGTACAGTACTATCATACAGTTTCTGGAAAAACAAGGATCTAGAAAGTTCATGTTAATTGAATCTTTTACTTGCAGCGGTACCGAACTCCGTCACATTCCAGGTCAAGGTCAAGGGATCGTTTCCGGCGCAGCGAGACTCCTCCACACTGGCGCCAGGAGATGCAGCGTGCACAAAGGGCACCAAGAGCATCCAGTGGAGACCGCTGGATCAAGGGTGACAAGTAAGAGTCTTAACTTTTTATTGTTAATATTTGAACTGTCAGTGCTAGACTGATCAGGGTGTTAAAGTGAAAATCAGCTTATTATTATCAAATTACCTGGCTTCTCAAGTATTGCCTAATTTCTCCTATTGCCAAAAGTGATCATCAGCCAAGGGCCAGTTATTTAAGTTTTATTCAAATAGTCTTAACTTGGATTCTGTGTTTGCTGTGGGGGTGACTTCTCTCTCTATTTATGTTGTAGGGGTGACATGACAGAGGGCAGGGATGAGAGTGGCAAAGCTCCAAGAGGACGAGGGAGGAAGACTTCTGAAACCAAGCAAGAAAACGCTGTTGAAAACCCCAATCAAAACAAAGAGAAGGAGAAGAAAGGTCGCTCCCATAGATCCAAGAGCAAAGAAAAGGACCCTTCTAAAACTGAAGACAAGCACAACAAACACAAGGCAAAGAAGGCCAAATCTCGAAGCCGCAGTAAGAGCAAAGAGAAAAGTGGTAGGTCCAAAAGCAGAGAGAGGGATCAGAAACATGGCAAAGGTGATGATAAGAGGGGCCGCTCAAGAAGCAAGGACAGACACCTCAATAAAGAGTCTGGAACTCAAGACCGTGATAAAAGTAAAGAACAAGCTAAACCCACTGAGGCTGATGTTAAGAACAGAAAGGAGACAAAAGGAAGAAATGGTGAGAAGCTGAGGACAAAGTCTAAAAGCAAGGAGAGGAACTCTGGAAAGGACCGAAACCGATCTAACAGCAGAAGCAGGGACAGGGGGAGACGTGCCACATCTCGAGACAAAGAGCAAGCACGGGACAGAGAGCGAGGTAGGGAGCGCAGTAAGAGTATTGAAAGACAGCACCACAGAGAGAGGGAGGACAAGAGGAGAGGTAGATCCAAGAGCAGAGAGCGGACAAGGAGTCCAGACAAGAATAAGAGCAGGGACTCGCGTAGAGGCAGGCGCTCCAGGAGTAAGAGCAATAATAGAGACCATAGCAAAGACGGTTCATCTCATCAGAGGAAGAACAAAGACAGTGAAGACACTCACAGACGAAGGAGGTCCAAGAGCAGCAACTCGGAGAATAAAGGGAAGGACAGAAGTAGAAAGAGCCCCGTCTCCAAGAAGAAAAGGGACGGCAGCACAGAAAAGGAGTCCTCTCACAAGTCCAAAGATACAGGGAAAAGCCCTGAGCGGAATCAAAAGGCAAAGAGCCAAGAGAAGGATAAAAACCACAGCAAGAAAAAGAAGTACAGCTCCAGCTCAAGTTCTGATAGTGATTAGTCCACTAAATGTTCATTCTTGTCCCATCCTTGAACATAAAAATGAATGCGCTGATGCCTAATAATATGTGAGGTTCTGCTGTAGACCTATTTTAGACACTTGTTAGATATCACAATATATCCAATTCTGGAATATTTGTACAAATTAAGATTTCATAAGATTTGACAGCGGCTAAAAGCCATTTTATGTTTGTTTATTTTTTATTCGCTGTCACACTAATGACAAATGTTGGGAATGTAATGTGCATTAATGGTCTGGAGTAAGGAAGTGACTGAACAGGTCAGTGTTGGAAGGAACATTTGTCAGGTTTTATTCAAAAAATGATCTTTCAGTCTGGTCTCGTACTGAGGGGACGTGATTCCATTGTGATAATTATAATGGAAGGGATGAGTTTGATGTCTTTCTGGCCTTTATGCCTGACTCAAGTACTATTACATGGATACATCACCAGTATGACTAATCATATGGTTATTTTCAACATTTTGATGGTTCGAATTACCAAGTCTCATTATGTCACAGAACATACTGTAAGTGCAACATATAAAATGGTTTTGTAAAAATTCTTATCTTCACCTTTTAGTATTTTCACTGAAATTTAAGTGGAGATGTCAGGAGAGAAGGCTCAATTTGACTTGAAAGGCTGATAAGAGCACAGACATTTTGTGAAATGATTGGGGTGTTAGATGCGTATACCGTTTAAATATTTTTTTACCTGTTTCAGGGAACCAGAACTTTTTTCCTGACCTCAGTCTCAAATGAGTTTTGTATAATTGTATGCATTTTTGTTAGTATTTTATGTTCAGATTTTCCCCCCATTACATCTTTCAAATTGTTTAAAATTCCTCACCAGGGTAATGTGTAAATACATTGCTGTGAAGTTCCACCATGTTAGTTCATACTAGGTGTTGCATTTCTGGCATGACTTTCGTTTAAACTATAAATGAAAACCACTGGCTTTGTAAAAACTGGCCAAATTCAATATTCCCTAATGAAACATGTTTTAAAATAAAAGGATATGGTTAAAATGTTTGTTTTATTGGCTATAGATTGTTTATCATAATGTTTCACAGAGGGGTGACAACTGATATAGAGATAACATTGACACATCACATTTTAATCTGGGTGAATCATATATGTATTAAAATGAAACCGTTGAACTACACTACCAGTTTTAGAACACCTACTCAAGGGTTTTTCTTTATTTTTTACTATTTTCTACATTGTAGAATAATAGTGAAGACATCAAAACTATGAAATAACACATGGAATCATGTAGTAACCAAAAAAGTGTTAAATGAATCAAAATATATTTTATATTTGAGATTCTTCAAATAGTCACCCTTTGCCTTGATGACAGCTTTGCATTCTCTCAACCAGCTTCATGAGGTAGTCACCTGGAATGCATTTCAATTAACAGGTGTGCCTTCTTAAAAGTTAATTTGTGGAATTTCTTTCCTTAATGTGTTTGACAAGGTGGGGGGCGGGTATACAGAAGATAGCCCTATCTGGTAAAAGACAAAGTCCATATTATGGCAAGAACAGCTCAAATAAGCAAAGAGAAATGACAGTCCATCATTACTTTAAGACATGAAGGTCAGTCAATATGGAAAATTTCAAGAACTTTGAATGTTTCTTCAAGTGCAGTTGCAAAAACCATCAAGCGCTATGATGAAACTGGCTCTCATGAGGACCGCCACAGGAATGGAAGACCCAGAGTTACCTCTGCTGCAGAGGATACATTCACTAGAGTTACCAGCCTCAGAAATTGCAGCCTAAATAAATGCTTCACAGAGTTCAAGTAACAGACATCTCAACATCAACTGTTCAGAGGAGACTGTGTGAATCAGGCCTTCATGGTCGAATTGCTGCAAAGAAACCACTACTAAAGGACACCAATAAGAAGAAGAGACTTGCCTGGGCCAAGAAACACAAGCAATGGACATTAGACCGGTGGAAATGTGTCCTTTGGTCTGGAGTCCAAATTGGAGATTTTTGGTTCCAACCGCCGTGTCTTTGTGAGACGCGGTGTGAGTGAATGGATGATCTCCGCATGTGTATTTCCCACCGTAAAGCATGGAGGAGGAGGTGTTATGGTATGGGGGTGCTTTGCTGGTGACACTGTCTGTGATTTATTTAGAATTCAAGGCACACTTAACCAGCATGGCTACCACAGCATTCTGCAGCAATCTGGTTTGGGCTTAGTGGGACTATCATTTGTTTTTCAACAGGACACCTCCAGGCTGTGTATGTGCTATTTTACCAAGAAGGAGAGTGATGGAGGGCTGCATCAGATGACCTGGCCTCCACAATCCCCCGACCTCAACCAAATTGAGATGGTTTGGGATGAGTCGGAAAAGGAAAAGCAGCCAACAAGTGCTCAGCATATGTGGGAACTCCTTCAAAACTGTTAGAAAAGCATTCCAGGTGAAGTTTTGATGTCTTCACTATTGGCGCACTGAAAAGACCACAATCATCCCTCTCGGTCAGTCAAGAACTTGTGACTTTTTTGTGTGTGAAATAAATGACAAAATGGGGGTATATCATTAATGCTTAGGAAATTATAATGAATTCCATTGGTTTATTGTTTTTCTAATCATGCTTTACCTGACCATGTTGCTCTTTTCAACAGATGTTTACCATGTGAATCCAAGTCTTTTCTTGGAATGCTGAATATCACATGTCTCATTCAGCTCTTTGACGTCCTGAGATCTACTGCCGACGTAATTGGGCATCTGGACACCAGTGTTATCTTGAACCAAGTAACTTGGTCTCACTCCTCCAAAGATGGGGCCAAGACCACCTCCAATTCCCTCCCTGGCAGCTTTGCGGAGTGGGTAAGTATTTCTCTTGGCCTCAGTGGCTGTATCGATCACATTCTTTGCATACTGCTGGAACTGCTTCTCCTCCACAGCAATGAGCTCTGCATTTTTGGTCTCGAAGTCCTGTTGTTGTTTTCTTATGTGCTGTTCCTTGGCACGTTTTTCAGCCTGAACAGCAAGATTTGATAAATGAAATCTGATGTTGCTTCATTAAAAGTATAGCTGTTGCTGACACATTCCACTACATGTGTCAATAGCTGACATATCAACAATTATCAAGAAATGTAATCATGGAAAGGCTAATCAAATCCAAGCTCACCATTTGATGAATGTAGACGTCTTGTAAAGTTCTTCCATCCTCTTTCATTTTCTGTGCCTTCAGGTGTTGTTTTTCAATAAATATTCTGTCCGCTTCTTTCTTGGCATAAAGCATGTCAAGGGCTTTCTCGTGGTGTTCTCTTTCCTTCTGCTCCTGTTCTTGTTTCTGAAAAAACGAAGCCAGTGTCATTGTGATAATAGAACACGTTTTTTGTAACATATAGGCCGGCATATTCATTGATAAATAGTTTAATTTTGTGAGAATAATATTTTGAGCTCCCGATTGTCCCCTTGCTTGTGGTAGGGTGCACATGCCATACCATGGCTTCTCTGTGTGAGGCAATGGAGTCCAGCATAGCCATCCTCTTGTCATCTTTCTCCTTCTGCTGCTGTGCCTGTCTGGCATCCCGTTGAGCAATAGCCTTGGCGATGAGTTCCTCATTGTCCGTCTGCTCCTGCTGTTGTGCAGCCAGTTTATTCATGATCCTCTCCCTGTGCATTTGGACCTCTCTTAGGAGGGAAAATAGGCTTAGAAGATCTATGTCCATGAGACTTCCAGAATTGTAAGACCACTGTTGACTAGTGATGCCACAGCTATGCCAATTTCTTATTGTGGGACTTCAAATGTTTTCTCGAACTGTTTACTTTCTCCTAATAGGTCTACTCACCTGAACAGCTCTTCCTCTTTGTCTTTCCTCAACTTCACCATTTTCTGTTTTGCATTTGCAAAAAGCCCCCTGCGCTCCTCCTCCATCTCTTGCTTTTGTGCCTCTATTGCTCTAATGATATCTCTGTTAGAGAGATGCTCCTTTAAATACGAATGCAGGATTAATTAATACACCCACATGAATCTTGTGTAATATTGCTCTAGTGAGCGAGACATCTGAACATTGATACCTTACCATGTGAGCTGTCATGATGTTTCTCTTCTGCTCCTCTTTCTTTTGCTCCTGCATGCCTTGCTCCCACAGAAACATATCTTTTAGTCGCTGGAGTTCCTCTGCCTCTTTCTTGTCTTCCAGCTTCTCCCGTTCTCTATCCATCTCATGTTCCTTTGCCCTAATAGGGGGAAGAGACCATTCATCATACTAAACCGTTGAGAGCATTCAGTCTATTCTATATGGACTACATTTTAAATTCATTTGACTCCATGTTAGAGTATATGGTAGTCTATGATATAGATATTCAATTCGATAACTGCTGCCAGGTTGTTAGGCTTCAGTGAGACTTACTGCTGTTTTAAGTCCTCTGCTGTGGCCTGGCTGTCAAGCTTCCTCTGCAAAGCTTTCTGCTGCTCCTTTTGCAAGGCTTCTTCCTCTCTACGCTTACTGATAGCCATGATTTTCTTGTCCACATCTTTGGAGGTATCCTGCTTTCTCTGCTTCAGTTCTATCTGGGCCTCTCTTTCCTTCAGGACCTCTGTCAGCAAGAGTGCACTCTGGAAGAAATAACAATATTGCATTTATTCAATTTAACTCAGAAATCCACATTATAAAGAACACAGCACGTCTTCAGATGAAAAAAATCATTGCAGAATACTATTTTAAGTTATAACATAATAAGAAATACAAACATGAAATCCTTTCACACGATCAGTCTCGTAGTACTGTTGAGTTTTGGCCTTTTCAATAGCTTCTTTCCTCTTTTGCGCCTGATATTTAGCCTCCTCAATATCCATCTGTTTCCTCTCCTCTTCTTCTAATTCCTCCCGAATCTTCTTTGCCTCCAGTTTCTGTTGTCTTTGTCCCTATAAAGTGAATAGCACATTTTACTCAAGTAGGTTGTGTATTGTTTTTAGCCTAATGTTTTGTATGAGACTGTGATCCTGAGGCTGCCTGTGGGCACATGCACATATTAAGAAATGTATAACAGGTACCATTATGCATTATGGTAAAAACAAACAAACAAAGATACTTACAGCTATTGTGTTAGACCAGAATTTCACCACCTCCTTGGACCTCAGGTGCATAGCCTCTCGTTGTTTGGACGCCTCCTTTAGACTCTCGTTGTATTTATTCCCTTGATTCAAACTACGTTGAATTCGGAGCCATTCGACTTTGGGCAAAACAGTGACTTGTCGAAGATCTGGTGGTTGCCTTGCTTCATTTTTTTCCTCAACTGCTTGCACTGATAATAGGAGAAACGAAAGGAAAAAACAACAATGGTATGGTTATGGTATAACAATGTTGTTATGCTGTGGTAGGCTATGCATAGATATTGCTTAAACATTTTTACCATGAGCAAAATATTCAATATTATCTACAGTAACGTTACAAACCCATACATGCGTCAAGAGAGCAAGGAAACGAATAGGCTACGCAAGTAGCTAAAGTAGCTAGTCAAACACACTTTTTTTGCTGGACCCACTCCTTCGACCATACTGGACAACAGACGCAGTTGCCATTTGTTCTGAATGTATCTTGGTTTCAATCGTATGAACAAAAAGAGCATTCAGAGCACACAGAAAGTTGCATGGCAATTTTCTTGTTGTCTCTAGACAGTTTTACAACTTCGTTGTGTAAAAATTCGGATTTGACGGAATGTTTTCTGTAGGATTGTATCCAGTAACGATGGACACATTTGTTGCAATGTATCCTAGCAACGCTTTGCTGCCATAGACCAGTTGCGGAGAGCTGAGACCTAGGAACATACAGAGACCAATCAGAACACGAGTGATCGAAGAACTGCTGTCACACGTTACAAAGTAACGAGTAACAAAAAGTGAAATTCCATTGTTTTTTACATTTTATTTATTTATTTTAATTATTAACAACAAATCAATACAAAAAGTACATGGGGAACACAAGTATACACCACCGGTCAAAAGTTTGGACACACCTACTCATTCAAGGGTTTTTCTTTATTTGTACAATTTTTTACATTGTAGAATAATAGTGAAGACATCAAAACTATGAAATAACACATATGGAATCATGTAGTAAACAAACAAGCGTTAAACAAATCAAAGTATATTTTATATTTGAGAATGTTCAAAATAGCCACCCTTTGCCTTGATGACAGCTTTGCACACTCTAGGCATTCTCTCAACCAGCTTCACTTGGAATGCTTTTCCAACAGTCTTGTAGGAGTTCCCACATATGCTGAGCACTTGTTGGCTGCTTTTCCTTCACTCTGCTGTCCGACTCATCCCAAACCATCTCAGTTGGGTTGAGGTCGGGGGATTGTGGAGGCCAGGTCATCTGATGCAGCACTCCATCACTCTCCTTCTTGGTAAAATAGCCCTTACACAGCCTGGAGGTGTGTTGGGTCATTGTCCTGTTGAAAAACAAATGATAGTCCCACTAAGCCCAAACCAGATGGGATGGCGTATCACTGTAGAATGCTGTGGTAGCCATGCTGGTTAAGTGTGCCTTGAATTCTAAATAAATCACAGACAGTGTCACCAGCAAAGCACCCCCACATCATAACACCTCCTCCTCCATGCTTTACGGTGGGAAATACACACACAGAGATCATCCGTTCACCCACACCGCGTCTCACAAAGACACGGCAGTTGGAACCAAAAATCTCAAATTTGGACTCCAGACCAAAGGACACATTTCCACCAGTCTAATGTCCATTGCTAGTGTTTCTTGGCCCAAGCAGGTCTCTTTTTATTGGTGTCCTTTAGTAGTGGTTTCTTTGCAGCAATTCGACCATGAAGGCCTGATTCACACAGTCCCCTCTGAACAGTTGATGTTGAGATGTGTCTGTTACTTGAACTCTGTGAGGCATTTATTTGGGCTGCAATTTCTGAGGCTGGTAACTCTAATGAACATATCCTCTGCAGCAGAGTTAACTCTGGGTCTTCCATTCCTGTGGCGGTCCTGATGAGAGCCAGTTTCATCATAGCCCTTGATGGTTTTTGCAACTGCACTTGAAGAAACTTTAAAAGTTATTGAAATCTAAAGTAATGATGGACTGTCGTTTCTCTTTGCTTATTTGAGCTGTTCTTGCCATAATATGGACTTGGTATTTTACCAAATATGTCTGTCTTCTGTATACCACCCCTACCTTGTACCAACACAACTGATTGGCTCAAACGAATTAAGAAGGAAAGAAATTCCACAAATTAACTTTCAAGAAGGCACACCTGTTATTTGAAATGCATTCCAGGTGACTACCTCATGACGCTGGTTGAGAGAATGCCAAGAGTGTGCAAAGCTGTCATCAAGGCAAAGAGTGGCAATTTGAAGAATCTCAAATATGATTTGTTTAACCCTTTTTTGGTTACTACATGATTCCATATGTGTTATTTCGTAGTTTTGATGTCTTCACTATTATTCTACAATGTAGAAAATAGTAAAAATAAAGAAAAACCCTGGAATGAGTAGGTGTGTCCAAACTTCTGACTGGTACTGTATATATAAAGAATATACAAAGGATATTTGGGCTAGGGGGTACAATATCACATTACACAAGGACCTTAAGGGACATACACACATTTATAATTCTAACAGATTTTTGTTGGCAGAATATTTAATTGTCTTAAAATATAGTTCCATTTCTTTTTGCAAGGTAAGAAAATTTGGTGTTTTGTTTGTAAATGTACATTTGTGAATATGAAATTTGGCAAAAAGAATAATGAAATGAATTACATAAAATTGTTTCAACTTATTTATATTGTAAGTAATGAATCCAAGCAGTCATCTCTCCATAATAGTGTAAAATCTTCATAAATGTGTTCAATTATAAATATACTGATGTCTTGCCACAGATTCCTTACATGAAAACAATGCCAAAAAAGATGCAACACTGTTTCTGTGGTTGTCATTACAAAAGGTACAATTTGAATTTGTTATTTTTTTACTTCTTCATATAGTTGTTGGCAGGATAATATTTATGAATAATTTTTTTTAAAAACGTCCTTAACTTTGTTAATAAGTAGGTATGTGTGTGGCAACATCCAAACTTTTTTCCAACAGATATTATCAGTAAAACCATTCCTGTACGAAAGACTATTGAGAGTAAATATTAGTTCATCATAGGAGAGCTGTAGCGCCGCCCACTGGTGATGTGGAGCAGAGCATGCTGGGCGATGTCTGAGGAGAAGGAAGTAACTAGAGAAAGTACACAAGCCGTGATAAGTTCCAGCCATCTGCTGCGATTACCTTTAGTTAGCATTCTTTGTTTTAGCCAAGGCAAGTGTGCATCCTTCAGAAATAACCACACACTCTTGGTTAACTCAATTGTCAAGCCATACACTGTTACTGCTATATGTGAATCATCGTCATTAAACAACCTCAACTGGAATTCCTACCGGTCTGTCATCTGTGCCCTTACAAGCACCTGGGAGAGAACACATAGTGCTAAGTAAAACCTAAACCTACAGAATATACAGTCCACCAAGTCCTCAACTCAATTCCAATAAGGCATGACATATAACATCCTGTTGAAACAAGGCTGGTATAGCTCTATTGTTGTTGAATGGACTAAAAGAAAAACAAATCTTTCTTACGGTCAACAGGGTTAATTGTAGGTATGTTCTGAGGGTCAGGTCTTGACGGGTTCCTGAATAATAAAGCAACTCCTGAGGGAATGGCATCTAAAACAATTGCAAAATCTTTAGGTGTTACAGGGATCTTGTAAAGTGATAAGAATTCCTTATAATTAAGTAAAAGACCCTCTGCATTTACAAGTTGGCTCACCAATAGGATATTATTTCGGAACCAATATTCTAAAAACAAATAAGTATTTTTATACAATATGTCCCGATTATTCCACATATATCTGTGTGGAGAAAAATTATGCTTATAAATTAAGGACCATGACAAGAAAACCTGCCGATGAAAAGCAGAGAGTGTCACTGGAACTTTGCAAACCAACATTCTACATGGGAAAATACAGCAAAGATTGTCTGGACGCAATACAGATGTAAAATGAATGGCTATGGATTCTGAATTGTAGCCTACTCAGATGTGATTTGGTGTAATGTTATTCAGTTTGATTATTATTTCTTGGCTTTTGCAAATGTTTTTCATTAAACATATTTTTATGGAGAAATTTGTCATCAATGTGGCCTGTGATATTCCTAGATTAATTAAGTTGTTTTACATTTCACAAATTTCTGTACATATATTAACGTGCTCTATTTTATCTGCTGATGGTTACATTGTATTTCATATGCTTGCCTACATGTATTGACAATTCAAATAGCTAGATATGTATTCAAGATAATACACAGACCACTTATTTATTTTATTTCACCTTTATTTAACCAGGTAAGCCAGTTGAGAACAAGTTCTCATTTACAACTGAGACCTGGCCAAGATAAAGCAAAGCAGTGCGATAAAAAAAACAGAGTTACATATGGGGTAAACAAAACATAGTCAAAAATACATATACAGTGTGTGCGAATGTAGAAAATTATGGAGGTAAGGCAATAAATAGGCCATAGTGCAAAATAGTTACAATTTTGTATTAACACTGGAATGATAGATGTGCAAATAGAGATAATGGGGTGCAAATTAGCAAAATAAATAACTATATGGGGATGAGGTAGTTGGACGGGCTAATTATAGATGGGCTGTGTACAGGTGCAGTGATCGGTAAGCTGCTCTGACAACTGACGCCTAACGTTAGTGAGGGAGATAAGAGTCTCCAGCTTCAGAGATTTTTGCAGTTCGTTCCAGTCATTGGCAGCAGAGAACTGGAAGGAATGGCGGCCAAAGGAGGTGTTGGCTTTGGGGATGACCAGTGAGATATACCTGCTGGAGCGCAGACTACGGGTGGGTGTTGCTATGGTGACCAGTGAGCTAAGATAAGACAGGGATTTGCCTAGCAGTGATTTATAGATGACCTGGAACCAGTGAGTTTGGCGACTAATATTTAGTGAGGGCCAGCCAACAAGAGCGTACAGGTCACAGTGGTGGGTAGTATATGGGGCTTTGGTGACAAAACGGATGGCACTGTGATAGACTACATCCAATTTGCTGAGTAGAGTGTTGGAGGCTATTTTGTAAATGACATCGCTGAAGTCAAGGATCGGTAGGATAGTCAGTTTTACGAGGGCATGTTTGGCAGCATGAGTGAAGGAGGCTTTGTTGCGAAATAGGAAGCTGAATCTAGATGTAACTTTGTATTGGAGATGCTTAATGTGAGTCTGGAAGGAGAGTTTACGGTCTAACCAGACACCTAGGTATTTGTAGTTGTCCACATACTCTAGGTCAGACCCGCCGAGAGTAGTGATTCTAGTCGGGTGGGCGGGTGCAAGCAGCGTTCGGTTGAAGAGCATGCATTTAGTTTTACTAGTGTTTAAGAGCAGTTGGAGGCTACGGAAGGAGTGTTGTATGGCGTTGAAGCTTGTTTGGAGGTTTGTTAACACAGTGTCCAATGAAGGGCCAGATGTATACAAAATGGTGTCGTCCGCATAGAGGTGGATCCGAGCGTCACCAGCAGCAAGAGCAACATCATTGATATACACAGAGAATAGAGTAGGCCCGAGAATTGAACCCTGTGGCACCCCCATATAGAATCCCAGAGGTCCAGACAACAGGCCCTCCGATTTGACACATTGAACTCTATCTGAGAAGTAGTTGGTGAACCAGGCGAGGCAGTCATTTGAGAAAAAAGGCTATTTAGTCTGCCAATAAGAATGCGGTGGTTGACAGTCGAAAGCCTTGGCCAGATCGATGCAGACAGCTGCGCAGTACTGTCTATTATCGATCGCGGTTATAATATCGTTTAGGACCTTGAGCGTGGCTGAGGTGCACCCATGACCAGCTCGGAAAAAACGGATTGCATAGCGGAGAAGGTACGGTGGGATTCGAAATGGTCGGTGATCTGTTTGTTAACTTGGCTTTCAAATACTTTCGAAAGGCAGGGCAGGTGGCTTAGTGGGTAAGAGCGTTGTGCCAGTAACCGAAAGGTCGCTGGTTCTAATCCCCGAGCCGACTAGGTTGAAAAAATCTGTCGCTCTGGATAAGAGCGTCTGCTAAATGACAAAATAAAAAAAGGATGGATATAGGTCTGTAACAGTTTAGATCTAGAGTGTCACCCCCTTTGAAGAGGGGGATGACCGCGGCAGCTTTCCAATCTCTGGGGATCTCAGACGTTACGAAAGAGAGGTTGAACAGGCTAGTAATAGGAGTTGCGACAATTTCGGCAGCTAATTTTAGAAAGAAAGGGTCCAGATTGTCTAGCCCAGCTGATTTGTAGGGGTCCAGATTTTTCAGCTCTTTCAGAACATCAGCTGTCTGAATTTGTGTAAAGGAGCGGCGGGGGGGGCATGTTGCAGCGGAGGGTGCAGAGCTGGTGGCCGGGGTAGTGGTAGCCAGGTGGAAAGCATGGCCAGCCGTAGCAAAATGCTTGTTGAAATACTCGATTATTGTAGATTTATTGGTGGTGACAGTGTTTCCTAGCCTCAGTGCAGTGGGCAGTTGGGAGGAGGTGCACTTATTCTCCATGGACTTTACAGTGTCCCAAAACTTTTTAGAGTTAGTGCTACAGGATGCAAATTTCTGTTTTAAAAAGCTTTTTCTTTCCTAACTGATTGTGTATATTGGTTCCTGACTTCCCTGAAAAGTTGCATATCGCGGGGGCTGTTCGATGCTAATGCAGTACGCCACAGGATGTTTTTGTGCTGGTCAAGGGCTGTCAAGTCTGAGGAGAACCAGTGGCTATATCTGTTCTTAGTTCTGAATTTTTTGAATGGGGCATGCTTATTTAAGATTGAAAATGTAGTTGGGGTTGGACAGTTCTGGTGGCCTTCCTAAGCCAGGATTCAGACACTGCTAGAACATCAGAGTTGGCGGAGTGTGCTAACGCAGTGTATAACTCAAACTTAGGGAGGAGGCTTCGGATGTTAACGTGCAAGAAACCAAGGCTTTTACGGTTACAGAAGTCAACAAATGATAATGCCTGGGGAGTAGGAGTGATACTGTGGGCTACAGGGCCTGGGTTAACCTCTACATCACCAGAGGAGGAGTAGAATAAGGATACGGCTAAAGGCTTTAAGAACTGGTCTTCTAGTGCGTTGGGTACAGAGAAGAAAAAAAAGGGGCAGATTTCCGGGCGTTGTAGAATAGATTCAGGGCATTATGTACAGACAAGGATATGAGTACAGTGGAGGTAAACCTAAGCGTTGGGTAACGATGAAAGAGATAGCATCACTGGAGGCACCGATTGAGTCGGTCTCCGCGTGTATGGGGGGTGGGACAAAGGAGCTGTCTAAGGCAGGTTGAGCTGGGCTGGGGGCTCTACAGTGAAATAGTACAATAAGAAATAACCGAAACAGCAATAAGCAAGGCATATTGACATGGGTTAGAGACATAAAGCAATCACAGGTGTTATTCGAGAGAGCTAAGACAACAGCTGGTAATGGCGACAAAGTTTGGGCTGAGGCTAAACATAAACAGGATGCGGTACTGTATAAAGGAACAGTCCAGCAGGCATCAGCTGTATAGCTGAGTTATCATAAGGTCCGGTGAACAGCAATAGGAGAGTTCGGAGGTAGTTTGGGGGCTGCTACAGCACTGGCGAGCAAGAGGCCCGGCTTGCGTGTGCTAGCGGGCCGGGGATAGCAGATGGATCTTTGTGGTCGACGTGGTAACGGGAAGCCTGTTGAAACCAGATCAGACGATTTCATCGGCAAACAAGTCGTGTTGGATCGGCGGGGCTCCGTTTCAACACTAGGAGGTCCCGTCCAGTTGACAGAGAGGTAGATAGCCGGGAGATGGACCTGGCTCGAGGCTAGCTCAAGGCTAACTGGTGCTTGCTAAGGGGCAATGGTAATTAGCCAACGACAACAGCCATTTGGTTGCAGCTAGCTGGTTGCGATGATCCAGCGCTAGGGTCCAGTAATTCCGCCAGAAAATCTAATATGCAGGCCACGGACAATGGTGAAGACAAGAACGGTGGCTAATAGCAAGTAGCCATTCGGTTGCAGCTAGACTTGTTTCAGCTTAAGGTTCTTGATAAAAGTTATAAAGAAATAATATAATCCTTTCCACGTTGGGTGAGGCGGGTTGCAGGAAAGTATATTTAGTTAAAGAATGAAAAGTAAAAATTTTGAAATATATACCCAAAAAAATATTTTTTTAATGGCTTGCGTGTGCTAGCAGGCCGGGGATAGCAGATGGACACAGAAAAAAACACGACCGCACTGCTACGCCATCTAGATAAATAATTTCAGCTAAGTAATGTAAGTGCATAGATCAGCTACGTGCATAGATCAACAAACTGCATAGCCATAGAATGACTGGGTAAAGCAGGGTTTCCCAAACTCGGTCCCCAAGGCGTGCACGTTTTGGTTTTTGACCTAGAACTACTCAGCTGATTCAAATAATCAACTAATCATCAAGCTTTGATCATTTGAATCAGCTGTGTAGAGTTAGGGCAAAACTCAAAACGTGCTCCCCTTGGGGTCCCGAGGACCGAGTTTGGGAAACGCTGGGGTAAAATTAAGCATGGTGTTTCACACTAGAGCTCTATTCCAAGTAATGAACAGAGAAGGGCCTGTCATGTGATAGTCTAATTGAGGCGCTTGAGTCAGGTGCTTGACTGTGTCTGATAAATTAGGAAACCTATCACAGACTTTGAAAGCTGGCTCATTAAATTTGAACTCATATTCTTGAGAAATCAATTACAATTATATTATGTTTAGGAAGGGGGGGGGCTTGCACATAAATTAAAATGTTCTTCAGTTTTAAAAAATATTTTCATTTTAAACACATAGTCAGCAGAATTGTATCACTACTGTACACCATTGCCAGGTGATGATTGCATAGTATTTCTGGTCCAACAAGTTATAGCAAAGTCATTTCTGTGGTTATAGCAAAGACGGGAGATGAAGTGAGACATTTCACTCGCTGTTTTTTTCTGGTTCATATACATGAACTAAGTAGACCAGATGCTAATGCGGTGGTGCCACCCCTTAAGCAGACCGGAACTGTGACAATTTTCTTCAATGGTAAACGGCCTGAGTGGGACATCTTAATTTATTCACCATTGCTGTAGCCTATCTATGCTTCTCTATCTATGGCCTCTCCTTATTGTTCCAGCATCCACGTCAGAAAACTGGAGATGAGAAGAGGCGGGTTTACTTTGAATGGGGCAGTCCTTATCCAATCATTCAAAACCAACTGAACTGAGATCCTTTCAGTGTCTGTCCACCATCAGTTTACGTAAAGGTACTCATTAATCTGTGAAATTGTCCGCAACTGTTGAGAGAACAGCAAAATGGCCCCAATATCCATCAAAAGCATTTTAATCAGTGAAAGTGTTGATCCTTGTTGTAAGAAGATCCTGCAAGAAAATGGAATCCAAGTTACGGAGAAGCAAAACATGAGTAAGGATGACTTGATTGCGGAGATCAAGGTAAGGGTTTACATATTTTCCTAATTTTGGATGCATTCCTCGTATTAAACATTTCAGGCATGACATGCATTTTTGTTGCACGATGTATTTCTATAAAAGTATTTCTAAAATGTGCAACCATTTCACAGTTGGTATCAAATTTATAATACGGAAATGTATATCGCGTTTGGTTGAATAACCTCATCAAAAGTGTCTCTGAAGTAACATGCAATGATTTCCGCGTTTCATACAACAGATTATTATTTGAATCCGTTGCAGTTTAGTTGATAAAAGCAAGGTCTTGCTTGTGCGTTCCTGTCCTGTGGTGTCCCTCACTAGTACCGCCTTCTTGTGAATCTGATGCAACTGCGCCAGAGATTTACAGGTTTCCCTCGTTTGGCCGACTATTAAAAACACTAGGATCACATTTAGACCGGGGTTTTCTATCTGTTTTACCTAGTACTTTCAACATTTTGGGCTATACATCAATTACACCAGCTCAAAGGCTGCTAATATTTGGCTTGCCTTCCTCATGATACCATGTGATGCCCAAATCAATCATTTCAATGTGTTTGATGCATGCACAAATTACAACTATAAGGTCATTCCTAACCTCTTCAAACTACTCCAATGAACAACAGATAATTCTGCCATGCAATGTCACTATGCAAGTCATATTTTTTCTGTTAATTCACTCTCCAGGACTATGATGGCCTTGTAGTTAGATCTGCAACAAAGGTGACAACTGATGTCATCAATGCTGCTAGTAACCTCAAAATCGTTGGAAGAGCTGGGACAGGTGTTGACAACGTGGATGTAGATGCTGCCACCAAAAAGGGCATCATTGTCATGAAGTACGTTTTCAAAATAAGTGTAATTCAAAATAAGTTTTAATGCAGCGCCTATGTCTAAATCAAATCACCACAGATCTGGCTTTTCCCTAAACATTAGACTATTGTGTAAATTCTCTTCTAGCACACCAAGTGGCAACACTATCAGTGCTGCAGAGCTGACATGTACGCTTTTGATGAGCCTCTCAAGGTAAGACACTACAACAATACAGAATACCTCTCTGCATATTTCATGGTTAGACATTGCTTTGCACTATACAGTGCACTCGGAAAGTATTCAGAACCCTTGACCTTTTCCACATTTTGTTACGTTACAGACTTATTCTAAAATTGATTACATTAAATTTTCCTCATCAATCTACACACAATACCCCATAATGACAGTAAAAACAGGTTTAGAATTTTTCAAATTTATATTTAAAAAAATATACAGTACCAGTCAGAAGTTTGGACACACCTACTCATTAAAGGGTTTTTCTTTATTTTTTACATTGTAGAATAATAGTGAAGACATCAAAATTATGAAATAACACATATGGAATCATGTAGTAACCAAAAAAGTGTTAAACAAATCTAAATATATTTGAGATTGTTCAAAAAGCCACCCTTTGCCTTGATGACATCTTTGCATTCTCTCAACCAGCTTCACCTGGACTGCTTTTCCAACAGTCTTGAAGGAGTTCCCACATATGCTGAACACTCTCATCCCAAACCATCTCAATTGGGTTGAGGTCGGGGGATTTGTGGAGTTCAGGTCATCTGATGCAGCACTCATCTACCTTGTCACAACACAACTGATTGGCTCAAACGCATTAAGAAGGAAATCAATACCACAAATTAACTTTTAACAACGCACACCTGTTAATTGAAATACATTCCAGGTTACTACCTCATGAAGCTGGTTGAGAGAATCCCAAGAGTGTGCAAAGCTGTCATCAAGGCAAAGGGTGGCTATAAAATATATTTTGATTTGTATAACCTTTTTTCTTTTTGGTTCCATATGTGTTATTTCATAAACTCAGCAAAAAAAGAAACGTCCTCTCACTGTCAACTGCGTTTATTTTCAGCAAACTTAACATGTGTAAATATTTGTATGAACATAACAAGATTCAACAACTGAGACATAAACTGAACAAGTTCCACAGACATGTGGCCACCAGCTGCATTAAGTACTGCAGTGCATCTCCTCATGGACTGCACCAGATTTGCCAGTTCTTGCTGTGAGATGTTACCCCACTCTTCCACCAAGGCAAGTTCCCAGACATTTCTGGGGGGAATTGCTCTAGCCCTCACCCTCCGATCCAACAGGTCCCAGCCGTGCTCAGTGGGATTGAGATCCGGGATCTTCGCTGGCCATGGCAGAACACTGACATTCCTGTCTTGCAGGAAATCACGCACAGAACGAGCTGTATGGCTGGTGGCATTGTCATGCTGGAGGGACATGTCAGGATGAGCCTGCTTTGTCATTATGGGGTATTGTGTGTAGATTGAGGGATTTTTTAATAGTTTTTTGTATCCATAAGACTGTAACGTAACAATGTGGAAAAAGTCAAGGGGTCTGAATACTTTCCGAATGCATTGTCCTTCTCATACTTTTACAGAAAAGTTTGATTTAACATTCAAAATCATTATCTTCCTAGACATGTGCCACAAGCAGCCATGTCCATGAAAGCAGGGAACTGGGATCGTAAAAAGGTAGAGTATTTTGGCTTCCCTCATTAGGAGTTTCATTTTGACACACAAAGCAATTACTGTCGCGTGGTCTAACCCAGTGTTCAACCAGTCATCACTAATCAAATCTGATCTTTAAATCTGTGGTCTCACGCTCATCAGAGACCTGGATCAAAGTTGTGTTAATGATTTCGCAGTTCATGGGTGCAGAGATGTACGGCAAAATACTTGGAATAGTTGGACTTGGAAGAATTGGAAAGGAAGTTGCCACCAGAATGCAGTCCTTTGGCATGAAGGTCGATTCAAAATCCTGTGAAAAGCAAAAACGATCTTTCAAAGCTGCCTACTGTAGTATTTAGACAATAATACTAACTGAATTTGCTTTCGACAGACCATCGGCTATGATCCAATCACTCCTCCTGAGGTGACTGCTACCTGGGGGGTGGAGCAGATGTCCCTGGAACAGCTGTGGCCCCAGTGTGATTACATCACCGTCCACACGCCCCTCATGCCTTCTACGGCTGGTGAGTTTTACGGAAGTGTCATGTTTGTTTTACTGGAGGGAGAACATTGCTTTTCCACGTGAGGTATAGTTATTGTTTCTTCTAGGACTACTGAATGACACCTCATTTGCTAAGTGCAAGAAAGGTGTAAAGGTTGTGAACTGCGCACGCGGGGGCATCATCGACGAGGATGCTCTCCTCAGAGCTTTGGAGTCTGGACAGTGTGGAGGGGCTGGCCTCGATGTTTTTGTTGAGGCAAGAATACCACATTTAAACCACAAATATATTCAGTTCCATTTGATATTACTTGTCTTCCCGTCGATTGACGCTCACTTACATCATGGTATTCCATTCTTTCCCAGGAACCCCCAAAGAACCGTGCTCTGGTGAACCATCCCAATGTGATTAGCTGTCCTCATCTGGGTGCCAGTACAAAGGAGGCCCAGGCACGCTGTGGACAGGACATCGCTCTGCAGATCGTGGACATGGTGATGGGCAAGGGCCTGGTTGGAGCAGTGAGTTCTACTCTCTTCTATTACAGTCAAGCAAAGGCCTATTGGTGACTGATTCTAATGGGTTCTTTCTTTTGGTTTCAGTGTTGCAATAGAGAAACTCTGCTTTCAGACCTTGAAAACAATGTAACCCTCAATTGTTCATGAAGTATTCTAATGATACAGTTTCATTGCAAGAATGTATATTCAACATTGAGTCATACTTGGGAATACAATTAGTTAGTCTTCCACATGAAGTGTAGTGAAACCGGTTGACTTAATTGTGAAATTTCATGGGCAAAAACAATGCAGCCCAATTCAATAGATCTTCTTGATTATCTTTCTGAGTCCCTCATTCCAAAATGAAGCACAAACCACATTTAATAGATCACATTACATGTGTTATTGTGTGTGTGCGCAGGTGAATGCCCAGGTTTTGGCAAGCACATTCTCCCCCGAGTCTCACCAGTGGATCAAACTTGGAGAGGCCATAGGAGTAGTGCTGAAATCATGCACCACCTCTAAACAGCCCTTCAGCCAAGTGCAAATCACAACTCAAGGTAAGCACTGCAAGGCATTAGACTGTCCTAATATCCTTCAATTGCTTAATTTTCTCTGAAACTGCTGATCAGGCTTGATAAACTCAGCAAAAAAAGAAATGTCCCTTTTTCAGGACCCTGTCTTTCAAAGATAATTCGTAAAAATCTAAATAACTTCACAGATCTTCATTGTAAAGGGTTTAAACACTGTTTCCCATGCTTGTTCAATGAACCATAAACAATGAATGAACATGCACCTGTGGAACGGTCGTTAAGACACTAACAGCTTACAGACGGTAGGCAATTAAGGGCACAGTTATGAAAACTTAGGACACTAAAGAGGCCTTTCTACGGACTCCGAAAAACAACAAAAGAAAGATGCCCATGGTCCCTGCTCATCTGCAGGAACATGCCTTAGGCATGCTGCAAGGAGGCATGAAGACTGCAGATGTGGCCAGGGCAATAAATTGCAATGTCCGTACTGTGAGACGCCTAAGACAGCGCTACAGGGAGACAAGACGGACAGCTGATCGTCCTCGCAGTGACAGACCACGTGTAACAACACCTGCACAGGATCGGTACATACGAACATCACACCTGCGGGACAGGTACAGGATAGCAACAACAACTGCCCGAGTTACACCAGGAACGCACAATCCCTCCATCAGTGCTCAGACTGTCCGCAATGGGCTGAGAGAGGCTGGACTGAGGGCTTGTAGGCCTGTTGTCTGGTGAGGTCCTGCCTTACATCACTGGCAACAACGTCGCCTATGGGCACAAACCCACCGTCGCTTGACCAGACAGGACTGGCAAAAAGTGCTCTTCACTGACGAGTCGCGGTTTTGTCTCACCAGGGGGGATGGTCGGATTGACGTTTATCGTCGAAGGAATGAGCGTTACACCGAGGCCTGTACTCTGGAGCGGGATCGATTTGGAGGTGGAGGGTCCGTCATGGTCTGGGGCGGTGTGTCACAGCATCATCGGACTGAGCTTGTTGTCATTGCAGGCAATCTCAACGCTGTGTGTTACAGGGAAGACATCCTCCTCCCTCATGTGGTACCCTTCCTGCAGGCTCATCCTGACATGACCCTCCAGCAAGACAATGCCACCAGCCATACTGCTCGTTCTGTGCGTGATTTCCTGCAAGACCGGAATGTCAGTGTTCTGCCATGGCCAGCGAAGAGCCTGGATCTCAATCCCACTGAGCACGTCTGGGACCTGTTGGATCGGAGGGTGAGGGCTAGGGCCCCCCCCCCAGAAATGTCCGGAAACTTGCAGGTGCCTTGGTGGAAGAGTGCGGTAACATCTCACATCAATAACTGGCAAATCTGGTGCAGTCCATGAGGAGGAGATGCACTGCAGTACTTAATGCAGCTGGTGGCCACACCAGATACTGACTGTTACTTTTGACCCGCCCCTCCCTCCCCCCCATTGTTCAGGGACACATTATTCAATTTCTGTTAGTCACATGTCTGTGGAACTTGTTCAGTTTGTCTCAGTTGTTGAATCTTGTTATGTTCAAACAAATATTTACACATGTTAAATTTGCTGGAAAGAAACGCAGTTGACAGTGAGAGGATGTTTCTTTTTTTGCTGAGTTTAGATGAAAAGATTAAGCGGAAAGCCTGTGTCAACATTACATAACCAGTCTTCTCAGATCAGTGATCATAAGGGAAAGGAGACAATGGATGCCATTCAAGCACACAGGTATTAGAGGAAGATGGTGTTGTGCTCTTTGGTTTGTCTCTCCCTGGTGGTATAATTGTGTGTCATGAGAGTGGGCTGTCTGGAAATGCAAACTGAACATGGTTTATTTTTGTTTTTATTCTCACGAACTAGGAGACTGCTTGAAAGGATCCTCTGGTTACATGACTTCAGCAGTAATGGTTGGATTACTTACTGATGGGTCCAAGAGTTGCCCCAATCTGGTCAATTCACTGACCCTGGCCAAGGAATCTGGAATCACGGTAAAATGGCCCCCATTGACCCTTGGCTAAAGGTCATATTCTGTTAATGACCTATCTTGTGTAATGTATTAATGTTGTCTTGTGTAACATAAATAAATCTTATCTGAGATTGATGACTTTGTTTTTAAATCTCAGGTAACCAGAAACCACAGTAAGGGTCTGACTCAAGGTGCATGTGAGGTGGAGATCTCTTTCAATGGCTCCAGCTACAGAGCTACTGGTTGTGTCCAGGGAGGAGTACCAGTCTTGTTGGAGCTGAACCGCAGCGTGTTCCGACAGCCTGTCTCTCTCACTGGCAATCTGCTGTTCTTCAAGGCCTCTGCTTCTCCTCAGCTCCTGCCCGCTGTGACCGGTGAGAAAAACATTTTTCACATTGTAACCTCATGATTGAATAATCAAGATCATAGGGTCATCTTTCATCTATGCAGCACGAGGTAAGCCATGTATAGCCCTTTTCTTTTCTACTTGAATGATTTCTTTTTTCAGTATGCTGTCTTAACCCATACTTTTTCTGCCTTTTCCCATCAGGATGTGTTTACACTGAACTAGCACTTGACAGCAAGCTACTCTCTGGCTGTAAATGTCAGAAGACCAGGATAACTTAACTTATTTTAAACTGACTGTCTCCCACTCTTTCCTCAGGTTTGCTGGCCACGGTAGGAGTGGAAATGGAGTCATTCAGTGCCCCTGCAGATCGTAGTGGAGATCAGTGGTATTGTGTGGGGTTATCCTCTCTCTTGGGTGACCTTGGTGCTTTAAAACCTTTAGTGAAAGAAGCAGGCCAGCTCTCTGTGTAAATAACAGTGAGATAGCATTGTTACAATGCTGAGAGTCCAGTAGAGCATTCCAATGTCAAAAAATCTAACCACTGATTATTTAAGTCATCTAAATGGTTTATCTTGGCTTTTTAGCATTGCAATACTTGGTTTACAATACGAACACATAGAAGTTACTAAAAATGCACTTCTGTCATTTCAATTGTAGAGATGCTGGCTATACTTAGCATTTAATAAACATCTGTTACATTATTACACTTGTTTTATATTTTGTTGTATTCTCTATTTGGCTGTTTTTGCTGAATGTTCTCAATGCCAAAACACCAGGAAGAGGGTAGCTGAAATGGCGAAACAAAAAAACAACCCGTCTAAACTGACCAATAAACTCCTATGCATTTGCTGTGCACCCTAGGTTTCTATGGTGACTAACCTATTACTAGTATTTGGTATTCCCTTGGGTGCAATAAAGATGAAATCTGTGTGTTAAAGACTACCAGCCTCTTAGGACTTTATATTTGTTTTATAATTAATACGTTTCAACAGTGACGCCTCAAGTCAAATTCCATCACTTAGGTGATTTTACTTTGCAGTGAGGTTGTAAACCACAATCAGTGTTAGTCATAAAGTTTGACATCGGGCTTGTTCATGGCACCGCATTACAATCTCGTGTTAGACTATTCAATCTTAATCCCTATTAGGCTAAAACTGCCATGGCAACGAAAGAGACTGAATGGGAAGTGGCTCTTTGCAGTGGGGGAATTTCTCAATCAAATTAAAATGGGCTACCAGCCATACAGTTTATATTTTTATTTATTCACTTGTGGTATTGGAGAGTCTCCGTGGCGCATCGATGCTGTCTATGCTCATTCTCCGTGGTAGGAGAATGAGTGTCCAGTGAATAATGGGAATGGTGATTAACAAGGCTGGTTTGTAGCCTATTATCTGGGAAGCTGGCTGGAGTATATGGAGCAGGATGACAGACGGCGACTCCAACTATACACAGAGAAAAAATATAGGACAGCCGTGTGCTGCCACCGTCCCTGAGCTAATTTAAGGTTAACTCTGCGATTCTGTGCTCAGAGCGCTCAAACAAAAGCACTGCGAGGGCCTGTTTAGTACACAAAGTGCCATTATATGGTGGAAAGGTAAGCGTGAATGAGGGAATGTTGCTTTGAAGATGAATGATTGGAATCCAGTGATTTAGGAATAGAAAGTTGTGTGCTGCTGATTATGACATGAGATCCTTAATTTCCCGTCAGATCGTAGCCTACTCATGCGTGGATAGACATAACGAGCCCTAATGTTGTTGTAGCCTATGTTATAATAGTGTGACGATACAGATTTAAAACCAATATCTAAAGAAAAGCCGTTTAACCTTTAATGCTATAAGACTAGTTATTTTTCAAATGTTCTCCTCAGGCCTGTTGTAGATTAAATGGGACACCAGAAATAAACACCCCCAAAGTAAATGCTAAACATTCTCTTCATTTTCTAGCCGTGTCTGACAAAGGAAAAGAAAGTTACATTTATGACTTTTGTGACATCGCCCATCCAAATGAGCTATTGGATGCGCTGAGAGAATTCTACTTAGGTAACATCTTCACAGATACCACCCTACAATGTGACAAAGGACAAGTCTTTCACTGTCACAAGGCAGCTTGGTTAGCTCGCAGCTCTTATTTTAGTCATGTTCACAGCCGACATCAAGGAGCAGTCAAACAACCTCATCAAACTGACTGGGATTGATTATGAAGTTCTGTGTGCTCTGGTGAACTACCTATACACTTCCAGGGTGAGCATCACTGAGACAAATGTACAGAGCCTGCTGGAGGCAGCAGACTTCCTACAGTTCAACTCCGTGAAGAATGACTTCCTTATACGCTTCCTGGATGTGGACGACTGCCTGGGTATGCACTATTTTGCTACGCTGCACATCTGCCCTGAGCTGAAGTGGGAGGCACGAAGGGTAATGCTCAGCAGGTTCCAGGAGCTCATACAACAGTTCTTAGAGGTGGACTACGACAAGCAGAGTTCAACCATGTCTGCTAAGAACCTCAACATATGACAGACTTCGAAAAGGCATTTGATAAAGTTCGACTGGAATTTATATATAAATGCCTGGAGCATTTCAATTTTGGAGAATCTCTTATAAAATGGGTCAAAATCATGTATAGTAACCCTAGGTGTAAAATAGTAAATAATGGCTATTTCTCAGAAAGTTTTAAACTATCAAGAGGAGTGAAACAAGGTTGTCCACTATCGGCATATCTATTTATTGTGGCCATCGAGATGTTAGCTATTAAAATCAGATCCAATAATAATATCAGGGGATTAGAAATACAGGGCTTAAAAACAAAGGTGTCATTGTACGCAGATGATTCATGTTTTCTTTTAGATCCACAACTAGAATCCCTCCACAGCCTCATAGAGGATCTAGATACATTTTCTAACCTCTCTGGATTAAAACCAAATTATGACAAATGTACTATATTACGTATTGGATCACTAAAAAATACAATTTTTACATTACCATGTAGTTTACCAATAAAATGGTCTGATGGTGATGTGGATATACTCGGAATACATATCCCAAAGGAAATAAATGATCTCACTTCAATACATTTTAATAGAAAGTTAGCAAAAATAGATAAGATCTTACTACCATGGAAAGGAAAATACCTGTCAATTTGTGGAAAAATCACCCTGATTAACTCTTTAGTATTATCCCAGTTTACCTATTTGCTTATGGTCTTGCCTACGCCTAGCAAACAGTTTTTAAAATTATATGAGAAAAAAATATTCCATTTTATTTGGAACGGCAAGCCAGACAAAATTAAAAGAGCATATTTATATAATGAATATGAATTCGGAGGACAGAAATTATTAAATATTAAAGCATTAGACCTATCACTAAAATCTTCAGTCATCCAAAAGTTATACTTAAATCCGAACTGGTTCTCAAGCAAATTAGTAAGATTGTCTCACCCACTGTTCAAGAAAGGCCTTTTTCCCTTTATTCAGATTACAACCTCTCACTTTCAGTTATTTGAAAAGGAAATAATCTCCCAAATGTCACTATTTCTAAAACAAGCCATAGAAAGTTGGTTGCAATTTCAATTTAATCCTCCAGAAACGACAGAACAAATAATGCAACAAATATTGTGGTTAAATTCAAATATACTAATTGACAAAAAACCTTTATTTTTTGACAGAATGTTTAAAAAAGGTATAATCTTCGTAAATGATATCATCGGTAGGACTGGTGGAGTTATGTCGCACATGCAGCTAACAAAAACATATGGAAATGTCTGCTCTACCCAAAATTACAACCAAATAATTGCAGCCTTACCGCAAAAGTGGAAGAGGAAAGTTGAAGGGGGACAAAGTAAGGAACTTGTCTGTCGGCCTTGCATTAAAGAACATAATTGGTTAAGGAAAACTGTGATAAATAAAAAAGTATATCAGTTTCACTTAAGGACCAAAGGATTGACAGCCGTCCCATATAGATTGCAAAATATTTGGGAAGAGATCTTTGACGTACCAATCCCATGGCATAGTGTTTATGAACTGACACGCAAAACGACACCGGATTCAAAAATTAGAATCTTTCAATTTAAATTATTATATAAAATTCTTGCTACCAATAGAATGTTATTTATATGGGGGATACAATCTTCCCAGCTCTGCAGATTTTGCTGTGAAGAGATAGAATCATTAGATCATTTGTTTTGGTTCTGTCCATTTGTAGCTTGTTTTTGGACACAGGTCCAGGAATGGCTAAAGGATTGCAATATTTACCTGGAACTAACCTTGCAGATAGCATTACTGGGTGATCTGAAAAGTCATAGTCAATCAATCAATAATATAATAATACTTTTAGCAAAAATGTTTATTTTTAATTCACAATCTGTAGAAGCAATGAGAATAGAAAGGTTCAGAACTTTTGTAAAACATCACAGTATGGTTGAAATATATATGGCAAATAGAAATCCTATATGGATGGTGTTAAGAGATAGATGGGAGGTATTGAATAGAGTTGAAGGATGGGACTAATAACAAATAACAACAAATAATAACAAAGATAGCTAATAATGTAAGCATACTGTGTCCATAATAAGTATATAGGTTGTATGTTGGGAGCTTTTGGGAAAGAGCACAGTTAGAAAGATATGGCATTTAGAAGCAAACCGGATGGACATCATGAAAATGATCGGAGAGGTTGAGAGTAGAAGAAGTTCAGGAGCAAAAAAATAAATAAATATATATATATATATATATATATATATATATATATATATATATATATATATATATATATATATATATGGATATAGAATTATTGTAAAATTAACTCTGTCCATAAGGTGTAGATAGTAATTATAGACCGGAAGTAGAGGCCTGGGCGTTGTTGTTCACTAATTTACTCCAAGTAGGGAAAGGATGGTGGGGTTGAAAAGTAATAAAGGGGAATATATATATATAAAAAATAAAAAATAAACATGGGGGATTGGAAGTGATGCAGACAATTACATTGATAGAAAACCTCAACATATGGAAGGATGAAGTTCTCTTGGATGCTGTGGTCAAATGGGTCACCCATGACTTTCTTAACCGTGTTGATCACATTCAGGACCTACTCTGTTTTATCCATCTTGAGCTGGATGAGATGCACTTCAAGACTGCCCTGGATGTACAGAGACGATGCTTACTGGCCAATGAGGGGAAAGTAAGGTAATTTATTATCCACGCTTTGAAGACCAACTGCAAAGAGACTTCAGCAAGCAGGAAAAAAACTGTCCTCAAGCATGTATGTTATTGGAGGGTACTCTGTGAAGTCCACATATGGGATCCATTAAGCAACATATGGGTGTAAGGAAAATATATGCCAGACCAGACAAGAGAGAGCAATAGTGTATCTTTACTGGGGGCAAATATTTATGTGACTGGGGGTTATAAAACAGACTATTGAAGCCCTGGACACAGTTTGGCTTTATAATGGTGATTTTGATGAGTGGACAGAGGGATGCCCCATGATCACTGCCAGATACTACCACTGTTCTGTGGCTTTACATGGCTGTATCTATGCTTTAGGAGGGTACAGAGGGAGAGCTATACAATTTGAGACTGAATTATATGACCCCTTAAAAAATAAATGGTTCCCTACAGCCAACATGATTCAAGTATGAAAACATAAATAGAACAACTATACAGAAAGGAGTTTGTTACAATGAGAAGACTCCTAGGCAAACATGTAAGCCTGTGTTTCTCTATTGCACTGTCCTTGTTAACCCACTCTTGAATTTGTCAGTCTTACATGGTTGGGGCAAAAGCTATCTGGGCCACTGATTGTCAGCCATGGCTGATTCTCAGCCATTGACCTGTAAAGAATGATTTAAGTTATTCTGCATATTCAAATAACATGAAAAATATTTCACTGAGTACTAATGAAATCATTATTGTTGTCATGTGTTCAGCTGTTCACTCTTCTTGATAAAAGGCTTCCTCTTTCAAAGGTGTAGGAAATGCCACTGCTTCAAATCAAAATCAAATTTTATTGGTCACATGCGCCGAATACAACAGGTGCAGACATTACAGTGAAATGCTTACTTACAGCCCTTAACCAACAGTGCATTTATTTTTAACAAAAAAAGTAAAAATAAAACAACAACAAAAAAAGTGTTGAGAAAAAAAGAGCAGAAGTAAAATAAAATAACAGTAGGGAGGCTATATATACAGGGGGGTACCGGTGCAGAGTCAATGTGCGGGGGCACCGGCTAGTTGAGATAGTTGAAGTAATATGTACATGTGGGTAGAGTTAAAGTGACTATGCATAAATAATTTGTCGGTAGTCATTTAGGCAGGTTATCTTAGAGTCCTTGGGCACGGGGACTATGGTGGTCTGCTTGAAACATGTTGGTATTACATGTTGGTATTACAGACTCAGTCAGGGACATGAATGGCACAATATATGTGACCGGGGGCCACTATGGATCCAGAGGAAGCAGCACCTAAGAAAAAATGCAGGCCTACAGGCCGGACATCAATGAGTGGATCATTGTCACAATAAATCTTCATCCAGGTATGACACATTTCAAAGGAAGTGGGCATTTATTTTAATTTGTATGGAATATATTTAGTCAGGAAATCATTGTCTTTATGCTTTCAGAGTATGGCCTGTGCTCTGTTTCTCTGAACAACAAGCTGTACTTGGTGGGAGGACAGACTAAGATCACAGACTGCTAAGATCCAGAGAGAGATGAGTGGAGGCAGTTGTCAATGATGAAGGAGAGGAGGATGGAGTGTGACACTGTAGTGATAAATGGCTGCATCTATGTGACTGGGGGATATTCCTATTCAAAAGGGATGTATCTGCAGAGCATTGAGAAGTATGACCCTGAGCTGGGCACCTGGGAGGTTGTGGGAAGCCTCCCCAGCCCAACAAGAACACACTGCTGCGTTTGTATTTACAGTGTGCAGTGTCTTTCAATGTACTTTTACAACAAACCTCAACTAAATCCTGTGGATGCAGTTCCTTTGTGCCATACTGATCATGAGTGGCAGGTGCTATACGTGTGTGACAGGTGCTAAGAATCTTTTTACAAAAAGTGACATTATTTAGAGTATCTTTATAACCATTTGGCCAAAAACAAATGTTCAGTGACACATGACTGCTGCTGGTTTAATATTACAAAAAAAGCACATCATTTTCAATCCACTTAAATTGAATGGCTTCTAACACACTGGTTCTCATGCACTTTAACATTACCATTTGTGTACTTTTAGACTGGTAAACCTGATAAAGCACTGATATGCACAAATGCACACAGTTTTTAGACAAATCTCTACACTTGAAGCACAAATGTCAACAGGTGGGTATCAACCTTACATCTGAATCTTAGGATTTGGGGTATGCACAATTAATCAGGTTTCCTATGTGGAGACCTCGGATTCTGAAAATAAAATAATGAACTAAAACAACTATACTGTGGCTGATTGATGCAGTTCATGCACCAGATTTTACTTGTTGATAAATGTAACGTTCATCTACAAGATGGTGCGCATAGATGTGGTGGTTGTATGTTCATTGATTTCGTAGAGTGTGATGTGTGAATTCTGCCTACTGTCCAAATATTATTTTCTGATAAATCAATTAACACGTGTAAATAAAAATACAATATTTACCTAAACCTTTGACCGTAAGCTACTTCAGCAGCAGTTAGGTGACGCTGTAGCCTAGGCTGCAGTGCAGAAAGCAATTTGTTTTGGCCCTCAACGGGCTCCGTAGAACGTGCTTTAACTTCATTTAGCAGAGTGTGGTAGTAAGTCTTCTGAACAACCAGCATCTCTGCAGGTAAATTTATAACAGTAAGTAAATCTGTTACAATTTAACAGCGTTTGATATTAATATACAATGCATTTTATTTGGTAAAGAACAGTCCTATCTTGTATTTTAGAGGCCCGTGGAGAAAGAAACAGTTGCTCGCTAGTAAGCTAACAAGTTAGCACACAGTTCATGTAGCCAGAGAAGAAGAGGCGAAGCGAGAGGATTTACTCCGCCCAAAATCTGTCCACGAAAATAAGAACGAAGTGAGGAATTTTTGTGTGGAGGTCTATGAGTGTCGAATTTAGTCAACAACAAATTGAATTATTTACTACGTGAGGCATATTTGATCAAATATAAGTTTCACTGATCTTTGTGGACGCACGTGGCATTTCGGCATCTTTGAAAAACTACTTTATATCGGAGTTCTGCCTGTTGTTCACACGCCTATCTGCCCTCGTTGGCTAGAATGGACCCACCTGATCTCGCCTCTTGCCTGTCTCCCATATTTGAGGACATGTATTTCCATTGTTAGAGCTGTCACTCTACTATCATGTCAATATAATAGAACATCTTTGATGCAATTACGTCCTGGCCTCACTGTAAACTGCATCATGGTGTGAACTGCCCTTTTAGGTCATGTACTCGTTTGAATTTAGAGGCCAGGAGTGAAAACGGGGGTATACAAAAGCTTTTCTCAGTGCATACCTCATGCGCATGCAGGTCCGTTGTGTAATTAGCTGGCATGGCTAGTGCTTGTATCTAAAGCGTTTCCCATTTGGTTAGTGTTGATTTATTGATTTGTCACATTTTGATCTAATAAATGTATTTGACTTATTCTTTTCAGACACATCATGGCAGAAAATCAAGCAACGTCTGAACTTGAGAAGAAGGTGGCACAACAGATTGAGGTATTTTGTGTCATAGCTAACTGTATTCTACTGTAGCTGTATAACCAAAGATGGTGGCATATTCTGACAGCTAACCTGGATAATGCTGGTCAGCCCTGATTGACACGTTTTTCTTTATCTTCAAAGTACTACTTCGGTGATCACAACCTTCCAAGAGACAAGTTCCTCAAAGAACAGTTGCAGCTCGATGATGGCTGGGTGACCCTGGAAACCATGCTAAAGTTTAACAGGTTTGTGATATTTACTTTTATTTGCTCAATTGGAATTTGGGACTTGATTCGGCCTACAATGTTTTTTTTTAGATGAATTGCTCGCTTATAACATGATTCCTAAATCTCCCCTCTAATTATTTTCAGACTGAAATGCTTGACAACCGATCACAACATAATTGTTGAGTCTCTGAAAAAATCCAAGACTGGCCTTCTGGAAATGAGTGAGGATAAAACAAAAATCAGGAGAATTTCAAGCAAGCCTTTACCAGAACTGAACGACGAGTACAAAGATGCCCTCAAACACAAATCTGTCTACATTGTAAGTTGGATTTTCCAAGATTTGAGATTTACAGCTGTTTGGAGCCCTGTGTCTGTATGTTGAACATTTTCTATGATCTTCCAGAAAGGTTTTCCATTGGAGACAACGCTTGATGAAATTGAGGGGTGGCTGAAAGGGAAAGGCGTCATAGAAAACATTCAGATGAGACGAAACTTGCAAAAGAACTTCAAGGTAATGTGGCCGGAGATATTTTTTTCTCAGGTTAATTAAGAATTAACTGTTTGTAATACAAAACACACAGCATCTCCATCCATTTTCAGGGCTCAGTGTTCCTGACTTTCGACACTGAAGAAGCATCAAAGCAGTTCCTTGGACGCACAGACACCAAATCATTCAAAGAAAATGAAATGATTGTACTGTCAAGGTAGGTGGATGCTTAGCTATCATTACCAAGTCTCTAAGATGACCTATTGATACTGGTGAAAAGGATATATATTAACTCTGCTCTTGTTTTCAGAGAGGACTACCATGCAAAGAAAGCGGAGGTTAAAAAACAGTTCAAAGCAGAGGCAAAGGCTAAAGCTAAACAGTGAGCACATTACTGACACTTAATCATGTTTATTTTGTATTTTTATGGTAAAGTAAATTGTTCAAAATTAACTGGTTTCTAGTGACAAGGACGAAAAGCAAAAACATGCAGAGGAAGAGGAAATGGTAAGAGCTCTGGAAGTGCTATCACAAATCCTTATATGTTTGAAGGGGGTTGTCTTCATTAGGACTAAACATTTTGAAACTGGCATCTGTTCTTATTGGGCTAGTTCGTGTAGCACCCTCTCCGATTCAAGATGATTTTCTCCTGTTTGCTCCTTTTGTGTATTGTTTTTCTTCCCAAAACAGGGAGGTTTAAAGTTGCTCACCAGTGGTCCTCTGCTTTATTTTGCATTGTAGAAATCTCTGGACGAGCAGACTGGATGCCTGCTGAAGTTCTCAGGCAATCTTGACAGTGTTTCAAGAGAAGACTTTCACGAGGTGTTCTCAGGTCATGGTCAAATCAAATGGATTGATTTCATCAGGGGTGCCAAAGAGGCAAGAATTGCAGTGTAATTAACTATTTTAACCACCCTTCAATTAGAAAAATGAAATTGTCATAGGAAATAATGATCATTTATTATCTTAAAGGGTACCATCCTCTTCAGAGTGAGTGCTAAGGAAGCTCTTGATAAGGCCAAGGAAGCAAATGGAGGAAACTTGAAAATTAAAGACAAAGATGTTACGTGGGAGGTGGTGGAGGGAGATGCAGAGAGGGAAACTCTGAAAAAGATAATCGAAGACCAACAAGAATCTCTCAACAAACATAGAGGCAGAGGTAACTGCGATTTCAAGGCAAAAAATAATAATGTCATATTTCCTGTCTGATCTGATGGAGCATTTCCTCCTTTCTCTCTTTACAGGTGGCCGAAAATCAGGTGGGAGAGGGGGGAGAGGAGGAAGAAGGGACAGGGGTGGACGTGATGGCAAATCACACTACCAAGGCAGAAAGACCAAATTTGATGATAGTGATAATGATGACGGTAAGTGCAGTTATGTTAATCACGCAATATCATGATAGGATTCTGGTGAGACAAATGACTCTGCCAATCTTCTATGAGAAAGTAAACTTTGGAACAATTGAGTATCTAATATTTTCCTTTTTAACTTCTATTTCTCCAATAGCACCTCCTAGTCCAAAGAAGCGAGCACTGGAAGGAGCAGGCAAAGATGTTGATGCTCCAGCTGCAAAGGTGGTCAAAACTCAAAATGGTTCTTAGAAATTATATGTACTGCACATCTCAATGAAACATTATATTTGAAAAGAAACTAACTGAAAACATAGAACAACTTTATTCCATTCCAGTGGAGGCTTCATGAGAACTGTAGAAATTCCACCTTGATGTCAACCTAGAAAACAATTGATAATGTAAGACTGGAAACAGTACATTTCTACCCTGAACATAATTTTTTTATGGGATTGTCTTATTTAATATGGATTTCATTTGTTGTGTTGACTGCGTCTGAACATAACATTTAATTTCAACAGGAGCATATTATGCCTGTTAGTCGCCTACATACAAAGACGTGCATGTCAATAGAAACTTGTTAATCAGTGCCATTTTATTTTTCCTCAATTATTTTAAATGTGTATACGGTTGAGTCCTAAAGCACAGATCTTGTTCCTTCTCAATTTAGTTTTGTGAATAGCCAATAAAGTTTGATTTTTAAAAGTTAAATTCTCAGAAGCATATTTTCAAAGCACTTGGTGAAACAAACTAATTTAACTTTTACATTTGAAGTGAGAACTTGCCTTGGTTGTGTTTGGTGCCAAACGGAGGATTCATCAGTGTCAAATTCCTTGGCATATGCATGGGATCTCAGGAAACACATGTTACACTGGATCAGGTCTGTTGGTCAGTTCAAATTCCTCAATGTCAAACCCAACACACAAACTGTAATTACAAGGCAAGTCGTTAGATAATACTCCAGTATAACTTTTCTTCAGACAGTTTTATTTTCTTACCCTGCAGCAAGCATTGCAGCACCAATGCTAAGAACTCAGCATCCCAAATCTGCAACCAATTTGCCCTTGATGTCATCAAATGTGTTGTGGATTGTATAAAGCATACATGCTTAAAGGAGAAGTGTAAATGACTAAAGAGACTCAGCAATTTCAATTCCAACAAAATTCCAATCTAAGAATTGGCATGTAAATTGGGAAGAGCCAGTAGTGGAGGTTCTGGCAGATCTAAACTTAACGCCGATATGGATGCCTACGCTAATGGGAAAACGCTGCTATACAGTGGATTGGGAAAGTATTCAGACCCCTTTTTCCACATTTTGTTACAGCCTTATTTTTAAATGGATTAGTGTTTTTTCCCCCCTCAATCTACACACAATACCCCATAATAACAAAGCAAAAACAGGCATTTATTACAAATAAAAAACCTAAATATCACATTTACATAAGTATTCAAACCCTTTACTCAATACGTTGTTGAAGCACCTTTGACATCGATTACAGCCTCAAGTCTTCTTGAGGCTGTAACAAGCTTGGCACACCTGTATTTGGGGAGTTTCTCTCATTCTGTCAGGTTGGATGGGGAGCATCGCTGCACAGCTATTTTCAGGTCTCTCCAGAGATGTTCGATCAGTTTCAAGTCCGGGCTCTGGCTGGGCCACTCAAGGACATTCAGAGACTTGTCCCGAAGCCACTCCTGCGTTGTCTGGCTGTGTGCTTCGGGTCATTGTCCTGTTGGAAGTTGAACCTTCGGCCCAGTCTGAGGTCCTGAGCGCTCTGGAGCAGGTTTTCATCAAGGATCTCTGTACTTTGCTCCGTTCATCTTTCCCCCCGATCCTGACTAGTCTCCCAGTCCCTGCTGCTGGAAAACATCCCCACAACAAGATTATGTCACCACCATGCTTCACCGTAGGGATGGTGCCAGGTTTCCTCCAGATGTGACGCTTGGCATTCAGGCCAAAGAGTTAAATCTTGGTTTCATCAGACCAGAGAATCTTGTTTCTCATGGTCTGAGAGTCCTTTAGGTGCCTTTTGGCAAACTCCAAACGGGCTGTCTTGCCTTTTACTGAGGAGTGGCTTCTGTCTGACCACTCTACCTTAAAGGCCAGAGGAACTCTGGAGCTCTGTCAGAGTGACCATCGGGTTCTTGGTCACCTCCCTGACCAAGGCCCTTCTCCCCGATTGCTCAGTTTGGCTGGGCGGCCAGCTCTAGGAAGAGTCTTGGTGGTTCCAAACTTCTTCTATTTAAGAATGATGGAGGCCACTGTTCTTGGGGACCTTTAATGATGCAAACATTTTTTGGGACCCTTCCTCAGATCTGTGCCTCGACACGATCCTGTCTCTGAGCTCTACGGACGATTCCTTCGACCTCATGGTTTGGTCTTTGCTCTGACAAGCACTGTCAACTGTGGGACCTTATATAGACAGGTGTGTGCCTTTCCAAATCATGTCCAATCAATTGAATATACCACAGGTGGATTCCAATCAAGTTGTAGAAACATCTCAAGGATGATCAATGGAAGACTCATAGCAAAGGGTCTGAATACTTATGTAAATAAGATATTTGTTTTGTATTTTTAATTAATTTGCGAAAATGTCTATACCTGTTTTCGCTTTGTGTGTGTGAGAATTTTTATTTATTTAATCCATTTTAGAATAAGGCTAACGTAACAATGTGAAAAAGGTCAAGGGGTCTGAATACTCCCGAATGCACTGTATATTTTTCAACTAATCTGGGTCTTATTTTCTTTGTCCTCGATTGGGGGGAAAAAAACATCTTAAATGTCTGTGTCCTGTTGCAGGTGGTTTAATCTCAAATTGGCAGATTGTATGAAGACTGATAATCTGCCAGGACTGAATGGGATGTGAGAGATCCGTGCAGCATTAGTTCCGTTTTGGGGGTTTTCATCACTGGTTATATGGACATATATCAGGGCAAAGGCGGTGATTTAAACTTCTTTGCGTGTGTGCCAACACGGATTTCTAACACAGAAGTTAATCACGCAGCTGACCAAATTACGTGAGATTTTAGAATTCAGATAGATTAAATACACGTTTTGTATCGAGTGAGAAATGCCTCTTGCATGTGTGTAGACAAAAGAAAGCGAGCGAGAGGTTTTACTCAGCCCAAAATCAGTCCACGAAAATGAGACCAAAAAGTGAGGAACTTTTGTATGGAGGTAAATAGCTAGATTTCCATCCAATTGGAGACAGATTTCCAAGTGAATATTCCAAAATCTGCATTAAAAGGTCCCGAACTGTGAAAATCATATTTTTCATCAAATTGGATGTTATTTGGATGAAACCAGTTCATAGTAGGTTGACCCAAGTATGAAAAATGACTTGCTGGTACATTGGCATAGTTGATCATAAAGTTACTGGTCCCCCTCCCCCTGGTTAAGAGCATTGGGCCAGTAACCGAAAGGTTGCTGATTCAAATCCCCAAGCCGACTAGATGAAATCTGTCTGTGCCCTTGAGCAAGGCACTTAACCCTAGTCTGCTAAATGACTAAAATGTAATGTAAATGCTTGGATTCAGGAAGCAGGCACTACTTCTGGCTTTATGCAATGTCACATAAAGCCGGACATTTAATACACCAATGGTAGCGTCTTATAAGCTTAACTACACAGAACAAAAATATAAACGTAACATGTAAAGTGTTGGTCCCATGTTTCATGAGCTGAAATAAAAGATCCTACATTTTCCATACACACAAAAAGCTTCTCAAATTTTGTGCACAAATTTGTTTACATCCCTGTAAGTGAGCATTTCTCCTTTGCCAAGACAATCGATCCACCTGACAGGTGTGGCATATCAAGAAGCTGATCAAACTGCATGATCATTATACAGGTGCACCTTGTGCTGGGGACAATAAAAGATCACTAAAATGTTCAGTTATCACAAAACACAATGCCACAGATGTCTCAAGTTGAGGGAGCGTGCAATTGGCATTCTCTACCATAAGCTGCCTTCAACGTCCTTTTAGAGAATTTGGCAGTACGTCCAACCAGCCTCACAACCGCAGACCATGTGTATGGCTTCATGTGGGTGAGTGGTTTGCTGATGTCAACGTTGTGAAGAGTGCCCATGGTGGCGGTGGGGTTATGGTATGGGCAGGTATAAGCTACGGACAACGAACACAGTTGCATTTTATCGATGGCAATTTGAATGCACAGAGATACCGTGACGAGATTGCAATACTGGACTATTTTGTATCAAGTCTGCCCAAATGTGCCAAATTGGTCAATTGATGCATTTTCAAGTACATAACTATAGAGAACATACAAAATTCTATGGTAATACAAAATGTAAGTTTACACACAGGAATGTCATACATGATGGATCATTAGCTTATACACTATCTTTCACACATCTAGATGGCCGGGCGGGGTGGGTGTGGAGCCAGAGACAGCAGGGGTTCAAACTGTAGAACCCAGTTCCTACATTTGAATATAAAAATGGATTTTATCAAACAAAACTATGCTACATTTTATCTCTGGGACCCTTAGGATGACAAATCAGAGCAATATTACTGAATGTAAGTACATTATTTACCTTCAGAGGTGAATGTAAAACCAGTTGCCGTGATAAGTTTGTTGTTGTTGTGCACTCTTCTCAAACAATAGCATGATATTTTGTCACTGTAATAGCTACTGTAAATTGGACAGTGCATTTAGATTAACAATAATTCAATATTTCTGCCCATATACAGTGGGGAAAAAAAGTATTTAGTCAGCCACCAATTGTGCAAGTTCTCCCACTTAAAAAGATGAGAGAGGCCTGTAATTTTCATCATAGGTACACGTCAACTATGACAGACAAAATGAGAAAAAAATATCCAGAAAATCACATTGTAGGATTTTTAATGAATTTATTTGCAAATTATGGTGGAAAATAAGTATTTGGTCAATAACAAAAGTTTCTCAATACTTTGTTATATACCCTTTGTTGGCAATGACACAGGTCAAACGTTTTCTGTAAGTCTTCACAAGGTTTTCACACACTGTTGCTGGTATTTTGGCCCATTCCTCCATGCAGATCTCCTCTATGCAGTGATGTTTTGGGGCTGTCGCTGGGCAACACAGACTTTCAACTCCCTCCAAAGATTTTCTATGGGGTTGATACATGGCCCCATTCATTCTTTCCTTTACACGGATCAGTCGTCCTGGTCCCTTTGCAGAAAAACAGCCCCAAAGCATGATGTTTCCACCCCCATGCTTCACAGTAGGTATGGTGTTCTTTGGATGCAACTCAGCATTCTTTGTCCTCCAAACACGACGACTTGAGTTTTTACCAAAAAGTTATATTTTGGTTTCATCTGACCATATGACATTCTCCCAATCCTCTTCTGGATCATCCAAATGCACTCTAGCAAACTTCAGACGGGCCTGGACATGTACTGGCTTAAGCAGGGGGACACGTCTGGCACTGCAGGATTTGAGTCCCTGGCGGCGTAATGTGTTACTGATGGTAGGCTTTATTACTTTGGTCCCAGCTCTCTGCAGGTCATTCACTAGGTCCCCCTGTGTGGTTCTGGGATTTTTGCTCACCGTTCCTGTGATAATTTTGACCCCACGGGGTGAGATCTTGCGTGGAGCCCCAGATCGAGGGAGATTATCAGTGGTCTTGTATGTCTTCCATTTCCTAATAATTGCTCCCACAGTTGATTTCTTCAAACCAAGCTGCTTACCTATTGCAGATTCAGTCTTCCCAGCCTGGTGCAGGTCTACAATGTTGTTTCTGGTGTCCTTTGACAGCTCTTTGGTCTCGGCCATAGTGGAGTTTGGAGTGTGACTGTTTGAGGTTGTGGACAGGTGTCTTTTATACTGATAACAAATTCAAACAGGTGCCATTAATACAGGTAACGAGTGGAGGACAGAGGAGCCTCTTAAAGAAGAAGTTACAGGTCTGTGAGAGCCAGAAATCTTGCTTGTTTGTAGGTGACCAAATACTTATTTTCCACCATAATTTGCAAATAAATTCATTAAAAATCCTACAATGTGATTTTCAGGATTTCTTTTCTCAATTTGTCTGTCATAGTTGACGTGTACCTATGATGAAAATTACAGGCCTCTCTCATCTTTTTAAGTGGGAGAACTTGCACAATTGGTGGCTGACTAAATACTTTTTTTCCCCACTGTAAGACATGGCTATGTCCTGGAAAGTTTACTGTTACTTACAACAGTC